ACTTTTTGTGATGGTAGCTAATGTCATTCTAAGCAAAGCATAAGGATGTTTGTTTATCTGACAAAATCGCGTTAAAATCACATAGATCTGATCTTGAACCACTTCTGAATACAAAACCTCTGGCATGGTGATAGTATCAGAGAAACATGTCTCCTGGCTGTGTCTAACGACGTCCCTGCTATGTACATGCCCACAAAATGGGCCTAGTAAAGATCTTCATTTTTTGTCATATCAAATTACTTTAAAGCTAATCTCGGGACGTCTTTATTTTAAAAGAACTCATGTTTTCAATGAATTGTTTCACTAAACTTGCACTGTCTTGCCATTGAAAATATTTCCCTTATAACACCGTGAAACTATAAGCCAAATTAATTACAAGAAACTCATGTTAAAATTTAGGCCACTTTTTACAATTCAGGAGAGAAACGAGTTGGAAATGTGTAAATTCGTCAACTTGAAAGTTTTACAGAGTCAAGATTTAAAATGAAGTGACATCAAGTATTCCCTTGTTTTGTTTACAAAAGGAATACGGCCAATGGAGTACGTTACAAGGATTGACTAATGGAATATTATACGGCCAGTTTTGTTTATAAGAAATATCTTCCACTACATTGTACCCAAAGTCTTTATATTTCCGCCTTTCTCGAATAAACTGGTGTTGCTTTCTACAACTTTTGGAATAGTTAGTGGAAAGATATTTCCAGCGCCTTTAGCAAATATATCAATGGCGGTGTAAATGAAAGATGGGAGAGAGAAAAGATTTTGCGACTGGCGTCATATGAAATGCGTATTTATGGCAGCACAACATTCATTAAAATTCACTGAAAGAAATATCACTGCGAAACATACCGAATGTTTAATATTGCAGCAAAATATTTCTTTAAATATAGCACAGATGTGTTGTGATTAGAGCACCGGCGGCACTTTGAAAGTTTATTGTTTTAAAAAGGATTCTTCCATAAGAAATATGAATTCAGTTAGTTATAGCAAATATCCCTGCTCAAGAATGCAAGCTAAAATTGGTCCAAACAGCATGTCATAAAAGACTTTTGGGTATTCCAGAACCTAAGTTGAAAATTACAAAGTTTAAAGAAAATGACATGCACGCTTGGGGTTGTAAGGTACTGGCCTGTGGACAGGAAAAAAGCCATGTGAATATATATAAATATATATGATGGGGAGAGAATGCAAAAAATGAATGCTGAATAGCATAAAACTCTTGTAACATTGTTTATGTATAGATTTTATATCGATTAATGAAAGAGACGAAGGAACAAAGACGCTGGTCCAATTAATTCACCTGCCCTATTTTTATCTTTTGTATGTGTGAGGGATACGTGTTCCCTTGATCTCCCAGTCTTTCTGCTTTGCGATGGAAGCCTCTACTGGATTTGCGACCACAATGACGTCTTTTTTGGTTCCCGAAAGGGAATTATTGCGACGTGACGAAGATATTTGTCTCTTACTGGAACTGAGCTAAATATTTATCATAAGATCACTTTCCTTTCTAATTCCTTTCTAAACATCTTTCACGGCATGTTGTTCAAACTTTGGCAACACCTAAACTGTTGAGTTTAATACTTGACTTTTATTAAATTGTTGTTAGCCTCCTGTCATAAATGTCAAAATGACCAACATTTTGACATTGAGAATGGGTAAGGTAGTTTTCTAAGTTCGCCAAAATGTTGGTCTGAAAGCTTTTTAAAAGGCACGTTCAAATGCTTGTTGAGATTGGCATTTGATCGGGCATTGGGAATTTCTAGCTTCTAGGAGTTACTTTTTGGCAACGTTAATGTATAAGCCCTCAAAACTAGCAACATCGTACATCGATAGCCATAATGATGTGCTGTGACTGAATGGGATGTTGGGGGCATGGTTGAATTGTTCTCGATTCTCTTTTTGGTATAAAAAGAATAGGAGACAGAGAAGTGACTTGTGGAGATCCAGATGATTTTAAAACCTAAAGCAAGTAAGATTCATGCTTGTTATGTTGGAAAACACAACAGTAAGTACGTTTTAAGTCATTTTATGTCTTCTTATAAAAAACATCTAGATGAAAATACTGATTTTTTTATCAGAGCATAGATTGTTTGAAAGGACCTAAGTGGAAGTTTGACCGATTATAAGAAATAGCAATAAGAAGGGTTGGGAAACTGAATCATGATAAGGTATATCAATCACAGTTGTAACGTGACAGGTAAAAAACCCTAGGGTCATGTACGATGTTGCTATTGTTTTAGTTCTTGGTTGAAGTCTTCAAAACCTAATTGTAGAACATGTAAGATAGTTCTGGTTTTTTCGTGAACTAACACCAGTTATTATCATTAGAATTATATTATAAGTGAAATAATTCAATGGGAAGAAACATTATCTTCTTAATCGTTATCTGTATTTGACAAGAGGTGTAGAGTTTATGGCCTAGCTGCATTCGTTCCAGTCAATATTTGACAATTTAAAACGGCAAAAGAGCCATATCGATTATCAAAATGTGAAAAAGACTGGCTTGCGAATCAAAAGCATTGTGCTTTTATTCGTCATGAAAATGTGTTTTAAGACCTTGCCAGAGGCTACATATCCAGTGTCATTTGAAATTACCCTTTCAGTTCCAAGTGTCGTTACCCAACCGGGCGATGACCAAGGGTATTGCCTTGTCTTAAAACCAAATTCCCAAATCACATTTGCAGCAACCCACCTACATGCAGAGGCTAATTGCTTTGATTCACAAATCAATGTCCTGCTAAAGTTCAGCATCTTTATATATGAAGCTTAATATCTGAAGGTTCAGAACATAGTTTGTCAGTACCTTAAACTGCATACATGGACTAAGGGGGTACCAGGTATTTTGGCATGATTGCGTGATCGGCTTATTTTCGATGCGTGAATTCGTGAAATAAATTTTAATTATGCATGAAGGGGAATAGGACATTGGCGCTTGACCTGTGAATCAGCATTACTCATGGCGTGATTGCGTGAAAATGAATGCTGCAAGCGAATTTCAAAATGGAGTACTTTCGTTTTTACAAGGAGAAAGTATTGGTTTTCGGTACCAGACCAGGCTAATGTCTCCATTATTCAGAGATGCCGATGGCTCAGCCAACAAGAAATTACTCTTATAAGATAGTTATTAAAAAAATCAGAGAACTTCCAGGGGGCGTGATATTAAATTTCCAGTACCGTAAGCGTGATTTGCAATTAATTCAAGCATGATTGCGTGATTCAGCATAGATACCTGGTACCCCCTACTAACACGCTGCAATGATAAGTTTGCCAAACTAATATGGAGTTTGACGCTATTTCCTGCACCACGCTACCATTTTTTTTCCTATTTAGTCGTTTTTTATAACGTTTCGCTCATTGAAAGTAGGCTAATTGAAAACAGCAAAAGGGTTGCCTTGCCCATCGAGATGCCTATATCAAGATGTCATGTCCTAAGCAAATACTAAAGCTTTACACATCTGAGAAAAGATACGCCGCAGACATTTATGTTTGTTTGTCATTTACTACCAGGACACAAAAATGAAAATGGCGTTTATGTTAAAAAAATATCCCTTCGCAGCTGCCCTTAGGTTTGAAGAGCGTTACAATGAAGCCGCCCACAGGAAAATCTGTCCTTTCTACCACAAGTGAATCTGGATCTTTGTGAGTCTTTTTTATCGAAACAAAGTGAACGTTAGAAGTTTAGATTAAGAGTGAAGGTAGAAGGTAATAAAAGCGATTTTGAAAAAGTAGTTTTCACGATAGGTTTCTTCAGTTATGTTCTCGATATGTTTTTTGATTGGGGTTTTGGAAAAATAGAAGGGTTTTCATCATGTAATCATATCGAATAAAGCCATATTGAATGATGAAATATTTGGAAAACGAATACCAGTTTTCAACTTCTAATGTTCTTGAACAAATATAAAGTGGTTTAAGTAATTTTTATTGTTTTGAGCTATCGAAACGACCACTCGAGATGGTTCTGAATTTTGTAACTGGCGTTTGTTGAACCTTGGGTTGAAATGCTTCGTAACTTTGCAACACTATTGGTAGCAACTGGAGGTGTTTTGATTCATGCTGCATGGTAGCCCGACTACAAAATAGAATTTTTCTTATGAGCAGTCGCATCATTAGCAAAATCTTAGCAACGTCACAATGATTGTTATAGATAACCATTAAAAAGGAATGTCATGTTGCAGAAAATCCCGTATTTGGGCCTATTTGATGTCACAGAAAGTGAAGAAACAGACAGATTACACAAAACCTGTACTTCTTCAATACAAATACCGTGCATTAATCTTTGTTGTAACATGTGAACACACAGAAGACTGCCTGAATTCATTCAAACTGGAACTAAGTAACGTTTAAGGTTTACCTACTTTTGCAGTCGCATGGTATGTCAAATTTCCCAAAGAACTGAATTGGCTACGAGCAAACTATCTTTCATTACCAGAAATTTGCTTATGTGTAAAGAAAGAGTTTATGTGTTTATGTGCTTAGTTATAAAGTAAAACGAACAAACCTGGCAGAAAAACTGTTACTCGTTGACTTCAACTACATCCTAATCGGATAAAATGGAGCCCTTCTCGTGCTCTACAATAAAGTTTCTCAGGATAATGGAAACAGCGTTTGACTGCTTCTTTATGTCCCCTGAGGCTGTTGATGTTAATCAAAGAGGACAATCGTTTTGTTCTTCTCAAATCAAGCCAGAAATTAAAATAGTGGTAGATTGATCCTTAAAAGATTTCTAACTATGAAAGGGCAAAACTTTGAAGGGTATATTACAGGAGATCGATTAAACTCTGCATGTACTAAAAAGGTGTTGAGCTAGCGGATAGACGGGGGGTATAGGGGGCGTGACACCCCTATTTCATGACTTGGTTGATGTATCATCAGTTGGTCCTGAAGTCCAAAATTTGTCGGTAGTAGAAATAGTATCTACAATACATTGCTCTTCATCTATATCTTCGTGGGCAAAGTTCACAGACGGCATAAGGGGGTGGTAGGGGGGGGGGTGATTAACCCCCACCCTACTTCTCTGAAAACCTGGTCTACATATTTATTCTAAATAATGATTAAAAAGCGTTGGTAATGGTAGATCAAAATTCTTAACGAAAGTTAGCCTGGTACGAAGCACTGAAACGAGGCAAAAAGGGTGTGGTTTAACTGGTCATGCCTATTACCCTCCCACCCTGTAATACCTGGCGCTGCAACTGGTAAAGTTTATTCTTGATGACCCTTGACCCCCTTGAACCCTACCTGGAAGGTCAAGCTTGGCCAATGAAAAGCCGCAACTCCACCATTTGATTACCGGAATCCGATCAAGGGAAATAAAACCTGGTGGAATAAATTATTTATCAGTCTTTGGATGTAAATTGACCAATTTTAACTTAACATCTTATCTTTGAATTTGAAACATTGATTCTACAAAATCTTTCTTTTCTTTAACTGACCTTTGAAATTAGAATTGCTAGCAGCTCTGGATTTCCGCTACCGATTCAAGGGGCATATCCTGCTTAAAACCTACGAATTTGTATTCGAAACAGTGAGTTAATGGAGGGATTCGTGAAAGAAGGATGCGGAAATCCATCACAAAATTATTACATCCGTCTATCAAAAACATTACTAAAGGAAACTATTTCATATAATCCAAGGCAGAAAAAAGAAATGTTAATAAAAATTACTAATTCAAAAGAGAAAGCAGCATTGACTGTATTCACGCGATCACTTATTTATCAAACAAGTATTTATTCATTCATTCGTTTGATCATTTATCCCCGTCAATTTTCTAGAGATTTGCACTCTTTGCGTAAACGGGGCGACCGCAAACACTTTAAATGACGTCAAAAATACACTGCAATCATTCAACATATCATAAAACAGATAAACAAACTTTTTCTTCACTTGTCTCCAAAAACTTTCGAAACGGTAAAATGACAGATGGACTAATGGACGTATTTTTCTTTCAGAATAGTTTTATTCCAGAAACACTGCATTAACAGTGCAACCGCCCCATTTTGCACCTAGAATTTCAAACGTGGGGACAATCAATTTTGTCTTTGAAAACTGACATCATGAATTGAGTCCATTTAACGCATTTTGAAAAACTGCAGTAAATCGTAGGAAGCAGGAAAAATTTGTATATGCCCCGTTTATATGCCCTTAACTGCGAAGGGGATAATTTGCCCTCGAAGTACATTTATAAGAAACGGTAGGTTCAATTTTTCGAAAGTTAAGAAAAAATCCTACCCAAATTGAAAAAATCTAAGAATCTTTTATAATTTGCAGTTTCAATTTTCCGAGCTGACCCTCGAAACGGTCTTGACATTGAACATCATTGTATTTTGCACCTCTGTAAGAGAACGATATTTGCCCATTTGAGGTATTTTTCTGTGAGTGGAGTAGTGAGAATTTCTGGAAATTGTGTGGAGCAAGGTTGCTGAGGGACTTAATACACCATCGTCTATCATTCTTCGAATTAGCACATTACACTAGTTTATCTCTGAATGCGAGTGAACGTTTTACTTTACCTTGGAAGCACGTTTAAAAAATTCATTACCAATGAAATTGAAGACACATGTAAGAAACTTTTGATAGCAAAATGACCAGAAAATTAAAGAAACTGCCTGCCAGCACCGGACCTTAGTTTATTTTAGAAATATGTGTAGTACGGATGCCTTACGGGTTTAAAAAAGTAGACTTGGGAAAGTCTAGGTTTTGCAGACGAGCGAAAAGAAATCGTAATTTATTAGCATTCTCATTAAAAGTATTACTTGAATAGAAATTATCTATGTTACAATATCGTATTTACTCTATGTTAATACTAAATTCGCCATAGCGACTCGGGGTTGGTTTACAAAACTAAAACGCAAAAAAATCTGTTTTAAACACTGTCTTAAAACACTAATTGCCTCTTCTTACTTTTCTTATATTCTCAGTCGGAAATAAATCGCAAAACAATCTTAAGAACTAAATAATCTTAAAAACCTTTTTGACCTTAAATAACTTGTGGAGAGCGTCAAGATTGAAAAATCGAGCACCCCTGATCTGAAGACAAATGTAACTATAACATGATATCTGTCCTTAAAATGTGCACATGATATCACAGGGTATTTGTCCTTAAATTCCTTTAACAGGAACGATTGAGATCTAGGTGTATTAAAGGGATCAAACGAGGCAGGGGAGCAATCACTGCCAAAAGTCGTGGAACACTAACGTCAGTTTTCAAAGGCAAATTCAGCCATCCCCCTCTCCCCCTAAGAACAATGTTGATTTCCTATAGAAAAAAGGAAGGGATTATGGAGTACGCTTTTTAATGTGCCTTGTATGATATTTTTCTATTCTTTCAACATTGTTTTGGGGAGGGGGGGAAAAGGGACGGAAGTAGTTGTATTCGGGAAAACAAATGAAAAAATAGAAAAGCACAACGCAAAGTGTTTGGTGTTCCAAGTAATTTTGGCAGTGATTGTATATCGTGATCATTAACACAAAACCAAAACATCTCAACTAAAAATTCCAGCTATCCAGATATTTGCACGCAAATCCCACAATGTTGAATCATAGGTAATATATACCGTTTCATTGACGAGCGGAAAAGGGGGAGGGGGATATATTTTCATACGTCTACAGCTGTATCAATTGTAGATAGTTTTAAATACACAAATCACAAAATACACTAAATAATTTCTTTTGAAAATAATTTCATCTCTCGAATCGTTGGGAAACGCCGATTTACTGAGGAAAAAACCGAAAACCTAATAAACTAGAACTATATAATAAATTATATCAACAATGTGGCATAAATATACTTGAAATTAAAGTATTCCTTTTGAAGGTACAGTCTCTCGAAAATCCCTAAATTATCTTAACTTTAAAACTAATTGAAAGAAACACATAAAGGTGTTTCACTGCTTGTGGTTCTCATAATAAAAAAACTTTATTTAAGAAATTGTTCTGTTCAATCTGAATCGAGCTACTGTGAATCTCCAGAATTAAAACAATAAATAAGAATTTAAGAGCCATAGTGGTATTTTTTGATTAAGCAAATTTTTGCCAAAAAGGCTTGTGTCCAAAAAGGCGTTGTCCCCTGAGCCATTTGACACAGACTACCCATATTGCTAGGCAAAACCAACTTATTTTATCACCAAAGCTCACTTTTTAGATCAAAACCAAATGTAGAAGCCTTCGACCTTGCAACTCCTTCAGGCACTTTTAAAACATGATCAAAGAACAGCCAGGTTCTTCTCTATGATGGTTTACTGTATCAAATTCAATAAACAATATTTAAACAAGGCCTTACCGTACAACTGTCATTGTAGGTTCTAAGACTGTAATATTGGTCCTTAAAAAGTATAATTAGAGAACAGATCACATCACCGTTACTGCGTTCTGAATATCGTGCGTTCCAATAATCGTCCAAATATTCATTGATACTCGTGCCATTAAAAGCTTTCAAACCTCACACAGCGTCCAAGGTGAAGGGCTTTACATTACTCCATTAAAGGTCTTGGACAGTCATTCTATCTGGCGATAAGACAGCAAGATTTGCCTAGACCCACACACACTGGGACAACGGCATCAATTGATCAAGCGAAGTAAATCGTTTTAGAAAGCTTCTTATGAGGTCGGCAAGCATCACCAAGAGTTTTCAGGGCTGCCTCGCTGATTGACTTTTTAGATGAACTGCCTCCCTGATCAGAACCAGCACTAAAATGAAAATATTGGTCTTTACTGTCAGGTATTAAGTCTAGCAGTAATGATGGTGCTCGTAGTGACGGGAGCCCCTGCTCAGAGTCCATATGGGTAACATATTAGAAGCCTATATGAGCATCAAACGAAAATCAACGAAGTTTTATCTTTGTTGTTCTATCGGAAAGATTTTTGTCGTGGTATTATTTTTCTTCATCAATTTACTCAGTTCTTGCTAACCATTCCTAATTTCGTTGTTTCTTATCACTGGTACGGTATTTAAGGTACAGCCATTCATGTGATGCAACTGAGCGCAATAACGATGAGTAAACGGAGATAATTCACATTAAATCTTGAACAATTTTTAACAAAGCTCCGTATATTAGTGGGGAATCAGGGGCCAGCTTGTGGAATAATCTCCGGGCCTAGCAGGGAGCTTCCCCTCTAGGTGGCGTGTTAATACCGCTTTATACTCATTGCCAGGGCTGAAGCCAAAAAAACCCGGCGACAAAGGTTCGAGAAGAAAAGAAAGGGATATTTTAGTTTCTGCACAAAATTTTAGAAAAATGTCTCTAAGGTGCATTTTAATCACTGCTGAGATTTGGTGCATAAAGGAGATCTACTATAGACTCGTGCTATCGTCACACCAAATGTTGCTTAAAATGTTTGGACAGTAAGATGAATGTCACTGTAAACCAATCTCAATTCGATGGTTTTGATTTAATAAATTTGGGCCTAAATTCTCGTGGCTGTAGCCAGCAGTGTGGCTTTCAGCGACCGTATTTGGCTTAAGATTTTTTGCTAAAGAGACAGAAACACTTGAATTGCTACAAGTCTTCGTTCTGAGTTCTTCCAAGGGCCAGGGCTGCACGTCAGAATGACTTCTGTACTGTCAACTGAAGCCCAGAAAAGTTTAAAATTACAGTCTTAAAACTCTGCTTTTATTGTCTCAACTAGAGTAAAAAGTTATATAAAATGAAAGAATATTGTTATTACTGGCAATATTTACTCATACGCAAAAAGATGTATTGCACGTGACAGATTTCAATATTGTTGATGCAGCTACAGTAGAAACCGACATAAGAGAGCCTGTGTTTTTCTGTATCAGGTTGAAATAGGTCCTTTGCCCCTTCACAGTGTTTCTTAAATTACAGTTGCAAAAATTGGCAAAATACCCACTCAGAGTTTCTCAATCTGCAATTTTTATGCGGATGTAACTAATTTATGCGCCCCTCTCTCCCGAATATTTTCTAAAGAAATTTCCTTACGAAGGTTTTACAAAACTGGTCTTAAAAAATTCCCCGCCAATCATAAGCCATTTTATGTCATTAAATTTGACACAAACACTTTAAATTGTAGCTGTTATAAGATCTACCAGGGTGGCTGACCAGAAAACCCAAAAATGAAAAGTGTGGTTTACAAATCCCTTAACAGCTAAGCACCTCGTTATGTCAGAGAATTTTGGATAGATCTTCTGGTCCTACAAAAGAGATGCTAAGTAGCATTGAAATACATTTTAAATTTTCTGAAAAATGAAACCATGTCACGATTGACGATTCACAGAATTGTAACCAAATTTTACCTACAGGCAGGTTTGTTTGTTTTATTTCATTACAGTGTTCAATTTAGTTTATTTTTTGACGTTGCAAAATCTTTTTCGGCACGAGAATCTTTTCAGGCTCCTAAAGAAAATAACATATTGTCTGTGTATAATTATTAACTGAATAGGACACTGCTTTATAAAATGTGTTGGAGAAGCAAAAGGAACAATGGTGCAATCTACATCATCTACATCAAACAATGGTGCGATGAAGCATGCATTAAAAAAATTGGAGCCCGTTCAGTTACCAGCACAGGACAATGACCAGAAAAATTGCACCGTTTTACGCTAGCTTTAGATCTGGAACTATAAACCTGCCACTAACTTCTAATTTGCTCCCTTGACATCTATCAAGAGATTGTATCAACAATAAAAAGACACTGCGTAATGGTTTTTTGGTAGGTGTGCCTAACAAAGTATCTTAACCTAATGACCCCATTCAGCCCTAGTTAACAGATGATGAAGCTTAAAAATAAAAAAACTCTTTAATATGGGACGTATCAACGATGACATTGACAATCTTTATTGATTTCAGCTTAACCATAATTACTGTGGGATTCTACGCACTGGATTATGGATAAACGGGAAAAGTTGATATATTAACAAAGATACTATTCTACAAAGCATGTAAAAGAGAAACAAATCATTTTCATTTCAACTACTTTTTTTCTCAAGATCCTCTGAGTACGAGCCCTGGAGAATGGCCAAAATGGTAAGCAGAACAATTCACCAAAAGCGAATCAAAAGTAACGTGAGAGAAAGACTTCTTGACCAATCGGTTTAATAGGTTCTTGACCAATCGACGACCCCTAACCTCACACCTAGTTAAAATCTCCAAAAGAGAAGACGAAGTCTTGCTGTCTACACAAGTCGGAAAAACTTCGTTTTAATGTAGACAGATTAAGTATTACCATGGAAGAACTCACTCGGGTTCTACTATTCTGTGTTTTAATACGGCATCGAAGGAAAAGCAACAAGTAGGCAATATAAAACGATTCAAGTTTACAAATAGAGTATCTAGATCATTTCTGATATATCAAGGAAACTTGACGTAGCTTTGAACAAAATCTGGCTGAAAATCCAGAATTGTAGGATAAACGGGCTCGAATAAATAATTTTTTTGCAAAAATAACTCCAATCTTCTTCTTTGCTTTGCTTTTAAAGGATTAAAAATTGTTTTTTTGCAACAAGACAAGCATTGTGGGCCTACTTCAATCTGAAAAGTTTTCTGTTTCTGGTTTTCTTCGTGAAAAACCTTTCGTGAACTTTGTTGATTCAAGCAGTCAAATAAACGTATGTTATTTACGTAAACCTGAAAAAGTTAGTTACGTCTAAGCCTAAAGAAAAAAATGCAAAAATGCAAGAGATTGTATGCAGCACCGCGTAAGTTCAATCATATATACATCTATTTGTAAATCCCTGATCATTTTAGTTGTATGACTTGTGACTGAATATAGGAAAGCCATGGAGAACTGTGTAACCATGCTTAAATTGCTAAATTAGCTTTGTTATTGCAAAATACAATCGTTGCCAAAAATACTTGGAGCAACCAACAATTTGTGTATTGTGTTTTTGATATTTTTCAACTCTTTTCCCAGATACTCCTATTTCCGCACCCCTCCCCCCTAACTAAAGTTGATAATTTAGGAAAATATCATAGAAGTTGCAGCAAAAAGCGCTATTCCTTATCCCCTACGTTATGTAGTAAATCAACAAGGGGGGAAGGGAATGGCTGAATTTGTCCTTGAAAACTGACGTTAGTGTACCAAGACTTTTGGCAAGCATTGTAGCCTGTAACGTCGCAAAAATATCTGACGAAACAAACAACAAATGTTCAAGGAATCTTGTAAGGCACTGGCACTGGAAGGCACTGGGTGAAATGCTACTTTTTGAGTGGCAGCCAATAATAAAACCGGCAGATGTGTTTTTTAAAATCAGAAAGCTTTTATTGGCTTAGGTTTCAATTCAACTCCAGGCAATAGAATAAATGGCTATCTTTCCGTATGGCTATTTTTTCATAAATGGCTATTTTTTCAGTTTTCTTATAATTAGCAAGTTAGACAATGCATTTGCCAAAACTCTAGTATACCATATTCCGATGTATTTCAGTCAAAATCTCTGATCAAATGCGACTCATAAATTCGTTATTTTTTCAACGATATTGGGTATCGAGTTTTTCGAACGGCAACACACGCTGCGCAATGCACAGTCTGGACTATTGTTTACAAAGCCTCGTCGCAAAATCTGTCACTCAAAACCGAGGGGAAAATCGCTCCTCAAAAAGGTGTGCGAGATTTATAATGACTAATGATTCATTTGTGATTAAAATTGATTTTTAGTGATTATTTTCATTTTTTATGACTATTGTGAGATTAATCACAGATTTAAAAGTGACCTCAAATAGCCCTCTGTGCAAAAGAAACACGTTTGAGCTGGCCAAGATGCAGCCGCAGGTAAATTCTGAGTCACTAAACTAGTTAATTAGTGGCGGACACCTTGGGGAGCGAAGCCCCCAAAACTTTGGAGAACAATGGTCTTTTGTTCTAAGACAATGGGAAATGTGAGGTCATCTTATAAAAACAATAGGCTTGCCCCCCCCCCCCAATATTTGACCAAGTGTACGCCCCTGATATCAATCTTAAAAAGTATGTTTGAATTTTGCATTAAACATCCAGAAGGCTTTTCAACGTTTGTCCGAAAATTTATTTGTCCAAAATAAAAAAAATTTGCTAGATTTTATTTTCACCGACGTTTATTGTCCGAAATTTTCTCCTCTGGAAATCTTTTTCCTAAAGATGTTTTTCATCACTTTCAGAAATCGAAAGAAACAATTTGAAAAACTGAAATGTTTTTGACAGAATCTTCAGCCAAGTCATAAGTTATTCGAAAATTGTGTCTGTTTTTATTCCTGTCAGTGACCCAGAGTCAGCCAGAGCCAGTGACCCAGAGCTTTTTAAGAGATCAGAGTCAGCATTCGTCGAAAGAGTTTGCTGTTGTCTCGTTCATTTCCTTGAGCGTGTTTGAAGATTTTCTAACGTGCTCTTAAAAAATTTGGGAGGGAAATTCAAATTATTTCATTTTTCCATAACATAGGTGATGTGATTTATGTGACTGGTGATTTTGTGTGTGATTAATGTCATTTTTGTGATTAATTTTTTATTAAAGTGTGATTATTTTCAAGAGCACACGTGATTTTAAACAGTGATTTGCCCCTCACTCAAAACGAGGTTTTGGAGCAATAGGGTATTGGTATCAAACAACTGAAACGAGCTAAAATATGACAAAGAACACTTCTATATCGCCTGCAGAGCGGAGTGGAAACGCTTTGCAAAAACAATATGATCGGCTCAGTTCCTTCTCTTGTGAACAGAATATAAAAGACAAGATGGTTCCGTGTTTCCATTTTAAAGCATTGTAGAGAGAGAATGCGAATGCTCACCTGATGTCTCTTTGGTAATCCACGTGAAAGCGCGCTCTAAAAGCCGCTAGATGGGCGTAATAAGCTGGGGCTGGAATGGATACCGATCTTGTGCACCTTACGTAAGTATGACAAAGCATGTAGGTCAGATTGTGAAGCTCATCTGGCTTCAAATCATTATCATCCCACAGTACATGGTAATGAGCCGGTCTGCTTGTTCCCTGTAAGAGAATTTGATTTAAAACATGTTATCAATGCTTCTTTGAAATGAGATTTTACTCAATTTGATCGTCATTTCAAGGAGGCTTAAAGAGGGTAAAGATAATCTTCCTGCAAATCGTCTATGATCTATTCCTTCCCTGCTAGGTTCTTTTTCGTTTTTTATGTTGCCCGGTTCCTTCGCATCAAAATACAAAACGCAGTCAATTCCTCATGACAGGGAGTAAGGTTATTCTTTCCGAGTCCAATAATCCAAACAAGACAAAAGCTTGGAGGCTCTTGCGCAACCAGCATGCTTAGCGGCAGCTGTCTTGAGAAATTGACTATGTTTTGTATTTTCATGCAGTTAGGCCTATCTAACGAATTACTGTCGCAAAGCTTGCCGGTTGTGCAAAAGTCGTTAAAAACCACGGTAAAACGATCAATATATGACTTGGACAATAACAAATGAGTCTCTAGTTAAGAGTTGTGCAATTTCGTTGTTTTCATTAAGATAAGCTTATTTTATTCATTTAACATCCTCGTGAGGCACTAGACAAGCAATCACTAATGTGTACAGTTGTCAAGAAATCAAAAAGTTACCATACTGTGGTGCAAGACTCTATTCAATTTGATCGTCATTTCATCGAAATTCACAAGTTAATGATCCTAAAATGCCATTCTTTTAGAAACTGCTCCAGAAGAGAATTAGCTTAAATTCTTTACAAAGAATAGAAAAAAAATTCAAAATTACTTATAATCATATATATTAAAAATTAATTCTTACCTTGATTCCTGCATGACTGCATAAATAAAAATCATATTCGGTAGGATGACATATTCCTGAGTCAACGGTCGTACCAGGGGGAATGTTGCCAGATGTACCCACCTAAAGAAGAAAACAAGCCTTAGATGACCCTAAATTAGATCCCTAAGAAGGTCGCTATTCCTACGAAGAAGTAACGATCAAGTCAAAGTATTTAACTGATTAATTCTTTAGAGACTTTCTATTACTGTCTGTTTCAAAGATAAATGACAATGGAGAGGGTACTCGGGAAAAAGGGTACTTTATCTCTGAATTCGGTAGAAAATGGCACAGAGAAAAGTTGAAAAGAAATGTTACCGGGGAAAAAAGTCAATAAACTCAACTTAAAATCATAAAAGAAAATAAAATTCAGTTCAAAAAGAGAGACTTGATGCAAGGTACATTGTCGAAAAGCTTCTTAAAAATGTTCACGTTCTCATTGACCATCTCTTAAAGAAAAAAGTCAATTGGTAAATGAAACTTCATTTCTTTTCCTGTTGAAAGCCTAGCACTAAGCCCGACTGTATTATGAACTGCGTGGCCTTCTTTTTTTTGTTTTTCTTGCATATACTTTCTCCCACATTCATGTATTATTTTTCCAGCAACATCCGGTATATAATTATACATGCAAGGCATAGGAAAACTTTAAGAGAAATTTCAATTGAAAAGTTCAGCTAGAAAAGCTAACAATGAACATTTATAGTGCTAGCAGTCCTTTAGAACCAACACCCTAGCTTAGCTAGAGTTAACATCTCTTATTGCCGACAACTATTGGCAACAATCTGTGTTCAGTTAAGTTTTTGACTTGAAATTTTATAAATGTTGTCGCCTTTCTATTTTGTTTGGTCACATACAAGCAGTTATTTCATGGCACTGCTATTTTCTATCTGGAACGCTGGCTTTGTCATAAAGAAACCTGCAGGAAACTTAAGCACTAAAATCTAAGTGCCTTGGCAAAACTACGGTTCTTTTGAAAAAAATTTCAAGTTTCATCCTCTAAAAACTTATTCCTGCCCACCCTACAAATTTCTTGTAAAGGTTTCGTCTTAGCTGGAATAGGTCTTCAGTTGTTAGATATGGATTGGTGTTCTTTTCACGGTTAGGTTTTTGGCTTGCAAAAATGCTCTTTTAAAATCAATGTAACATAATTCTAAACAAGGAAGAAGCGCGAGAAATAGAAAGGAAATGGAAATGGTTCGCATTCCATTTTCAATCTCCGCTTCGCTATCGCTGTTTTTCAGAGACAAAACAAAGTCTTTTGGAAGAGATATCGGAGGCAGGACATAATTGCTAATCGGATGGTTGTGATTGGTTAGGTTTGAAATAGCCACAGAACAATTAAGATTGCTATTTCAGCCAATTCAATGGGAGCTTGAGAATCATGACAAGGGAAATATTACCAGAACAGATTATCGCCAATCACGGGGTACTTTCAAAAAAATCTGCTGAAACAGTCTTTGCAAAGTCAAAAGGTGCGAGAGTTCTTTTACAACACCAAAATTTCTTTTTTTTTTCTTTTCTAACCAGAATATCTTGTATATTAATTTTCGTTTATCTTTGTTATTGAATTGTATGCTGATTAGCTTAGGTTTTTTGAAAGGGTACATGGTAAATCAGTTATCATATTTTCATTCCTGAATGTATTACCCTGTTGTATAAATAAATCAAAATTAAAATCAAAATCAAATCAAATCAAATCAAATCAAATCAAATCAAAATCAAATCAAAATCAAATCAAATCAAATCAAATCAAATCAAATCAAAATCAAATCAAATCAAATCAAAATCAAATCAAATCAAATCAAATCAAATCAAATCAAATTAAATCAAATCAAATCAAATCAAATCAAATCAAATCAAATCAAATCAAATCAAAATCAAAATCAAAATCAAATTTATTACAGTAACTTAATTGAAAATTAACATCATTATTTTACTTACAGCATCTTGGTGCCTTTCAGGAAAAAATCTGGCATGATGTCGTTTTTGAACAACGATGAATGTGATTCCGGGCTCATAATCTTTCTCTAGCATCATGCAGGCCTCGCGAATGGCTTTCACTTCATGTAGCAGCACCTAAAGACGTAGAATTAAAACTGTAAACATAATTATCTGATGTTTACACATGTGTTAGATTCAATAATAAACTGATATCAAGAATTCTTCATTGAGTTGAATAGCTTTGACACAATCCATTCAGAATCAAAATCAAAGCTTTAACATGACACAGTTTCATGACGGTCAGTTTCATGATGGCACATAAAAGAATGCATGATACAGCATCAACAACATGACGAAGAAGGCAAACATAGTCCACTAATTGATCTAGCCAAAAGGAAATTGGTGTGCAATAAACCTGAATTCTCAGTATTACAATGATACCACATTGTTGATATGTGACTCTTAACAAATGAAGTATCTTTATATAGCAACTAAACAAAACAGGTGGGGCGCTGCCAGTAAATTGATCAATATTATCAGCAGTTTAGGTCAACTAATTTGCACAGAGTTATTTTGACAACATCTGGCAACAGCTTATTAAAAAGCAAAGAAGAAAATTAACAGCTTATTTTGCGAAACGATGGCATAGCCCCCCGGAATCAGAAATAAGGCACTATCGATCAGCAACTATCTAGTGACCAACGACTAAATAATAACATTTCTCATAAATTCGCCGCATCAGAACAGTGATTAACCAGCGATGAACCGGTCTACATTAGAAAGCCATTTAAAAACAATTCCCCATAAACCAAAAACTATGAAATCTATTCGCACGGTAAGGAATATCAACATGTTTTTGAAAGAGAACATCTTAAAAAACAAAAGATAACGACACTAATTAGCTTAGGCAACTGAAATCCTTCGCTGGTCATGTGAAAATCTACAAATAATGTACTCGAAGGCTTGGTTTCTAAAACCTCTTACTCTTTCTAAACTTAGAATTCCGTAGCAGATCTCAAGACCAGCATCATTCATCTCTATGACAAATGTCATGTACGTGGTTGTCGGAGAACAATTTTCACAATTATCCAAAAACCAACGAAGACGTCATTGACTCAAGCAAAAGCCGTTTTGGATATGGTATTTTCACTAATTAATTAGACTACTGCTTTACCATAAATAACTAGAAGCTGCTCTATCATACAAGTAAGATATTTTTTATATCTCCTAGATTGAAATAATAAATATTTAGCCTCTACCTTAAAAGATATGTGCAGAGATGTGAAACAATGCAAGCTTCCAACGAATATTGGAGATGGCATACAAGACTAGCGTTGCATTGGTTAGAGAAGCAGAGGATACAGGAAGTGTTTGGCATGGTTACCGCAGTAGGTCAGCAGAGGAATCCAACCATGACGATAAAGAGATGAAATGTGCTATAAAAAAACTACTTAACCACTAGTTCGTTAATGAATCTAGGATGGTTTTTGACTAAGACTCGAGGCTATACTCACAGGAAGAGCATTACATGTTTAAACCTCAAAGAACATCTTCTTTCTTGTATCTGTCAATCGATGCATGTTTTGCGTGTTATATTATTAACAAAACTTCTCAAAAGATGCACCAGTTTAAAACCTAGCAAAGTGGAATGTACAGAAAGCAAGAGGAGATGCGAGTACTTCATGCGCATCCACTTCTTCTGAGTCGTATTCACTTGGATAAGAAGCATTGGTAAATTCAGTTAAAGGTGGGTCAGTTAAAACCCAAACGAAGATGCATGGGACCAGCTTCTTTTGACAAATCTGTGCTGTTCAATTATTGTGCTATTAAAGAATCAGATCTGGATCTTCGGTACTGAAATAAATATACTTAAAACAGACAGAACAAAATAAATAACCTATAACACCTGATATAAGTACTGATTTAAATACACATACGTAACACATTTACAGGACATTTTTCAAATCAACGCTATCTTTGTTAAAGAAAAATTGCGTTGTTTGCAGTTGGTAAAATTGCGTTTTGCAGGAATAAAATTATATGGCTATTCTATAAATAAAACTTATAGATTTCAAAGCTTTTTGATTACCAACCATCTGAAGGTCAGAGCCATTTCTGTCAATCATTATACGTTTCAATGTCACGATTTTGTACCGTATCAATCAATACTACCACGCTTCTTTCACCTAACACCTAGTGGTTCAATTTTCAGCGCTAATATAGAGGTATCATCATAAAAGCTGTTACCTGCTGGAATTGACCTTCGCTTACTCCATCTCTGTACATGATGATTCTTTCTGGTTTGTGGCCTGTCGAATTGCGGAAAGCATTCAGCAGCTCTTTTATCATGTCCTTCAGCTCTGCTATTATCTCCTGCAAGGAAAAAGTGAAAAAGGTGACGAAAACGGTGCATAACAGCTTTTCTTAGCAGCCTTCTTCCGACTCCTATGATTTCCACCACTGTTTTGTGGGCTGCCTTATCTTTGCAAAGGAACATAGCTTCCAGACAAAAAGTACTTTGATGATGATATCTCTGGCGTGTGTGAGTTAAAGCACAGCACTAGTTTTTCTCTTTCCAAACCCTCTTTCCGAAATCAGGTTGACATAGCAATAGTACCATATGTCAGAAAGAGAGAACTACAATAGACACAACTATAGAAGCCATAGAACAACAATAACACCCAAGTACACGGATGCGGACAACATTAAACTGATAACGAGGTCCTTTATGCTACAGTTGTTATGCTACATTTTAGCTATTGTCCTTTAATCTAGGTACTTCATGACAGAAGCACAAATTATCGAGAGAAAAAAATTAAAGAGGGCTTTGCGAATTATTTACAGAGACAAAGAATCTTCCTTTGCTGAATTTACAGCTAAAGATAACTGAGTTTCAATTCACCAGAGGAAGCTGAAGCTGCTTATGATAAAGATGTATAAAAACAAGAATATATTAAACCTATCCTTCAAGGTATTGTTGTCAAAAAAACGAGAATTTACAATATTAGAAACAACAATGGTCTTCGTTACCGAAGCCTAAGACAACTGCTCATGGTATACAAACCATAAGACATATTGGAAGGGGAATACTGCAAACATTACCAAGTAAAATAATCTCAAAGGGTTGCATAAAGCTCTTGGCTACAAACAAATGCAAATTGAGGCTTTGGAGGAATAAAACTTACCATGCGGTTCTTCTGAACTCGAATCGAGGTCGAGTAGTTCATTGGGTATGAGTCTAAGCTTCCAACGACCTGTGTATTGGGATGGAGAAGGATGAAAAAATTGAAAGAATGGATTTACAAAACTAAAATAAGGTAATAAGTGAGTACACTCTTGTGTCGGAATGCAGCAGCCTTTTCACAACTTAAGATACCAGGGATTGTTGATGATTATGATTGATGATCATGGTTAATGATCTCGATTGATGATCTTGATTAACGGTGATGCTCGAATGATTATATTGATGATCATGATTGATAATCACGATTGCTGATTCTTACTCATGGTGATGATCCCTGGTTTTCATCGATGATCATAATTTTTAATCATGATTATTGATTTTTCATTATGATGACTGATTATCACGGCTGGTGATGATGATCCGTTCATTCATCACCATTGATTAACAAGATTGATGATGTCGATAACGATGATCTATGTCGGTAAGTAATAGGAACAAATACATACCGCTGCAATAGAAGGTTTTTGCTCATCACCAGGAGCCGGATGTGTGACATCTGCGCCAAGCACTATGACTGGCTTTTCAAATATTTTGGGCCTGGAAAATAAAGAAATGGAATATGAATTCCCTAAAGAAAAAACATCACGTTCGCCTAGCAAACATTCATCAATAACATAGCACGATAAACTGCTCATATTTCAGGCTTTTTAGCAAACTGCCGGTTCTTTCTTCTTATGTTTCAACGAAGTTATTGCTCATAAGGAAATTTAACAGAAGCCCTTATGCGTTTTCTACGACCTGAAAGAGTTCATTCTCAACATCAAAAAATTATTCAGTAGAACGGAAAGAAAAAAGTAGCAAGGTTTTTCACAAAATTCAAAAAGCTTGAACAACATAAATAATATAAAGCCCACAGAAAGACACAAATTTCAAATCAACAAGTACATAAAATGACTCAAAGGCAATCGATAGATATAAAAGGGAACAAGCCATCCGTCAATCATATTAACAAATCAGTTAGTGTATGACTGGAATCATAATAATCACAATCGCTGCGTGGTCTATGTTTGATCGAAAGATGGCTTAACCCCCTTTAGTATCTGCCAACTGCTGTTAATGTTTATAAGATGACATCTATTGATTGAGAACTATTATAAAGGCAGAGAAAACCATTTCGAATAGTTTTATGTTTAAAGGCATTGAGTCATGGTAAATAGGCTTTCTCTATAGGGGGTCATTTGGTTTCGGCGTGATCGCTGCTGCTTCATGTGATATTGGCATCCGTTGTTGACAACTCGCTATTGATGGAAACTGTTATGTTAATCAGTACGAGGTGAGTTCATGTGACCAGTTCAAGGTCAACCAATAGCATCGCAGTCATGGAAATCATGACTCAGCGGATTTTGGCACTTAGGGTATACCCAGTCTATTAATCATGACTCAATGCCTTAAATACTCACTTGCACTCGCGTTTTATAAAACTATTGATGCCTCCCAGTTTTGTGTTGACTTTTAAAGAAAGATTTACTATGGTTTGTCTCCTCAACGGTTCAATATTTTTGTATTGCACGCATTGAGTTGGTATCCCATAATACGTATCACCAAGGCTCTTGATCAACTCTGGAAGAAAGTCAAACTATTAGAATGAAAAACAAAAAAGCTATACATTATATTGTATTTAGAATCTTGAGGGTCTTTTACAGAATATTAAAGTGCTTCCAATTTTATGAATTGACTTCCAAGCTTCTTACAACTGAAGCAATACATCTGTGTATGCAAGGAATTTCAAATGCGATGATGGGCTTCAGAGTACAAATTTCTGGAAACAATGAGGACAGAACAAGTTAAAAATCATTGCCATTCATTGCAAACTAATGTTTCTTAGGGAAAATTTTGTGTCAAGTACCTAGCCTTTTCCAAGGGAAATTAGCTGCGAGGGCAAACTTTTGTTTATAGAAAGAGGAGGACAATAGCTTATTGATTCAAACAATAAAAAGCCACTTGAGTTCCAGGGGCAATTTCTCCCTGGTTAGCATTTAAAAAAAGGCCCTGATCAAGTGAAATGATGCTGAGTTATTTGTCAATGCTGATATTTTGGAGGTCCTGGCAAAATTCAGTATTCAAGATGCTACAAGCATAGAGACTAATGGAGAACTGTTGCCAGGTAGTCGTAAAGGCATTTCAGCATTCAAGGGGTAATATTTTTTGGGACAGGGTACGCTTTTTGCATATTTCTTATGGGACAGGGTCAGAGTGCAAAAAGGTCTGCCGCATACCCACGTCACTTTCCTGGTCAAGTGCCCCCCCCCCCTCACACTTCTGGCTCACCAATGGCAATGCAGCATGAAGATCATGACTCAGCATATATTAGTACTCCCTATAATCTAATCATGACTCAATGCCTTTAAAAAGTAAAAGTATACGGGACCAAGCTGGGTGACCCGATACACACCATAACAAGGATTTTTCCCATTCAAAACAACAATAATCAAATCCAGGCTAGTGTTGTTGTTGAGGACAGTGTCAATCACCCTCTCGAACTGCTTTCCCACAACCTCTGTACTTCCGAGCCTCAAATATTCAAAATGGGTCGGCTTCCTTTCGACAGACATTCCTGCAGTTGAACAAACATCAACGAACTCATCAGCAAATTTCATCAATACGCGTTGCTTGCAGTGTTGGGAGGAACCGAGAACTAGTAGGACCCAGACATTGATCTTCTTCGCTGAATGAAAAGCTCGGTCTTGCAGATTCCACGCTCCTGGCAGATAATAGAAACTATTACAAAATCACAACTCTCAATAGATCTGCACGCGTTGTCAATATTATAGTAAGCAGGGGGGAGGTTACAAGGCCTTAAATTCAGATGTTATAACATCAAGATTCTACTTAACCTTTTAATCGACAGCTTTGAAAATACGATCAGACATGTACAGGGAACTTGATATCAGGTTCATTTGTCAAAAATGTCCTATCCTAAAACTCTCGTAGAGCATCCAACATAACATTTATCGAGATAGAAGAGAAGAGTTACAGCATTGGCAATCATTGAAGTATGCTAATATTGAATAAATAGAAACAGAATGACTCGTTTGAATAAAGATGGTGATTTTTTAACCAGAAAAAAAGGTTTGTGATGCAAGAAACGACAGCAAGACTAAAAAAACTGGAATAGTTAAAATTTAGCTGAGCAATATATGTGTTGTATGATGACAATACGTCATTTCAAGAGGAAGCTTTATACTTCAGTTTTGATTCAAAAATATCTAGTTCTTGCTATCGAAAAAGTGTGATATAGGCTTTTCAAGACAAATCAGGAAAATTTCAGAAAAAACTGCTTTCTAGATTTGATGCCGACAGCTACAAAAATTATAAAAAAAACTCCCATACCATTTCTTGGAAGAACTTGTGCCTGCAAAAAAAGATAGAATATTTATTTAACTCAACAAATAATTGCCAAGTTTGAAGTTTTCTTTTTTACGTTTGAGATTTTCTAACATATTAAAATAACGACAGTAAAATTGACGAAGTAATAGATGTTTGACGAAAGGTCTATATTTTCATTTAATTCTTATTCAAAACATTAGCCTTATTAGTTCAAAAGACTGCTTTCAGGAGGCCATATCAAAACTTAAGAATATTACAAACTAAAAGAATTAATCAAAACGGCATCGTTGTAATAAGAAAAATAATATACATAAGACTGACAAAGGTAAATTGCTCCACAGCCCACTTCCAGAAATTTGAAGGGAGAGCGCCTGTTTGACAGGTAAATGCAATTTATCCAAGTCTTTGCAACCCAGAAGAAGATGTAGCTTTCTGCCCATTACAAGTTTTCATTCTTGGGACCAGGACATTAACGCAAATTCATATTGATATCTCGCGCAGAGAAGTTCTTCTAAAATGGGTTTGATAGATAGCCGGGTGTTTGACCTGATAATGCATTGTATATAATAGTAGCTTTCTCGCTTTTTATAATGTCAGTAACGATTGGCCAATTGAGTTTCTTGATCAAAATTGCGGTGGATGTATCATAGCCTGTATTGGTGACAATTCTTCCAGCTCGAGTTTGCAATATTTGTAAGGTTTGCAACCTGGTTTCACTGCAACTTAGGTACACCTTTTTGCATACTTCAAATACCCTCAAGCACTAGATATATAACAAAATGATAAATCCGCATTCTGATTCCAAGCAAGCCTTTCATCAAGTTTGACTCCTAAATATTTTAGTTTCTTTAAAGGTATCAGTTTCAGCGCTATCAATAACAAATGATGGGATCTCTTCTTTATTGTCATCAATCTTTTTTAGGCTTGGCCGAGAACCTTCAACCATTGCCTGTATCTTTATGATATTTAGTGGCAGTTCGTTCCCCTGTAACAATTCCTTTAGTCGATCGAAGTCAGTGTTAAATGTATCATTTACATCGTTGACATTTTTCGTAGAATGCGAAATACATTGTCACATTGAATTTATAGAGCAACAGTGGGAGATCGTTAATATAAATAAGAAATAGGAATGGACCAAGACATGAAACCTGTGGCACTCAATATTTAAATATATATGTAGTCTTGGGGATGTGCCATTTTCCTTGCAAAATTGACGTCTGTTTTGCAGACAGGACTTAAACCAGGAATGCTCATGACATCTATGCCATTTTTTTCTTTAGTTTTGCGAGTAAAATCTGTTGATCGATGGCAGTAAAAGCTTTATGAGATCGATAAATACCATTAAGCTTGGTTTCCACTATGAGTTAACGTGAGATAATTCTGAGTTAAATTGAAAATGGTATACTTCCTGTTGTCCATATATACATTGCAATCATCGGCGCTCTTTGACAAGCAAGTAACTACAGAAGTTGACTTGAAGCCAAACTGTTGTGAAAAATCAGGAAAGGAAAATTTTGCAGCTGCTAAAGAAAGATTGAGAATGCCAGAAAAGGGCTCGGCTATAAAGGTAAGACTGGCTTTCAGATGGAAACTAGCGACACCATCGATTGCAGAGAGAATTTAAAGGAAAGTAACATAGGTAGGGATTGGCTTTTCACTCAGCCACTTCCGCATTTTTACTGCTTATCCAGCAACCTCGATGGTGGGAATAAATTAAGAAACCGACCTGGCACTGAGCAACCAGACCCCCACCCCTCCCATCTGAAGAAATTTGTATAGCGCCGCCACTGGCTACGAACAATTGGCTCGAATCAGATAGATTATTAAGTTATTGAGACAAACCATTTGTCCGAATTCGATCGTAGGCGGTTCCAATATTCGGCCTTCAACTTTTACCATTTGGGGTGACACCTCTATTCCAAAGTAACGCAAGTATGGATCTTTCGCAAAGTCAGCTTTGTTCACCTACAGAAATGAGCATTTAAAAATAAATTCGGCTACAAATTCATTACATTAACATAACATACAGAAATGTTTCTTTCTCGGGTTATAGAAAGGACGATCGGGTACAAGTTTATTTTATTTGCATTATAGCTGATAGGGAATTCGTGTGTAAAGATTTTTGAAATGAAATGAAATGAAATTTTGCGTTGTTCCCGCCTAACATTTATTGTTGTCACATAACCAAGGAAAGATTCAAATAATCCAGCGGTTAGCTTCTTTCTAGCATTTCTTTATTCTTGTTTGCAAAATGATGAATGCCAAGAATACTCAACCGTTTTCAGGAGCTTGGGGAAAATTCCTTAGTGCCATAAACAAGCCACCCCATGCCTACAACTATTAACTGGGTGGGGATGAGCCTCCCCTTTCTGAATCAAACAGAGTACAAAATAAAAAGAAAACTTTTAAAAAATTTCCTTGTTTCTGAGGAGAAGACCCGCTCCCACTTTTTAAAGGTTGTGGTAGAGGTATTGTTGCTCAATAGTTTTCTAAATGATATCTTCCTATTTCTAAACAGAAGTGAAATATATAATTATGCTTATGACTACACAATATGGATAAACTGGCAAACAATGATTGCTACCACCCCAAAACTTGAATGAGGTAAACACACTAAACAGCTAATTCATAGATTATCGCATGCTTCTTAATAAAGAAAAATGTAAATATATGATTATAGAGCCTCAAAGGGCAGAGTCTGGAGAGAGTGAAATAAGAATTTGGGATCATTTAATCACTGATAATCACTGATGAAATAACACTGATAATGAAAAACTTCTTTGGGTAGTACTTGACAACCATCTAGAGTTTGATCATCAAATGAAAAATACTTGTATTGAAGCAGGAAAGAAGATAAGTGCCGTTGTCAGAATATCACCATATTTAGAATAAGTGAAAAGGAACTGTTAATGAAATCGTTTATCACTACCTAACTGTTTAATGTCCCTTTATTTGGATGTTTTGTAGCCGAAAATTAATAATTTAATCAACAATGTTCACTAAAGAGCACTGAGGATTACATATATAATGACAATGATTTTAGTTTCGAAGCTCTACTTATTGAATATAATGCTTCAACAAAACATCAACAAAACCTGCAGAGACTAGCCTTTGGAATGTACAAAACTTTAAGTATCCAAATCCCAGTTTTTATGATCGATATTTTCAGATTTAATGAGTCCCAATATAGCCTAAGAAATGAACCACTTACTACTACGAAATCTAACACAGTTTTCTACGGATCTGAGACAGTGTCTTATAAACGTAATCAGATTTGGAATAACATACCGGCCGAAGTAAGATGTTAACAGTCTAGAAGTCTTCAAAAGGCTAATAAAACAATTCAAAATCCCGTGCCTCTGCAAATTATGCATCCGGTTTATAGCCAATGTCGGATTTATTGCATAGATGGATTATGTATTTCCTTAATACATACTTATATCCAGATATGTATATATATATATATATATACAGGTATATTTTTTCTACATTTCTATTATGTTAGTTGGTATTATGTTAATTATTAGTTTAGAAATTAAACATAATATAACTTTTCTATCAGTTAGTAAATTAGCTTATTGTTATTATTCATAATTAAGCAAGAGCATGTATTCAAACTATAAATAAAATATTGAAAAAGAAGAAAAAAATTATGTGCAGTTACAGACTAAGGAATATCCCTACAATCCTAACCATTAAGCATTTTGTGGACTTAAAAACTTAAGAAGCAAGGTTTGAGTTGTTAAAATGCAGACACCATCAGCTATGCTACTACAGGGAGCCCTGGCTATATCCCATATCCTACCACACGTCTGTATCCAAATAGAAAATAAAATAGAAATAGACTTGTTGACGCAGAATATCTGGGTTATACTGCATCTGGATGTCCCCTGGAAGTGTTAGTTACCGTATCTTAGTTAGATTGTAGAATTAACCTTACTTACGTGTGCTACAGCAGAATCAGAATTTACCTAAAAGAACGGGAAGTAAGTACTAACAAAACACACGAGGGTACCCTACTGAAGAGGGGTAATTTAGAAGTAATGTGCGAGCAGAGACTTACGATTTTCATGATCTCTTCCTTTCGCATTGAAGCAGACTTCGGAGTATTTTTTATCATTTCTCTTGTCTGCCGGTCGCTCAGTTTCTTTGCGCAACGTTGCCCAGAGACAATATTGCAAACTTCCATTGGCAAGAAGCATCCCCTTTCTGGATTGCCGACTTGCAAACAAGGAAGATAAGGATACCTAAAAAGGCACCGTAAGTTTACATTAGCAAGCATAAAACTACTTTTGAAAAATTTCATTAGAGATTGCCATTATAGATTGCCATATAAAACCAAAAGACGAAAACACAGAGGGATGTATTGGCAATCAAATTACACGAACATACGACCATTAAAATTGTTTTCACTTTTTCGATAACAGAGAGTTCATTGAGAGATTTTTTTCACACTGACGGCCCATCTGACTGACATTAGATGCATTCACAGTAAATTTCACTACAAGGCACGTTATCAAATGGAGCGAAGCTAGTATAGAAGACTCGACCATATGACAGTTTCACAGAGATGAATGTACACAAAACGCAAGATACACACCTCAACTTCATCTTGTATCGTTCTTCAAAATAGGCCGCAACAGTGACGTCAGCATTGGCACCATCTTTCTCCATAGTGAATGTTTTTTCATTGGCCGATTCTTTCGTTACTCCAGTTACTTTGTATTTCCGTTTAATATTTCCAAGGTGGGTCACCTCAACTTTAAGTCCTGTAATTAATATAAATTTTTAAAGATTTTGAAGGAACATTGGAAGAGGTATAAACAGTGGGTGGTGCGACCTTAGTGAGGGGGAGGGAGGTAAAGTGGAGGGTACGTGTCTCTTGAGGAAAAGTCGTCAATGATTACTGTGGTTTGTTATGTCAAAACGTGACCAAAATTTCGTGCAATAGTTTATGTTCAAATACCAATATACATTTTAACCCTACAGCACTATCTAAACTTGAAAATTACAAGATAAACCTATTATTTGCTTCAATACTTGCAGAAAGCAAATTTTCTCTTTGCTTCCTAGAAATAAAAAATACTAACAATGCTTCTGTACTTTGTCATCATGATGTACACCTGAAAATCCACAACCATGTATCTAAAAAGTTAATCCTTGTGGGTCTCGTACCTCAAGACTTACACCAAACAAGTTTCTGTCACGTTGGACTTACAAAAAAACTTAGTAAGTATAACTGCATTATGCTCAGTGCCTTAAGCTCAACATTTTCGAAGTTCTCATGATATCAATTCTGGTCTATTGTACTAAGGTCATGCTAGTGCTAGTTCAAAAAATCTCTGTCTACGATAGAGTCGTTTTTGACGATTAAAGGCCTAGGTGTAAAAATAATTTTACTTTATCAAAGGTTTCGCATAACCTATAAATCATTTGAATAAATATTCTCCATTTCTTTTATCTGTATGATGTCATACTTAAAATGAAGTTAGCATTTATTTGTTCCCGTAAACAAACCCGATTATCCTTTTTCAGAATGTGTTCGAGAATGCTTACGAAGTGATGGTAGCCGTTCGCGTAAATATAGGCATACCATATACGTAGAAATGAATGTAGAAAACATGCAGTTACGATTTCAAATATATCTTGATAAAAATGTAGAACCACAAGAAGTGTTGCACCAAATTAAAGCAAGTTTGTCAGTCCTGCTTATATCTCTCCAACTTCAAACAAGTGAATGATTCAGGTCCACCGACAACATGGTTTACTTTAAGTCTACTTTTTATCTTCATTTTAACTTGGTGTTGAGAGAATTGTAAGAGGGATATTCAAACTATCCATGTTTTGCTCTAGGGAAACAGGAATTTTCCATGTCCATATTTTTCTTCAATCTAATGAGTCTTGCTTAATGTCAAACGAAGCAATGTGTAAATCAGCTTACTTTACTTTAGTATTTCACTTTACTTTACTGGTTTCCGTTTATCAGAAACCATGTTCATTAGAACAAGAGACACTAGCTACTTTTGAACGCAATTATTAATCGTTTTTATTAAAACGAATTGTTAGGTCATGCTGAAAACAAATACTTTAAAAAGCTTCAAGACTAACAGTCACTGGACTTAAAGAATTTGAGTGAAACTTAATACTGATTGACTGCCAACCTTACAACCCATAGGCCCATTCAACGAGATGTATATATGCTTAAAACTGATGACGATAAAACCCCCACGAAATAACAAATCCAAGGCAGACAAGACAGGCACGTAGAAATAAGATATTCACCTTTAACTTCTTTTGAAAACCTGATTCTCTCGTGGTCTCCAAGTGGCCTTTTGTTTTCATTGATATTAACTTTGTCCAATACTTCATTTAAGAAGTCTGTTACTGGCTGTGACTTATAGAACGTAGTTGATGATATATCGAGATTGATCATTGTCTTCCAGTAGGCAGGTCGAATGCTTTGATGATAGCCGAACCAAATCTCTCTCCCCTGGCCTAGTTGGTAGGCATTCTTGATATCAGGAGGTTGAAAAAATGATCGACCAACAGGGACGTACCTGAAAATCAAATCTAAGTGACTTAGTCAAAAAGATATTGTACTCCAAGGTGATCAAATTAGGGTATTTCGCCTTTTCTGCAAGTCGATCAAAATCAAACATCCACCAATCTGACAGCTCTTTTATTTTTTGCTTTCCCCTTTGAATTCTAATCAGCATTATGTATGAATAAAATTTTAGCCATTAAATAACGCTCAATCCTATATATCCGGGGGCTCCATTTCTAAAATAATCCTTTCTACCTTCCGATTTGCTAATGATAGTTCACTTACAGACGCACAAAAAACAAGCTTAGGTACATCTAGATAGCTAAAACCCTGACCTTTCAAAATATGAATTTTTACTTTTGGGAGCAAACTTTTAGCGTTTGAGGCGGTCATTATGGGCCATGTATTGAAGAATAAATTTTTTTCTGTTTTTTTTCTCTGATACTGCTTCCCAAAATGTTATGGAAAATCGATTTCGAAGAGGCTACTAATATTGAATAAAAAAATATAGGACCTTTAAGTTTGCAAAAGGTTTATTTCCATCTCCCAGAATTCTGCATCAGAGCTTTTTTGGGGCAGACCTAGCTACGGTCTAATACTGGGGCACATCCACTTTGGGTGTGACCCTTCAAGTTTCTAACAAAAGATTGTGCAACTGATAAAAACAGAGTTCATATCTTATTCTCAAAGCTCTCAAAGACAGAAACCAAGAATAACATTAAAACTACTCATGACTACCCTCTTCCCACAAAAGCCCTGATTTCTGACCATAGCTAAACTTTGGCTTCGAACATTGAGATGGCAATAGCTAGGCTACTTCTGGCAACATAAAAGCATGAATGACTATGATTTCTTTAAATTACAATGAAAATAACTGAAGCAAGTGTAACTAACTGGATTTAGTCATATGAACATGAGAATATTGAAAAATGAAGAAAAGTGGTTTGCCTTATTAAAAAACAATTCATAAACTACAAAGCCTGCAGTATTTAACAAACCTTAAAGACGGAAGATGCCTCAGTGCAATATCCATTGCCTGCATTGTTTCATAGGGTATCTGATTTGTATTCCCACGTAATGCCTCTGTCAATGATGATAAACTGGTGAGAGCAACCCATTTCAATGTAACCTAGCAAAAAATGAATTGTGATAAAAATTAAGTCGAGCAAGCAGACACAGACCCCTCTGAAACCAAAAGAGCTCAGAAAGCCTGGTTTTCATATATTATAATTCATATATTATAACACATGAACCCTGATGATTTTGGATTGTTCCCGATGCTATAAACAATTTTTGAGCATCCAACCTCCATATAGAATTTACGTTTGAGAATATGGCTGATGATCAAGGCCAGTTGGTAATCTAAGCTCGATGTTTGATGATAATCTTACTTTTGAGAACAAACAGCTTTCTTGAAGGGAAGAAATAAAGGAAGAAAAGGTTCTGGATTCTGAAAACAGCTCCTCAAGAGTTAGGCCAGTTTCAAACGATGGTGCAGGAAAAAAGATTACAGAAAAGAAAATGCTTCTTTGGTAATAGAGGAGTTAAAGGATCATTTCAACGAGCTAAACAAATAAACAAGTATCATTGTGTTTTAATTTACTTGTGATTTAATCATACAAAATACAAGCCAATACTTCAACATTATTCATTTAAGCTTTCATAAAATGAGCTTGTAAAAACAAAAGCTGGATTTTTGAAAGGTTAAGAGTGTGCTGTCTCTGGCCAAGTGAGTGAGTCTGGCCACGTATGGAGAATACTATGTGTGACTTCTGGGGTTCTAGTCTAGACTGTTCTTGGCCGACTAGAAAACATATTTGTAACAAATACAATCGACCTTATTAAGATAATTGATTACTTCTACCAGTAAATAAATAACTGTGCTTGTTTGCCTAAAGAAAAATTGAACAATAGAATGACACTTTTATGTCTAATTCCAAACAAAAACCCTAAGCTTACATTTGGGGTGCTTATATTAAGAAGTGAGTTAATTAGGGACTTAGATTTGGGGACATGTTTAGAAGGGGGCTGCATTCAGCATTTTATGGAATAACATTTGCCTATTAGCTAAACAATATTCCAGACTTCACAATGCAGTCTTACGATGCCAAGTCATGAGAATATGTCTCATCAACACAAAAAAGTACTGCTACAGGTTTTAAAGAAATGTCATAAAGAAAGGAAATTATAGGATGTAAATATAATTGGGCTTACAATAACCTTGCAAAGATCTTTCGAGCTATATCAGGCTATCGCATGCAATTGTGAGATAGCATAATGACAAAAGCTTTTTATTTTACACAAAATTTTGACTAGATAATAGCTTGAAACCAAGAGGGCCCCTTTCGAATTTTCAAAAGACCTAATGATAGATCTTTTTATAAGCAAAAATCAAAGATCTTAAAAAACAATTATATGAGTACCTTTAACTTTCTCTCTCTTTCATTTTCCTCCAAGTATGTGATATCAAATTCTTTCTGAAAAGAAAAGTGGATTATCATGTGACTCTTTAAAATAGCAATCCAGGAAGTGAAAATTACAAAATCTATTTAGCATAAACAATTTAGCTTTTTGGCACAGCTTGTAATAGCAATGAAGGGTAACCAAAATACTTTATAGTCAGACATCAACTAGGTTAAAATCACATGCACAATATAAACCCATCTGCTATTCATTAAAAGATTCAATGAACCAAGGCCCTGGGCGCACTGGTTTCTGACATAAAACTCATATCTTTGTTAAAGTGGATAATCCAGAATACTTTTTTATGTTTGAAAAACATAATCTGATTTCTGCTTGAAAATTCATGCACACTGCAGTTTGTGTGTAAAGTGGTTGTTTGCTGTTTTGTTAATGTAAAGTGGCTTAAAACAAAGAACCCATTTGACTTTTGGCTTTGTGTGGTGCAAGAAAAATGTGCCTGGGGCAAGACGACGGGACCTTTGAGGGGTTAGTGAATTTGGTTCAGTGGCAATTTTGGTGGGCGCACTGGAAAATCAGTATTTATTTACTAACAAGCTTGATATCTTTTGTCTATGAACAATATGGATTACGTCTGTCAGAAGTTTCTCCTGAAATCTTGTTCAGTGTGCCAAGGGCCCAAGAAAATTTGCATACAGGTGCTCCCACTAGCTTCCTTTGATAAATGTTGTACTTTATAGCGTTGATACATCTAACCAGACTTTCTAAAAACAAAAACTTCCATCCACTAATAACTACATTCTTCCACCTATGATGAAAGAATGATGTAGAAAAAATTATCCAGATCTTCATATTTATTCTCTTCTTCACAAACTAATTAAGAAATGAAATGATACCAAAAGCCAATGGACTGACTTTTTAGCAAGAAAGATAAAACACCAGAGAAATTGGACAAATGAGGTAGCACATCAAAGTAATGCATAGACCTGAACAGGTTCACCAATGTAAGGTATAATTAAGTGTACAGGGAAACAAATTTGTACCTTTCCATTACCAATGTCCAAAGGTGATATTGTATACATATTCTTTTTCCCATCAAACACAGGTTTGTGGCTGCCAAAGACTTCTGGATAAACTGAAACCATCCTTTCAATAGCGATTCTGTTTAAACTTGCTGGACACTTTGATGGCTCAATAGTAACATCATAGTGATAAATGTCATGGTCTTTATATTTGACTTCAAAGAAATTAGCTGATAATGTAATCTTTTTCCCACAATTCCCAAAACCTGGTCTTTTTGGCAAACTTTTATCTAAAAGGCAAAATAGATACATGAAATGCCAACATGACTATAAAAAACTACTGGGCTATTCAGTCCACCTAGGATGTCAAGTCTTTGTTTCTTCAGCTCTTAATCTGTTGAAAGTCTGTTTTCAACCACACTTAACAGCCAAGTATAGTTGACAAAATGATTTTAAAAGCTTTTCAAACTTGAGTTCTGGCCAAAACATTAACCTATGAAGCACACTTACTAGAAGAGTCATTAATGGAGTTTGCAAAATCATGTTATAAAGAGCAAAATTACATTTACAGTCTCAGTCATGCCACACTTTCCCGAACTTTGATGCGACAATACATAATTTGCTGAGGAGTGTGATTTGATACAACTGTAAAATTTGCTCTAAACTGATGTGACATTGATTCATTTTTCAAAAAAAGTAATAGTTCTTTGCGATAAATACATGAGAAAATATTAGCCATGTAGGGCCAGAAAGGGTGATGCCATGGCAACTCCATTGATTTGGTCATACAATAGAGTATCAAAGTGATGATGTAATAAATGATGAAGTGGGTGATGGCCCCCCAATACTTTGGCAGACAAGTCTTTTGTTCAAAAACACAGGGAAAATGTGAGGTCATCTTATCAAAACAATAGGCTTGATACTTTTTAAAACGTCATCACTCCTACTCTATTTCCATTGAATAGAAATGACTTTTTGTGTGGAATTGACAGAAGATCCTCCTATCAAAAATGTTTTAATAATAATCCTAGCGTAACCCTCATACATCTTAATAGTGGAAGTGTTTATACTTATATCTCGACAATGAAATGTTTGTTATATTGTCTATAAATAGGACTGTCAGTCTAAAATATGGAATGGTCATAACATAATGTTAAAAACTAATGGAAAGTGCTTTCCTTGGAATAGTATTTCACAAAATAATCATTTCTCTATCTTAATTAGATCACGTTATAATCAGACCGTATTTCCGAGCAAGGTATTTGAGCTAGTAAGCAATGTCTAAAGCATTGAAAACCTATACAATCCACTTTCTTTATACTGCAATTATTTTTTCATAGTTTAAGTTCTCAACACCTATTTGTTTCCAGACATTGCCCACGATATTATGGTATCCAAAACAAAAGAATTTCATGTCATGCAAACCAACAACATAGAAACTTCTGGCAAAATGATGTACAACATTTGACATACAATCAAATTAATATCTCAAATACAAGCTATTGCATGAAACAAAAAACAATTTGGATCGAAATTACCTGTTCTTTTCGTCACCTGTTGCAATGTCGACCCTAAAGTTGCCAGTGGCCTATCGTTTTGGCTCTGTTGTGACAAAAATTGCGGGTTCATAGCAGGACCTGGCCTTAAGCCTTCGGTTTTCCTACTTCTTTTCCCTTTCCTGCCTCTACCACGGCCCCTTCCACGTCCATCGTCACTCATAATGGCAAGCAAATCAACTGTTTCTCCGAAGTTTTGGATGAAGGAGCAGAACTAGACAAGATCAAGAAAATGTTTTGAGATATGCTCCTTCAAAGCGCTGTGTTAGGTGTACAGCGCAGCTTTCCCTTAAAATGGTTCTTTTTCTCAATTATCAAGAGAAAGGTAAAAAGCCTTTAAGCTGACCAAAAATGAAAAACGTTAAAATTAAATACAGTTAAATCCCGATATAACGAGCTTCGGATATACATGTATTTTTTCTAAAAGAAACTAAGTTCCGATGCTGGTAGTTTCTTAAATTTTCTGGCCATTTTGCTATCAAAAGTTTCTTTCATGTTTCTTAAATTTCTTAGGTAATGAAATTTTTAAACGTGCTTCCAAGGTAAAGTAAAACGTTCACTCGCATTCAGAGATAAACTAGTGTAATGTGCTAATTCGAAGAATGATAGACGATGGTGTATTAAGTTGAAGTCAAAACAAATAATTAAATGGAAGCTTCTTGAGTGTGCAATTTACTGAAAATGAATGCAAACTGCATGTCAAGTGTAGTGCTGCAACATAAAGTGATGCGCTATGTCAAGACTGTTTCGAGTGTCAACTCAAAAAACTAAAACTGCAAATTATAAAAGTTTCTTAGTTTTTTTCAATTTGGGTAGGGTTGTTTCTTAACTTTAAAAAAATTTTCTTCAGATTCTCTCGGTACTATGGTATAACGATCCCCGGATATAAGGAACTCTCGTTATTACGTTACAGGCCAAATTTTAGGTCCCTTGATCATAAAAACCCTCGATATAACGAATTTTTCATAAATTTTTTCATGTTTATTTATTTATTTAATTATTGTCCGTCTTCGTTTATCACGTTCTCGCATAGAAATTCATTATTGTCATCGGCAAAACATACATCGGCAAACATGCACATTTTATTGTCCTGGCAATAGAGATGAGATGTATGCAATAGTTAATAACTTTTAAGGCTTTATTACATCTCTGTGAAAAAAGCCAGACTTTTTGTTATCAAATTGTAAGAGAAATATTAAGTGTCGTGAACAATGTTTCCATTCTCGATCAATAACCATTAATAACAGGGCTCATCCACATCGTATGTATGCAAAAGATATCATATTTTGAAACTCCTTTCCCCCGTATATGCAGTCATACTTCCTTGGCGAACTCCGCCCCTTGGCCTACGTACTTTTTGAGTTGACCCTTGGCCCTCTCCCCTTTCCTGCGTATGTAAGTGAATGTTCCCACTTGAATTCAGCTACCGTAAAAGCTCTATTAAGCCTCCGGGTTTTTTTTAATTTTTGCAGTCCTAAAGGGGGGCTTAAAAGAGACGGGGGTTTATTAGAGAGAGGGGGGCTTATTAAAATACCTGAAAAATTGGTATCCCGGTTAAACGAACTCCCGAAATAACGAACTATTTTCAGGTTCCGTTCAGAGTTCCTTATTTCGGGATTCCACTGTCATAAGTTGTAGATCTTTCAAGAATTTCAAGAAAGTGTTGTACTAGAATTGACTCTTCGGGCAGAAAGAAAAACAGGTGAATTCGCTGATGAACAAGGTTGTTCATTTAAATCAATTTGAGCCAAATACAATGCTAATTATAAACATTCTTTAAACGTAAAACTGAAGAAGTTATAAACAAAACAGAAATGCAGACAGAAAAACACGAAAAAACAGCAGAGAAATTATCAATTGTGTTTTGAAAGAATGATATGCAGTTTATTTACAACAATAAACACTGGTTTATTGATCAACGTATGAATTTCTTCTCTATCATAACTAAATTCAAAAGCATTGCTAATAAAGTTTTGTTGTAAGGGTTATTCTAAAAAGCAAGAGCATTTTCACTCAGAAGTACAATATTTTAAAATGTCAAGCATCGAAAATAAATTTAAATATCTAGATAGCACTCAGCAGATTGTCCAAAAACAAAATAGGCAAAAGCTTATCCAATTGGTTTGTTGGCATTAGTATGACCTGACAGCGGGTGGTACAGATGCACATTCCTTGTCGCTTAGAGTCTCGTCAATAACTGGTCGATATTTCAATGTTACCTGGAAAGAAGTTCAAGATTAAAAATAAACCCATTTGCATACAAATTCAAACTTGCGTACTTGCTCACAAAAGGGAAATTCTGTCTTACTCATTTCTAAGAAGTATGGCTTAGCAAATCTGAATCAAACATAGGCTACATGACAATGAAGCTTTGAGCAAAAGTAGAGGTGTGGTTTATTTCTGTACCAGTTTCTACAAAGAAACGTTTCTTGGCAATGGAAATAGCAGTAATCCCCTTAAAATCTTCAAAGCAAAAATCTTCAAAGTTAGTTTTTTGTTGGTACTCTCTGATTGCTGTGACTCTTCTGTAGCTTAATATCCGACGACTTAGGTCTATTAAAAGAAGAACAGTGCTCTTCTTTATGACACCTTATTCAAAAACTTTCCAATGCTACATTTCAAATTGTAGAGGTTAGGCATAGATTTGACCTTAGGATCTCCATTTCAGGGACAGGTAAATATAAGAACAAATTTGATAAAAAAATTACTGTAGGGATGACTACAGTACCTTTCCAGTTTCTGGGTCTTGGTAGGCTAAAGTGTGTTTCCTCCAATGCTGATTAGCAGGCAACTTTGTCTGTCCTTCGATTGACTTGCTGTAGTCATACTCATCAATTCGCTCCTGAAATATTACAGGTACAATCATTCATCAAACATAAACAATGGTGTAATGGACAAAGACACATGCCGATACGATTGGAGCACCTTCTGAAAATTAATTAGAGCAAAAAATAAAGCCATTCTACTACCTTGGCTTTTAGGGGGACCGTACTTAAATCCTACTAAATAAATTTAGCCCCTCTTTCAGCACTGCAGATAAATAAATTATTGGTCTTAGCTATGCCTAAGCTTAAAGTTACTGGTCCTTGAGATAAAGATGCCTTATACGTATATACACTCAAGGCGACAATTTATTGCTGTTACGGAAAAGAAATCCTGGTGACACAAAAGAAAGATGACAAAATCATAAAATAAAATTCAAAATGTGAAGGAAAATATATTTGAGAATGCCCAAGTACTCTGGGTAAAACAACATTTCACTAAAAAATAAATGCGATTTAAAAAAATGTCACATTACTTTATACCAAAATCCTGGAGGGCCTTGTTTTTATTATGGGAAACATAATTAGAAGGAATAAGGTAGACAAAAACCTGAGGATTCCTGGAGAGCCTTTAATCCACATTGCTCGAAAAAACGCCTGCATTTTAGCACTCTTCTCGTAAATTCAAATTTTGTTTCAAAAAAAATAGAGTATGTTTTACTGAAGCAAGTTCAGATGGGCAGAGTACAAATATAGCTGCCATACTCAGATTCATATACAATATGAACATGCTGAGTTTATTGAATGTCAAGTAGAAATTGTGCAATACCTTATAATCCTCTCTGGCGTGGGCTCCACGGCTCTCCTTTCTTGCCTCAGCAGAGATCATCGTTTGGCATGAGTTCAACATAAGATTTTGCAGCTCAAGAGCTTCAACCAGGTCTGAATTCCACACCATGCCGCGGTCGAAGAGTTTCATGTCTTTGAGTTGACCATATACATCATTGATTTTACGACAGCCTTCTTCCAGGACCGGACCGTCCCTGAAGACAGCAGCGTTGTTCTGCATTACTTGCTGCATATTCAGGCGAACCTCGGCTACAGACAACGAACCGTTTGCGTACCTAAGAGAGTCAAGGTTTGCAACCGATTCTTCTCCAGCATTCTAGAAGAACAGAAGTCAAATTAACAGATTTCCTGTATACCAAAGCTTGCACTTTTACACCATTATACCGAAAACGCCTAAATTGTGCAAACTTTATGTGCAACGGGTGCATTTGAAAAAAAGAATGTAAAATTCAGTTAAGCTGGCCAAGGATGTAAAAGAGTTTTGACAGACTTGGCTAAAAACAGGATCAAAACCGTTTAGTCATCTTCCAAAAGTTTACAAAACCCAGAATTCTCAATTTTTACGGAATTTCAAGAGGACAGAATCCTAATCTATCTGTAATTTTTGATACTACTTACCTGTGGAAGGTCTGGGATTGACTCTCCTGGTTTGTTATTTTCAATGATAGTTAAGGCGCATGCTCTTCCGAAAATGACCAGATCTAAAAGGGAATTTGCACCAAGGCGGTTGGCACCATGAACTGACGCACAAGCTGCTTCTCCGGCTGCGTAAAGTCCTTCGATTATTTTGTCCTCGCCATTATTATGATCCAGGACCTAATCAGAACATAAAACATTGATTCTGCAGCGGAAATGTGCTTTGGGAACATAGCAGTTGCAAATTTTAGTGTCAATGTGACATAAACGAAGGCAAAGGAAACTATGTTTCACTGGATTGGCATATATTTTGAATATTTCAGGGTCAAAGAAAGTTCTAGTGAGAGTTCTAAAGTGAAGGGCTTGAATTTACATCTCTGGAAGGTTGATTTGCGTTTAAAATGAAAATTTTTTTTATCATTGAAATACTTGAAACTGGGATTTTCCCTTATCTTACTGTCTTGACCCTAAGATGAGGCTTTGTGTACCAATACGTATTGTGCAACATAAACCACAACAAAGCTTTTGATAACAATAATGCTTTTTGATAAAAAGGTTGATGATGAAAAGGAACCTATACTGGGAAAAAATTATTTTTCTCTTTCGGGACCTTTCAACATTTCAAACACAACAGGCTACTTAACTATAACACAAAGTTGATTGTAGTCTCTCAGAAAGGTTCTAAAATATGACGATATCAACGCTTTCCGAATACTTTCTAATGTCAATACCAATACCTTGCAAAAATGTTTACAAGATATGAAAATATTGCCAATTAGCAATCCTATCGCCAAACGCCTTATTGCTTACCTGTCCCTTGTAGTTTGTAGGGACACCTCCCATGTTATAATGCACTGTGGGTAACACAGGGATAGGATCTCTTGTGACATCAACTCCAGCAAATATCATGGCGGTCTCTGAGATACCTGGTAGTCTGGTCCTCAAGACTTCGGCTGGCAAGTGTGACAACTGGAGATAAACATGGTCTTTGTGTGGACCACAACCCCTGAGACAAGACGATATTTGGGTTAAAAAACTTAGCATTCTGAGATAAGCCGTACAGGACAATACATCTAGGAGGTTTGGGTGCGTCCTTGTGATTAATAAAAGTCAACGAGACAAGAAAGACACCAAATTTTTGTAAATTACGATGATAGGCAAAGTCTGAGCTTTGGTTTTAGAGAACAGGTTGCTAGGCACTTGGTAGCTTATAGTGAGAAGAGAAGCAGCGGGCCTTGTGCCAACCTGCACAGAGCCCTTGGTCAGAGAGTAAGACAAAACCAGAATCCCTATAATAGCCCAACAATGCTAGCTTTGGTGTCATTGAATGGCCAAAGTTTGAAAGCAAAAAACTAGTCAAGTGGTCAAATACAGCTTCTTAACAAGAAGGGAACATCGTTCATTAGCGCACCTTTAAAACCAACTTGATATGCAGAAACAGACAGTATAAAATGTTACTGAGAGGAAATTCTATAAAACCAGTAGTGACAACTTGAAACTGTCTACCTTGAAACACAACACCAGTTACCACAGAGAAAAAGTAATAAAGCATCTAGTTAAATTAATCCTCACCTTCCTTCCCTAATCTCAATGGTCATTGAACGGGAAACAACATCTCTGGAAGCCAAATCCTTTGCGTTGGGGGCATAACGTTCCATGAATCTTTCACCCTAAAGCCAAGAAAAACTGCATTAGCACAAATAAAAATCTTCAAGGATAGAGGAACAGATCGCAGAAAAACAATCAATGACAAGGGAACTATGATACAACTCATGATGCGACCAGTGGCCGTGATATGTTTTCCAATACCCCCTGAGTAAGGAAGGAGCAGGACAAAAACAGAACTGTTACAAAAAACCTAAAAGCATTTTTCAGTTTCAATGTAATCGTTTCTTCTTGAGGTGCAATTGTAACTCTAAATGTTAATTGAAAAGTTTGAATGTGGAAAAGTGTCTCGCGAGTTGCCCTAGCAACAGCATTGGGGCCTTTGCTCTCTGGTCAGGGTTTTAATATGCTTGCATGGAAAAGGTCATTTAAAAAATTGACTAGTAAAGAAATTTTTGTTGCCGGGGATATCTCTAAAAATATCTGACTGGGATTTATTTGAAAAACGTCTGGAAGGATGGCATTTGAAACAAACTTTCATAAACTTTTTAGTTATGATGTATGACAAACAATAATGAGATCTGAAGCAAATACAGTAAGAAGCACTGAAGCTTTTGACATGATGAAATATCACTTAATGTAGCGAACATTACCTCACTGTTAATGAGATATCCTCCTTCACCTCTGCTTCCCTCTGTAATTAAGCAGCCAGCTCCGTATATACCTATCAAAACAAAAAGCACGATTGGCTTAAGGTTTATATGAGCAAAAAGAGAATGATACTGTGAGGTAAACTTTCTGCAGAAGTACTAGACGATATTATTAGGCCTTCCATCTTTCCGATGAGTAGCAAATCAAGCAGATCCCTTTAAAAAACTCCCTCTTTGAAAGATATTTAAAAGGGTTCTCAATTAGTAGGTTAACCAAAACAAACAAAGAACTATTCAATTCTTTTCTCGCTGCTCCGTCCACCGTGTCTCTTGCCAGACATAGCAGCCTTTGCAGAACCAAAGTTATATTTCTGTAGCATTTGTGAGTCTAAAGCTACATTGGGGCCCCTATTGAGACGCTAAGAGCAAAGCCCCTTTGGTTGTTGTTGCTGTTGTTGAGAACCATGGCCACAGTGAGTGGAAGCATACCATGTATTTTTCGAGTAAAATCTGTTGAATCCTGAGGCCGAATTCTAAAATTTCCACGAGGTTTTCTGTGGAAGTTAGGTTCTAGTCTCTCTGGCAACACAGCTTTCTGTTCGAATCAATGCTGTTTCAATGTCTTTAGTCAGTATTATGACTAGAACTGAACAAGCAATTGCATTAAAAGAGCCAGAGTGTTCAAATATGAATGTTTTCGGTAACATTACTTATATAATGACACTGGTTCAGCTAATAGACAAGGAATTTATGCATTTTTATATGTAGTGAATCAAAAAACCAATATGGAACAGCTTGACATGGGAACAAACGTTACAAGAATATCAATATATTGGCTTGGTTGATCAGATTGAAAATTACCTCATGCAAGGGCACAATCAAATTTGCGTATTTGTTGAAAACTTACATTTGACAAAGCATTACTTACATTTGACAAAATTCAGAATTACTTACTGGCAGTTGAACAATGCTCATACTTATTCTAAGAGGATTGAAAAACATTGCAATGGATTGCATTAAAGTTGTCCAAAAACCACTTATCTCATGCATTGAATTACTGCTGAATAAAAGCGATAGACAAGTACCTGTGGGATGAAACTGGACGAATTCCATATCTTCATTTGGCAGGCCTGCTCGGGTAACCATTGCAGTGCCATCACCAGTACACGTGTGTGCAGAGGTACAAGAGAAATATGATCGACCATAACCGCTAGAAATCAAAGGAATTATGAGTTTATTGAAAATTGCCAATCAGTGATAAGTGATACTTTCCAAGCTATCTTCCCATGCCTTCATGGCTGTTGTAGATATCTTCCATGCTATCTTCTAATATTGCCATACCAAATGATTCAAGATAGATAGTGATTATTGAAATATCTAGATCAACGTGATTTTTAGGAAATTACATGGCATCTAGTAAAATCTGTAAGAAAAGGAGCCCCTGATCAGTTCAAACGAAAAAGCTAATTCATTCTTTCGAGCTGAAAGCGTATTCAAAAAATTAATTAAATATTTGAATGAAGTACACAGCTCAAGATGCAAAAAAGTTTAGACAATAACCATATAAAGTGAGACCAGCTAGCTGAACCTAGAAATAGCTATATCTATAACCAGCAATGCTTGTTAGATTGTTGAAAGCGACTTTCGTTTCAGTGGTCAAATTTCTGTGAAAATCTTTTGGATTAAATTAAATTTTTCGTCTTACAATTACAGGTGACTTAGAAATTACTTTGCACAAATTTTATTTGCTTATGTTCCTCCTAAAATCTTGGCTTTTCATTTTATGCAATTTTTAGATAATCGTTTGAATATTTGAAAACAGCGACCGTCTTCTGAATAATAATATAATTCAAATACGGACATTAGTATAAAATATAAAGATAATTAGATATTTAGTAGAAGTTAGGCTAAAAGTTAGATGCCTTTGTTGGTTCTGAGTTTTACTTTGTACTACTGTACATAAAGCGCTGTTATGACTGAAAAGACAACGCAATTTTAGAAAATTAAGGATCTCCATAATTTATAAACATGGTGCATACTTTTACTTGAATTTATATAACAGCAATGGAGTCTACTCACCCAGTGGCAATGACTGTGTTTTTTGCCTTGATTCTGTGCAGTGAACCATCTTCCAAACACAGTGCAATTATTCCTACACAACGCCCTTTTTCCATAAGTAGATCCATTGCAAAGTACTCAATAAAATAGTTGCAGTCATATTTTAAAGACTAAAAGTAAAACACAAGATGCAATGAGAAAAACAAACAACTACTTTAGGCATGAGATATAGGGTAAGAAATTAAAAAAATAAACCTAAGGCATTTAATGTCTTATGTATGGACTCAAAACAAATCATACACATTTATGACCCTCAGGCTTTAGAAAATGTTTCTGATTGTATGCATATTGCTAAAAACCATTTTCACCCCCATACCAGTGGATTGGTAGAGCTGGATGAAAATCACATTAAGCATGAAACTCAGACTTGCAATTTAGTACCACACTGTTCTATACAGCAAAGCCTTAAATAGTAGATACATGCAGCTACTTCTGGCCTAAAAGATACCAAAATTTTTCTGGTGTGGCAGCTCGTGGTTGGTCAAAAGAAATCATGAAATGCTCTTGTTGATAAGTCAATGACAATTTTAACAAGCATATTGTAGATGCTAGCATAATAAAACCATCTTTTTAACAAGTGCTTTCATCATAATTAGTTACAATAAGGTTAAGCACAATACCTGTCCGTAAAGAGTATGCAGGAGGGAATGCCCAGTTCTGTCCGCTACAGCACAGCATCTGTGAGCCTGTCCACCTTTTCCAAAGTTCAAGCTCTGTCCTCCAAAAGCTCGTTGATAGATATCACCAGTTTCAGTCCTGCTGAATGGCATTCCATAATGCTCTAACTGAATAAAACAAAACAGCATTGGATACATTGAAAAGAACAAAGCTCACTAGCTCACTGAATCTTTAGTGGAATATCCACAGGATTTGAAATGCACAATGATCATATAGGACACTAGCAGAACAAAAACTATGCTTCTATTTTATAAACCACAAGGCATGATTTATGAAGAAATCCTGAATTGCCAAATAATGAACTACTTATTGCCAGTTCAGTCAAAAGGTAGACTGAATAAACCAGCACCCTTTTGTAATTATGCTTACCCAACACATCAAGAAACTAAGAAAAAGGTCTTTTAATTATCAATTGCTGTATATAATGTTATGAACAGCACAATCTCCCAAAGGTTGATGAATAACTTCATTTCCCCAAAGAGAGAAAGTTTCTTACTTCAATGACTGCTTTTGGTGCTTCCCTTGTCATATAATGAATTGCATCTTGGTCTCCAAGCCAATCACTTCCCTTCACTGTATCATACCTAAAATCATCATGATTACTGATCAATGATCTGCTCTCTTCTATTACACAAAATTTTAACATAAATTGAAGAAATCAAATATAAGAAATAAATCTTACCAAAATACTTACATGTGCCATCTCCAATCATCATCTTCCATGTTGCCAAGAGCTGCATTGATGCCACCCTAAATCAACCACAAAGAGGTGTTGATTAAAAATGCCATGCTGCTTAGAACAAAATTTATAGATGATAACAGACAAGAAAACAATTTCTAGATGATACAAGTGGTTAAAACTTATTTTAGTTAGATTTTAAGTAATGTTATCATTACATGAATCAAATGCATATCAAACTCATCCTAATCATTGTTGAAAGTAACTAAAAGATGAAGAGAACTTTTCGGCTAAAGAGAATCTTTAAAGAAAGCTACTTACTTGTGCTGCTACTGTATGAGACCGTGTTGGAAACAATTTTGTGACACAGGCAGTTTTAAATCCTGCATTTGCAAGGCCAAAAGCTGCTCTCAACCCAGCACCTCCAGCACCAACAACCACACAGTCATAGGTGTGGTCAACAACTGGATATTGCCGTGAAATCTGCAAGAAGACATAAATATATGTTTGCTAACAACCACTAATTTGACACAAAAGGAGTATACATAACCAGACAGATCATGGTCCTTGAATAGTCTAACTGACCTTGACCCACAGGTCCACATAGGTAACTCTCTTTACAGTAAAATTAGCGGGTGTGGAAGTACAAATGTTATGCAAACAAGCATTTTGCAAACAAGAGTGGGAGAGCATGCAGGTATTTTATCAACTTTATTTCTTTGGATAGGTTGAATTGACAGACAGTATTTTAGCATAAAGTTTGTGATTGAGTTAAATGTAAAAAGAGATCATTGTAAACATGGTTGGCAGGTAACTGTATTGGGATACCTCAGAACTACTTGTTCCATCCTTGCTTCTTTTCCCTTCAATCTTGAAATGAAATCCTCTTGAGCATGATGGTATTGCTAGCCTAGTAGGCTACAAGAAAAAGACATCTTATAAGTATCGTGCCTATAATTTTCTGACATTATAGGAAAAAGCAGAGGCATTTATGTAGAACTCAAACAATGAAACTAGAGTTGTGGCCATTAAATGAAGCTTAATTTCAACCAAACAAGACATGATGTTTTGCCATTGCATTAGCGGTTCATAATTTCTAACACACTGCACCTAATCTTATATATTCCTGAAAAATTCCTTACCATAATAATTCAATAAGCCACTCTGTACATGTAAAGAGTCCTAAGGATCCCAATGGGCTTACATCAGTCCTAGAAACATTAGGTGTCTGCTCGCACACACATGCCTCCACACATGCTAAAAACTGTTGAGTCATGCTTTTAATCGCATGCCCAGTTCGACGTTTTGAATTACCATTCTTTTTACTCTTTTGTTTCTTTTGATTTCTTGTTTACTTTCTCTAAAGCAATTTTTGATTTCTTTGTGTGCATTATCTTGAAGGCATTAATGAGGGCATTATAACTCTTTAAGGCCTGGTTTCCATTACTCCGTTTCCGTATATGTCTCCATTTTTTTCTTTGTTTGAGCTCTTTTTGCTAAGATGGAATGACTCTGTTTGCAAATACTGTTCCCAACAAAACGAAGTGTTTTAAAATGATTCCGTTGTCGAATGACTCCACTTTCAACTGTTTTTGAATGACTCCGGTTTAGTATCAAAATGACTTCGTTTTTGATCATATCAATGAAACTCAAAATTGAATAGTATATGTTCTCACACAAATATGGAGAAATGGCAACAGGGCCTAAAAACTTGTATGCTTTTTATTCAATTATTTTGTTTTCAAGAAATGTTTTCTAAAATCAATCTGCAAAATTATTTGGTTGTATGAAAACCTCAAACGGTTCGAACAGTGATACACCCCAAAAATGATATCACCCTTCAAAAACATACAATGGCATTTAATATGCTATCAGGTCTTCATTTTCAAGGTGTGTGATTACCAGCACACCAACAAAATTCATATTACCAGGACTGGCGAACATTGAGCTTTAGAAAAACAATACCTCATCATATTACCACAAAGAAAACACAAATGTTTATTTTGCATGACTGCTATTCAAATCCTATGCAATCAACATTAAGCAGAGCTAAAAGTAAACTTTATGACACTCATATTGCCTAAAAGAAAACTTTAGCATTTAACAGGGGTAAAGACTGAATGAGAAGCAATTTACATAAAAAGTTTCAATTATACCATTACTCTTACTATCTTATCATAATAGCCCTATTGTGAAATTGGTGTACAATTTCAAATCTTGGCGTGCATCACTATTCTGACCTCCTCAAGCATCTGCCATACTCTGCAGACTGGAGTGTATTCAAGAAAAATTCATTGAAATATTTTTTAATAATATCCACATTCCACTTTGTGACAACCAAAACACCAACGTACCAAAAGTTCACTTTTTCACTGCTAATGAATCTGGGCAAGTTTAATTTTTAAAGGGCAGGCTTAATAAGAATCAGACAAAGCAAGATTTTATTGTCTCTATGTGGTGTATATATAGGTGTAATTAAATAAATCTATGAATCCCTTTCTCTCTTTTTACACCTTTCATTTACTATTATATAACCTGAGCTGATGTTCTGACATCCACCAAAATTAAGTCAATGATTAGGGGGAAATTTTATCTCCAAATTTTACTTTAAACAGTTTCTTTCGAAGCTCTTGCACTAGCCTTCAATATGCTAATGCATTAAAAGGATTCTCGATTACATGCAATTTGCCTTATAGCAATATTTCTACGTACATTACATTATGCAACTGGCCTTCTAGAAACAAACTGATAAATTATTACATAACATCTACATTGTAAGGCATATCGACTAGCAAATTTAGGTAATTAAGCAATCCAGAAAACACATAGCAAATTAACTGTTCAACTTACATTTAGCAGATTTTTTATTCTTCTTGTCGCTAGGTACGAAGACATCTTTAAGGAAATACCGTTTGTCACACACTGGCGACGAGAACGACTTCACCACTTGTTCTCGTCAGGCACTGACTGATCACAGGGCACAATGCAACAAAGTTAGGATGTCCCGAAAAATACTGCGCGCATTGCATTCTGGACAGGATGAGGTTGGGAGAGGGGGGATAGCCAGTGCTGAGGAGATGGGGAGGGGGGGTCCATGACTTTAGGGAACCATGGATAATAACTTAACTATACAATTAAGAATTGGCAATTCAGCCTCTCCATTATCAAAACCTGTCAAAAATAGTAACAATAATGGGAAAAGCCTTTTACTCTTAGGTGCCTAGTTGCCGTCCCTTCGCTAATTAATTTGTGAAAATTTTTCTAACCCCTAACTCGCTCTTACTAGGACCCCCCGCCAATTGATTTTGGCACTTATTACTGTAGTAAAAAATTATTACCGCCAATTGATTACTGTAGTAAAAAATGCTTAACACCAGCTAAATATTGTCGATGATAAATAATAGCTATATAATAATGAAAAAGCGTACTGATTTTAATTAACACGCATTTTGAGTATTCAGTTTATTTAACTTCACAATTTAGACCCCCCGGTAATTAAACCCCCGCCCCCCCCCCCTCGCCAATTAATTTTGAACATAAAATCCGCACCCCCGTTTATTCTGACCCCCCGGCAATTAGGCACCTAAGAGTAATATAATAAGGTAGAAGCAGCAACAGTATTAACCCCGTTATGTTAGTTAAACAGAGCTAGTAGGTTTAGGTAGTTTTTTAGTTAGTTAACAAAACAATTCCCAAGTCTTTGCACCTATAAAAGGGTCAGTTATGGAGCTATAGTCAAATTTTTCTGAAATTTCTGTTTCTTTAGACAATTTGAACGATAATTCAGCTGTTGCAACAGTAGCGGGCAAAGTCAGAAACAACTTTAATGCGAAGAAAACATTGGAAAATAAGCGTTTTAAATTCAAATGCTGAAGCTTGTTCAACAGTACCCTGGGTACCAGACTCACTATATATAAAAGAAAATAGAGAGTCTGGTACCCAGGGTAGTTCAACAGCTGCAATGGTTGATGCTCCTTAGAAAAAGTGACTCCTCAGCAGGGGCGAAACTACTGGGGGGGTATGGGGGGGTGCTGCACCCCTCCAATCTTCAAAAAAGCAGATTTTGTCGGGCAAATTTATGGCTGCTAGTGTATCTGTCGGGCAAATCTGGAAATTTTCTTTAGGTCGCACTTTTATTGCTACTTTTTGCCCTAGGTTGGCTTTTTAATTCATGGTCTTTTCCCCCATCTTTTTTTCAATCTCCTCCCAGTTGGGGAAACAAAACAGAAAGGAGGCAAGAAACAGCAACATATATACATTTCTGTCTTTCGTCCGTCCACTGATCAGCGCTTTCGTCTGGAGCTCAACGCGCACATGTTTATCTTCGCCTCGAGATGAAGTCTGAAGTATTGATCGACAGCAAAAGTATAGACAGAAAGTAAAGTGTGTTTGATGCGAGAAGGAAATGAACACTGTGTATACCCCTCCCCCTACTTTTTGCAAAACAAGAGAGCTTTTTACAAAATCTTTTGTTGTGATTTCTAAATTTTCCCTTGACAAGCCCCCTCCCCCCCTCAACGTTCCATCCTGCCTCGGAGCCCATAGAACACTGACAGTTTTAGAAGCATCAAAGCATGAAGGATATACCATCTCGGAATACGTTGTTGAGAAAATCAATCAATATTTTCTTTTCCAAATGTATGAAACTTTCATTCATGAAATCAAACATGTTTTAGAAATTTAGGTCAGGACATTTGAAGAAGACATCATTTGGATTTTTAAACATTTCATAACATCAACAGGAACTTAATAAAACTATTTACAATAAACATGATCAAACGTGAACACCTTTTCATTACAACGTGGCGTGAACAACTGACTAATGCAACTTCGAGGTCTAGGAACGAGTGAAGGATTAACCGCGTGCTGCTCCTTCACAACAATACATCCATAAGGAGTTATGCCCCAAAATTCTCTTAAGATTTTACACTTACGGTTCGAAAGTATTGCACCCTTCGCTAGAAAATGGTCATACAGAAGCCAAAGTTTTTTAACTAAAAAAATTTGAATAACCATAACAAGTAACAGAAAGTTTTAATCAGTTCAAGCGGGAAGTAGTATAAAATTTATCAAGAAATTGTAGTTAAGATATGAATTGCAAAAAATCTTTCGAGTTTATTCTATTTCTGAACAATATCCATGATTACGAAAACATGAAAATTGAGCTTTGATGATAGGTATACCTGTAAAATACCTCCAATAAAAAACTTTTCTTTGCTTGAGGGATTTTGTTATGGTGAATTTAGATATACGTACTTTGTGCTTGGGTGTCTAAAAATATTGAAATTGCTTCCGGAGCAACCGAAAATTGAAAATGAAACTCAGAGAATGCAACTGAAGCTCTTTTTTGTTGGAACATTGTAATCTGCGTAGCTGTTTCTAAATTCCGAAATTTCCAAGCTGTGTTTTGGTGTTCCACTTTGATAAAATTGAGACCCTACTTCAATCTCTTTTTTGAATTGCTCTCTTAATAGCTAGGTGATTTAGAAAGTGAAGACTTTTTTTTATAGAAAAGACAGGCCTTACAAATGCTTGCTTATCGGAAACAAATGTTTATAGCCAACACCAGAAAAACTAGAGGCATATTTTTTTACTCAAAACAAACAGCCTGAGTCTAAAGACCCTCTCTCGGGCTTCCCGATGATTTCAGCCCTTGAGGCGATGTGCTCTAAAAATGAAGTTCATGTAGGACACGCCCTTTCATCAAGCATGCCACGCCCTTTCGTCGGGCAACTAAGCTTCATACCCCCCTAATGGAAATAGTGAAGTTTCGCCCCTGCTCCTCAGTGACGTTAGGAGATATGTCATTCTTTATGCTGTGCAGAATTTGGCACCTTTTTGCTAGGTTGAGCCTTGTGTAGAATGAAAGATTACTGAGCCCCTCCAATATCTCGCCAATTGACATGAATCGCCTAATTATCGTTGCTGTAACAGCAAAAATAACAATGCCGACATTCATCTTGAATTCGCCAAGGCATTTTCCTCGATTTCACTTCAAGATAAAAATAAACTTGGCTGGCTTCCCTTGGTCTTAATTTTTGAGACATCTAGCCCTTAATCTACACGAGCTTCCCTAAGATCAAATCAACTAGTTTTTCTTTTGACATTGAATGGTTGCATTGTGATTGCTATGTGTAAAAATTTTCAAATCATTTGAATGGCGAAAATCCATTTGGTGCAGCATGTCTGTTTTATCAAATTTAAAATTGAAATGTTTTTCAAATCTAAAGATTTTTTAAATGTAAAGAAATGCATATTTAATAGATAAGAAATGTGCCTGCATTGTGACGATAGTATACTAGTAATGATTAAACCATATTGAAATGATCAAAGAAGTTATAGCCACCATCGCAATTTCAGCAATCAAACAAGCCCCAATTTCAGCAACCATCTTCTCAAAAATTTCCCCCAGACCCCTTAAAAGAGTCAATTTCGGCGTGCATTGCTTTTTATCTTTCGTTTTGACCCGGGGCTCATAAATCCTCTCCGCGGCCCTGGGGATAGCTGCAAATAGACCAGGTAAATTTTGAAGCAGGTGCCATCTGAATGCGAATAAATTGCTGTGGCTATTTTTAAATACCCACATATGCAGGGGTTCAGAAAGTGGATGGTGGACGGTGATCTGTTGGGTTATTTTTTGAAAGCTGCAGAGGAAAAAGGAATATTTTCTTTTGGATACAACACAAATTACATTATTTGCTTGAAAACAGTAGGTAGGATCACTTTTGAGAACATTCTGTTGAAAACAATCCCTTTTCTTAATTTAAAAGGTTCAAGTGATCATAATTTAAGCTTGACCTTATAAGGAAGTCTTGGATCTTTGTTGCAATAAATCACAATAATGCTGCTATAAGCAGGGACAGCGCACCAGACTAAAAGTGAAGAGGCTGAAATGGGGGCTCGGGGCGTGCCACCGAAAATTTTTTGAGACCACCTCATTTTGAACGCCGAAAAACGCCCCTTTCAGAAGATGCTTCTTTCCATCCTTATTTATGAACAGTCCGGTTGAGACAAGATTGCAATTACTATGAAAAGAAATATAGATAATTAAAAACCATGTTAATTAAATTAGAAAATGCAACTTACTCCTAAGAGAAGAAAAAACCGCAAAATACTTAGCTCTTTGTTACAATAAATCACAATCATGCTGCTATAAGTATTCGAACAACTTCAGTGATCAGTTCACGTCAAGACAATTAATTTCATATGCTGTAAGAAAGTGTGGCAGTTTACATTTTTCGCTTATATTTGAATACATGTCTCTATCCACGTGACCTATGCCCAACTTGTGAAAAACGACAACATATTAAGTACGAAGACAACCGGCATGAAATTTCAAACAAAAAATATAACAGTTTTGGCTCGGACCATCTATTACTGTTACTCCTATTAAAGTTGATCTCAAGAGAAGCTAAAAGTTTAAAAACCCTGCAAACCAAACAAAGACTTTGAAAAGTTGACAGCTTTAAATAATTTAGGTGTAAGCCGCTCAAGATTTTATATTTGTGTCTACTATTAATAAATGCATACCAGAACTAGCAGCCTTCTGGAAAGTATTCCTGGGAATAAACGTAGCTTAAAAACAGAAGAAATATCATCAGGATCTTAGTCTAGCAGAATTCACAAGATTAACATATGTTTGTAGAAGGAGCATCTGTTAAAAACGTATAAACATTAATGCAATGGAATTATCTATCAATGTATCTAAAGCAGTCACTAGCAATTTTCCAAACATTGTCTAATGCTGTCAACATGAAATTTTGATTGAAATATTCTGGTCTTCCATCGCCAAAAGACACTGTCCCTTCTGCAGTTACCAAAATTGTGGTCTGGTTCGGTGTTACAACATCTAAAACACAAATTAATTCAGCATAACAATGGCTACCAAAGTAGAACTCTGGCATACCAGGCTACAAGAATATTGAGAAAAAGCATGTACAGAATCTGGAATTGGATGGTTAGCACTGGAATTGGAATGTAATTTATACCGGATGCGGGGTGCGGGGTGCGGGGTGCGGGGTGAGGAAAGAGCAAGCATTTGTTATCCCCTAGTGGTTGCGTACCAGGACACTGCACTCTAAGCACAGCTTCTCGGTGTCGTAAAAACTACATTTGTAATCTAATTAGAAACAAATACCAAAGATTTATAAATAATCCAGAAGAAAGTGTATGCGAAATTCAAAAAGAAGAGCTGGTTTTAGCGGTTCCAGTGTGCAGCGGTTGTCTGCGGTAATTTCTAAAACTAACATAGATGAAGTGAAAGTCCTCAGAGCAGGAGCCTTGGTGAAATAGTTTTGTTTTTTGAAGGAAAAGATGATACTGCAGGAGTTTGTCGTGGAGAGTTTGAAAAGAAATTCTTACATAATAAGCTGTCGATAATATGAAGTTTGGCTGTAGATCCGAAACAAGTGACTCGATCCCTGGCAAGTCATTACAGTGCTAGAGGTGAGCACACAGGGGAAGGAATCAGGAATAGAGGGCCTTCAGAAGGGTATTTCACTGAATTCTAAGAAATATGGTCAAGTAAATAATGGAAAGGTTAGGGGTGACCAAGTAAATAATTGCATGTCTGTTATGTGTCAATGTCAAAAAACAAAAGTATAGTATAGGAATAGGAGAAGTGCCCAATCAGCTTTGAGGAACTTTCCCTTTATTTTAGTGGTTGTAACCATACATAGCATTGAAGGTCTGCCACTGGGAATGCTAAGAAACTGGACATCAAGATAAAAGTAATGGGCTCAATGGATCTGAGAGTTTGGAGGAAAAAAATTCTTTTCAATGGGACAAATTCCAATAGCAGTACAATATTGTAAAATTTGGAAATACCGATGCATAGTAATGTTTGTTGCAATGTAGAGTAGACTGCTTCTTCATAAAGTGACTCAAAAGTTTGAAAAAAAATTTAGTTGATGACCATGATTGTAATAATTATGATTTATCAATTAAATTGAACTCTTACCTAGAATAGGTTGACAATCTAGGGACTGGATAATATGCTTAGTGTTTGGCAAGTTGGTTACAAATTCAATAATTTTTGTTTCACCGTGATTAGGATTCCCATTCCAAATCAAGACTGATGATGCTGTATAAAGTCTTGAAATTTGCTGCAAAAAATTATATCAAAACTCAGTATCCTGTTGTCAAGGAGATTTGAAGTTCTGTAGTGATTTGGAAATCTGATCATTTATTATTCGCAAAGAAAAAAATACTTCTAATTGAAAACATCAAGTTTTAGAGTCAGGCCTTGCGGGAAAGGTGCTGGTGTTCAATCACCTTAAAACAACAATGAAAAGCCATTTAATAAGTAACTGAAAATAAAAAAATAATATTGCCACGAAGATTTTGCTATTTTGCTTAGAGCAAACCCTGAATGCCATAAGGGCAAGGTCCGTTATAAAAAAAATACACGCTCTACAAAAACCATAAAAAATACCCAAAATGATCACAAAAGTGGTATTGTTTTAATTACAAATATAGCAAAAATGTATGTGATCAGTTTGATGTTACCTATCATATGAAAACTTACATAGCAAAAGGTCAAATTTGTAGTTTTTGACTACATAGTGAAGTGTCACCATCTAGTGCTATTTTTGGAAACATGACACTAAATGTGTTGTAGATTGAAGGTTACTGGTGTTGAATTTAAGATTTGTCTGAAAAATATGTGCAATTTATACAAGATAATATATTGTACAATAAAAATGAAAAATAAAAAATCTTATGAATTATAAGTGTGAAGGAAATTATTTTATTATGAATTGAACATCTAAATACATACATGTCTTTTGTTGTCAAATATGTCATAGTAAAGATCACAAAACTGTTCTCCAGCTTGGATTGCTTGCTCAGCTTTTGATTTAAACTCTCCCTGAAGACATAAAATCCAGTCAATATATATTTTAATCAACAAAGAACTGTAAAAACATAATTACTTAAAAATTTCTCCAAGATCATACTATAATTCTGAAGATTAGGAATTTCCACCCATCATAAAATCAGATTTCTCATTCAGATCTTTTGAAGATCTCGGGAGCATCCTTGATACAACTTAGGGGTACAGAAGTGCTCAGAGGCATAAGCATAGAGAAAGAAATTGTGCTTGTGTATGTTTTTATAAAACAAAGTTTGAGCAAATGACCCAGGAGCTGTAAGATGTTTTCAAGTAAATTACCTTTTTTGCAATATCAAAATTCACAGTTCATCAAATCAACCATGCAAATTATCCCTACTTGCATCATAGTGATTATAAGCAATTAGATAAAAATATTCTGCTCCAAGTGCAATCGCACCTCGCAGACCGCTTTTAAGAATCTCAAACTGCTATCATCAATCCATAGCCAAAAATATCTCATATTCAGCTTTAACAGACATGAGATAAAAGGTTTGCATGACAACCATAATATGGAACAGTCCCTGAGCTAATCAAAAGTAATTATTCTCTGTTTGCTGTTTCAATGACAGACCTATCAACCTAAAATTTTCAAAACCTAGAGATTTTACAATTTTTGTTGAGAAAAACAGGGAGATTAAGCCAAAAACAGGGAGATCCCTGGAATTTGTTGAATTTACAAACAACAAACCTGTCAAAAAAGTCATGTTGGACAAAAAGTTAATGCCAACAATTATCATGGGTAGCCTCTTTCTAATGGTTTTTAACGTTTTTGTTAATTTGTAAATACTAATCAAAAGTCATTTCAATCATTTTTATTATAAGAAAACCTCTGCTGAAAGATAAGAAAAAACAGGGAGGAAATCATAAAAAACTAGGAGACTGGGAAAAAGCAAGCAAAACCTGGAGTCTCCCGGCAAGACCGGGCGAGTTGACAGGTATGCAGTGATATAACATAAGCTAGGTTTGAAGATCTGGGGCCTATCCTGAATAGATTAATTGCACAGTTAAAGATTTCAATGCGAACAACTAGATTTCAATATATTCGCTACATGGTCTCTGCTTGACTTTCCTCATTATCCACAGAGCCCCTCTTAGCAATAATTCCCTTTAACAACATTCTTTTTAATCCCATTATAGGAGTGTAGGGGTCTGTCAGTCCACAAATTGAGGATTTTTGTACTTGGATTAGGGATTTTTTGTTGTTTAAGGAACTTTTGTTGTTAATAAGGATTTGCAGCTCCAAAGATTCATGCAGATGTCAGATTTTGATGATCATGTGGAGCAGATTCTGGATTTATGGCAAAAAATACAGTGGATGCTGGATTCAAATGAGCTGTGCTTGTCTTTTTTGTATGGTTCTAAACAAACTAGTTAATCTTTGCCCGAATAAAAATAATCTATGGTTACCTTATGCAGGCCTTGCTCTAAGTAAAATGAAGGTTTTCCATAAAAAGAGCCCCTTAGAAACTCTAGGTGCTCTATTTCGCACCTCTAAGTAAATGTCCTTGAGAGCATCCTTCGAGAGCTTTAGGAGATCGAGAGCTTCAAATCGAAAGCTTCGGAAGAATGTTAAATATGAAATTCAACGGTGATACCACAAAGCACCATAATATTAAATAACTAAACATGCAACAAACACTATGTTAATATAAACATAGAAATATAATAAAACAAAGTCGCAAAATTGTTCAGATTTTTCTAGATATGTAAGTTGCCATCATTTGATGAGCTTTTATCAGTGTCAGTATCACTACTGTTATGTTTAGCTTCGCATATTGCTTCATCAAAACGCATGGCTTTAAATCGAACATTTAACTTTGTTCCTTTTTTCATGTTATCCATTTGATAAGAAACGCTAGAACATCTACTTCTCGCAAAAGCAAATGAAAAATGAAAAGCAATGCAATAATCTGGACGAAAAAGTGATCGCTGATTTGCACAGGCGATTTTGAGTTATAAAAAACAGAAAATAATATATACTCCAAAAGAAGATTAACGCTTGCTCGAAAATCAAATAAATCTGCGGGAGAATACACTTGATGGCCTGTATACTTGATGGTTATTAGAGGGTTTTCAGATTAAAAATGATATCGAAAACCCAACGTCGAATTTGCTGAATTTTTTCTCAAAGGGTAATCTTACGCAAATCATAATATTGCGGTCTGTTGGGAAGATTGTTTATGCTTGATCAAGTTGATTTAACAAATTCCAAAAATTTATTTTGCTCCGCGTTAATATTGTTTTTACGTTTTGAGGGGCTTTTTAAATCGCTCTCCAAGGCTTTTTTGGATTTGCGGATTATGTGGTAAAAAGTAGCAGATTTGCTAATTTCTCTACCCCCTACACCACAACTATCATATGTAAACCCAATTGTCTAGTTTCCATATTGCTCGACCTGATAGTCATAAATAAGCATGATTAATGATTAATTATTTCAAGTAAAGGTTTAGGGTTCGGGTTAAGATTAGGGCTATGTTTAGGGTTAGGTTTAGGGTCAGGTTTAGGTTTAGAGTTGGGTTTAGGGTTAGGTTTAGGGTTAGGTTTAGGGTAAACTAATTACATCATCAGGTCAAGCAGCATGGGAAATAGACAGCTCCTTGCATGCATTGCTGTTAGTAGCCTCGTATTGAATATTACTTCACTTGGAAGTAGGCTTCAGTGCAACAAATGTGTGATTCATTATTGCAATAACTTTTCAAAATACAATGTTTAATTTCCTCATTGGTAATTTGTTTGTTAATCCTATGTGTCCTTTTAGAAGGTTTTTGCATTCATTGTAATTTTAAAATAATTTAAGTATAAGTATTCTTGCCTCTGCTTAAGACTGTTGAACTCTCTGAAAAATATAATCAAAATATTAACTTTAGATATTACCCTCAGTGCTTTAACAAGATATTTGTGATTTTGGAAGAGCATTTTCAGAATCGCATGGGCTACACAGGACTTAAAAAGATTTGTGAGGTCTTGGAAGAAGTGTGATATTGTATAAACCTCTAAAATACTGCATATTGACAGACAAGTATCAAATACAAATAAGAGACTTGGAGTCAATAAAACTTTCTATAAACATGGCAAATTTTTAAGCGACTGCCTTTGTCATAAAAATATTAGAGGCTTAAATGTTTTCTCAAAGATAGCATGCAGAGTTTTTACCCTTACAAATAATCTGTAACAGTTTGTTTCATCAAACATATTTTCATCATTTAGTTAAAAAATTTCTGGAAAATTTAGAAAAAGTTACAAGTTTCATGATTTGAATGCTTTTTTGCTGAAATTGAGAAAGATCACAAACTACCATGAACAGAGATTTGTCCTTGGCACGAATATTTCACAAATCATTTTGGGGTCATAAGGGTCATCAGAGTTAGGTTTTTTCAGGATGGTTTTGTTGGTAGTTTTGAAGTGAGAAGTGTTCATATTTTTTACAGTCTGCAAGGTTTGTTGGCTGCTGAAATTAAGCTGGGGGTTACGATCATAAATAATTTTTCTCAAAAGAATTGGGTATTTTCTTGGGTTTTTTTCGTTAGATTGCATTGCCGTTTTCTTCTCTCAACTATTTTAGTGGAGGAAGCTTGCTATGTCCAACTATGGCTGAGTTGAAGGACCTATAGTGAATCATTCTCTTTAGAATTTTGTAAGCACTCATTGCCTGCTCTACAGTGGCCCATAACTGCCACTCACTAAAATAAACATTCGCATACAAATGAAACAGATTTGCATTGAAACAAAGTGGTTCCTGCTGACAGAAAAACTACTCACACATAATTCAAGCAGATCCAGTGCGGATCCAGCCTGAATTCTGACCTATGCAATGCAAAGGTTGTTAGAAAGAGAAGCCACGCCTTTCTGTGTTGGAAACGCCCAAACTTTTCTCAGTAAAATTTTTATCTCTGATATTGAATAGGGGATTCTAGAAAGGGATTTTAAGGAAACGACTCGCTAAGAGAAGACTAAATTCATCTGCAATTCGAAGGAAAAAAGTATTGAGAAAACCTACTCCGATAGGATTTGAACCAGGGCCTTCCACTTTTCAAACACAGTGGTCATATCACAAGACCAAAGAACAGACGTTCCTTCCTTAGCAGATTAGCAGGGGGTGAAGCAGCGATTGTCAATTGCCATTTCATTGGCTGTAACAAACAATTGCATAGGTCCACTGTAAACGATTGCGTAGGTCAACTCTGAATCCTATTGGTTGGCTGAACCGCTGCAGAGGCAAATCTCACCTATGCTCCCACCAAAGATTGCAGAGGTGAAGTACACTCTGATTGTCTTACAAGACGTTTGCAGAGGTCAAACAAGCGGTGATTGGCTCTTGAGGGACAAACAAATTTCTGGATTCAGAAAATACGGACCAGATAAATGCCTAGAATCGCCTCTCGATTATTCTGTGCAGAGGCCGAAAGATGGTCAGCAAAATATATGCCCTTTCGTCTGCAGGTAGTTTGTATCAACGGGGCAGATCTAGGATGGATGCCGCTAAAGAATTTGCCAAAGAAACTATTGATTAATAATTTTTGATAGTTTTAATTTTATTTTGTTGTTGTAAAAATCTGACTTATGTTTCTGCATAGGTTGCTGTAGTCTGGATCCGCCTCTGGTTTTAACATATCATTATTAATTCACACACTCTTTGTTAGCAACGTTCATGATCCCACCTGAACACTGAAGATGAAAATGCATTTGTAGTGATTCAATTTAGGCCATTTTATACAATCCAAAATTTCTTTTTCAGCATACCTACGTAATTCTATATTTTTCACTCTTTATGCAAATTATACTTCATTTTTATCCTAATCCATCGCATCATTGTTAACCATCAAGCACATCTCTTTCCTTTGTATAACGCTTAATTAAATTTGCTAGTTTTCTATATCAATACGCACTAAACAATAATCAGTCAGTAGAAATCACATTACACACTGGATATACAGACTTTGATAGCTTAGATCAAACTAAATGCCCACGTTTTGTGAGAATTAACAAACTTCTTCTGAAAAATCCGGATTAAATACACACAAAGATGAATTTAATAAACTTTAAACGAATTTTTCCAGAACTTTTGCTAATTTTCTCATAGAATTGAAACTTACCATTTTTGCATAAATCTTTTTTTTGCATTTCACTGTAATCTTTAATTTTGATAAGGGCTGGAAGTTGCTTCTGTGTCCGCGAGAAGTTTTTCTATACTATTCAGGCAGCCCTTTTTTCTGAGCCTCTACTCGATGTAGAGATCTGGGTCTACGCATTGATCCTCTATATAAGACTTTTGTAAGAAATCAAAGAAGGTGACCAAAAATTTGGAAACTTGAGGAAGTTGAAGAAATCGTATTGCCTTTTGAATTTTAATGTAGTGAGACAAAAAGAAGAAAATCAAATTATGTTTACAGACCTCCGGTTTTTTAACATGAATGTCCTTGCAGAACTGCTTTGCACTGTAAAATTTCGGCATTAAGGCAGTTAATTAACTTTTTATAATTTATACATTCAAATTATGGACACGCTTTCGTTATTAATTGATATATGCATTAAATCTGTCTCAAAAATATCAATTTTCAAAACAAGCTACAATTTTTAAAGAGTTGCAAAGAGAGGGGATCAAGACTAGTTGAATGTCCTCAATTCCCTGACAACCCCCATTTTGAATCCATCAAAAATTAGTGAAGGTTTTATAGTAAGATTTCCTTGTCTGGTGGAAGTTTAAAAATTATTTTTTACTTTGACCAGCCTGCGTGCAGACTTTACAAATAGAAGCCTGCACGCAGGCTAGGGAAAGGCTGCCTTTAATCAATGGATCATTTTTGTTGCTCGTCTTGGCACTGCTTCAATTTTTGTTTCGATTGCATTAAAGCGTGGTCACCAGATTTTATTGTTATTCTCGAGTATTGGCCTTACTGGTGACTTAAATAGCAAAGATCAGGACTTTCTATCAATGTAACTGCAAGCAGGGGCGGATCCAGAGCAAACTTGAAGGAGAGGCAGTGTGCAGTGGGGCCCCGAAAAGTTTTCAAAAATTGATGATGAGAGAACGCTGTATACAACAATTTCAGATCAATTTTCGGAAAAAACAACATAACTTTGAAGTAATGGTCTCAGAAACTTTTTTAGCTGATTTTCATTCTTCAAAAGGGGCGCACAATTTCCAAAAAAGGGGCGCCATACTTGCTTGCTATAAATTTTTGCATCGTCTGCAAGGACTTTTACTGTTTCTTGAATAACTGACGTGATATCATTGATTTAACAAAGAAATAGAATCGGTCCAAAAGGACACACCCTTGGCGCCCCACTTGTCACTTTTTTCCAGTCAGAAATATCTTCGTTTATAACTATGCTTATAACAATAGGCAAATAGGGGTAGAGGTAGACCACCTTTGAGATGGCAAGACCAGGTTAGAAAAGACACTGGTCTTCCACTAGCAACTGCCACGAGGCATGCTCAAGATCGCCTCAAATGGGCTGCCATTGTGAGAGGTGCCAAGGGCCACCAGGCCTACGCCTTTGATGATGATGATGATGATAACTATGCTTTGCCTCCTTGATGTCAAAAATGTTTTAATCCATGCTGAACTGCTAGTATGAGAGTGTATTTTTCTACCTGAATCGTTTACTTGTCAAATGGTTTGGCTAATGAAGTTGTTTTTATTGATAACGCGACACATTATTCAAGTGTACCTCTCCTTATCAGCTGCAGAATAATTGTTTTGCAGAATCTGTGAACTTGCTCGTACAGACTTTAAACTCCTTTGTTTATTAAATCAAATTATCTAGATTTGTCAGATTTATAAGACCAAAATCTGGAATGGTCTAATTAGACTATTTCAACTACCACAAATATATGATTTACAACTTCAAATGTCATTGTCATTTACGTCAGCTGTAGAGGCTACAATTTAACATAGATTTGTTTCAAAAGTAAGCACCCTGAAGCACGCCTTTAAGTATGGGTTTGCTTGTCAAAAGATAGACATCAGTTTAAAATTTGCTTTTACTGAATTTAAGAACAAATTCATCTGCAAAGAAGAATTTTTTTCATGGGCGTTTCCTATTGAATAAGGGCAAGGTCCTGCCCATACAGCAGGACCAACTATGTTTGGCTAGCTTCGCCACCGATCTTATTTTTTGTTAAGTTTTGTTGAATTTCAGCCTGCCTTTTTTCTTATGTTGCTCTTTTTCGGGCTTGGCATATGAAATACGAATGTTCACTGGTTCATGTTAGAAAACATGAAGACTCTGCGGAGGACACATTGTAAATAATGAGTATTGTTTAGTTTATTTCCGTGATGTATATAAAGGGATTTATTCGAGGTTGGGGGACTTTCGTTGATGGGTCTTTTGATTGATAGGACTTTGATTGTTGGATTGCTTGAATGCAGATGGTTTGGTTTATCGATTGGAACACAAACGCGTGTATGGAATAAAAGTTGAATATGTTTCGAGAATATATGGATATTGTTTAGTAATCGTTTCTATTGGAATCTAGATTGAAGATTCATTGCTTACATATAATATGATTGATTGAGAGAACCTTGGAATTATAACCATTTTGTTTTCCTCTTGTTGATCTTGAACTGAATTTATCGTACGGGAACATTGCTCAGTTTAATTATTCCGGCAGAAATTGTTTATTTGGCAATGTTATCCATCAGTTCACTGGTTCACAGGTTCACTGCAACGCATATAATTTTCTTTATTTACTTTCAATTTATAATTTTAAAGCGATGCTTAACTTTCCCATTCAGATATGATTTATCCTTTGACTTAATATTAAGAGTCCATATTTCGAATAGAGACGGTTTAACGCCGACGAGCTCTAAATTCGAAACATTTTGAACTTAAAAATCCGTCGCCGATGTTCGCCGATGGTATCAGATGCTTAAGACAATACGGTTTCATAAGTTTTACGATGAATTATGGCTTTAAGCCTGGTTCCCATAGTTTCGTAAGAGTCGGGAACGTGTAGCCTGCGTGCAGACTCTGTTGACAAAATTGAAAATAGGTGAAAAAGTAGAGTCTGCGAAGCCGAGCCGATTTTCTTGTTCACAGGTTCCTCAAAATCAAGAAACCGAATTTGATTGGTTAGGGGAATTTCAATTGTTTTTTTTTCAGTTTTCAAAGAGGCGCCTTCGAGCAGAAGTATAAATGAATGGTATCGGGATAATAGAATAGGTCTGTATGTTCTTTTGAACAACTGAAATTACAGAAAAACATTGCACGCTAATGGAGTTGTTGTTTTAGTGGTTAGAATAAAATGTTGATGTTAGCGAGCAAGAAAAGCGGCTCTGTTGCGCAGACTCTACTTTCTCTCCTCTTTTAAATTTCCGAGTCTGCACGCAGGCTAGGAACATGTCGCTGATCTCTTCTTCCAACATCCAAAACGATCAAAGAAAAAGTGTTCCCATGTCAACAACAGCAAACAAAAACGCGCCAAATTACTTTCTTTTGATTGGTTGTTTTGATTGGTGGTTGATTCAATTTCCAAGTGATTGTTTCTTAACAATAGTGGATCGGCGACGTCGGCGACCCGTGTTCCCATTAAATTTTTCTTTGATCATAAGAGAGTCGTAAGATCAGATGAAGCGGAGGCGCTTCCTGAAAAGTTGCACAATTTTAACGCACGTGAGATCAAAGTCCACGATGATTTTTTGTTTCTCAAATGTTTAAAGAGTAAAGTCTGGTGTCAATCAATTGCGTTTGTAGCTGCTGCTGCTGGAATAAGCAATTTTACGTAAAGCTGAAGGCGAATTAAGATCTAGACGAATCAATATAGCATTTAGTAACAACATTGTCAAGGACAAACAAGAGAGTTCTGGCGTAGCAAATGCAAAACGCGCCAAGAGTTCTGGTGGTTCTGGGCACGGCACAGGGAACACAACTGGGTAAATCTGTTGTCAACACCAGGGATCGTCTGTTGTTGGTGGAGGTAATCTGTTTCAACAATCTCAGTATCACGCAAGAAATCCTGGCATCCCATCATTATGGACGTTTTCAGTGAAGCAAAGCTGCATGATTTGCAGAGCGAAGTAATTAAAGCAATTTATAATTGGCAATGGCCCTCGATTTTGCTCGCTTTCAGCATCTGCTACACCGCCTACTATATGCTCGTTGTTGTCAAGAAGCCAAGATTTGTATGTGGAAAAGGCTTGTTGTCGAATCGTTTAAAGAAACATCTATATGTAATACAGGAACGGTACTGGCCTACATTTTGGTGTTTTTCTGCCCATATGATGACTGTATGCCGTGTAATTTTCAAGAGCAAGCCTTTCATACCGTACAGGAGGTAAGGCCTTACCGCGACATGGGGTTTGCCGCAATCTGGGTGGGGATTTTCCTAGAATTCCAGTTTCTTTTTCTATTTTCCTGTATCCATTCTAAGAAAACTGGCATTTGTTTTAAAACAGTTGAATTATTCGACAGATTTCATCTTCATACTTCACAAAGATAGAAAATTAAGCAAAGTAAACTTAGTAAGTTTTTAGTTCAAATAAATTTTGTTTTGAACGAACCTTGCCGGTAAAAAAGCTGCTTATTTTTAAATGTATTGAAATGTACCTGCTGGCATTCCAAAATTATGGTTAGGAACTAAAGTTAGACATAAAATTTTTATCTCCGAACCAGCAAGGACTGATGCTGGCGTATTATTTGTTTTTTGTAATTTATCTAACGTGGCTTGGTTTTTTTTCAGTCTGCAAGATTTAACCTAAAAGCTCTTTTGCTGGGGAGTTTCAGTTAAAGAAGATCTTGATATGCTTTTTTCTACCGGTGTTGCATGTCAAATACACTGATATGTTATTATAGTCTCCTGCCTGAATTAGATTAATTTTTCAAAGCTGAATGAATTTATAACAAGCAAAGCATTTTTCCAGTGGTAGGTTGCAATATTCAAAGAGGATGCAGGTTGCAAATTTAATTAAAAAGCTTTGTGCTCTACCTGCTATACCATCTGTATTGCACAGACAAATTTATGAAAATGCAAAAGCCCTTTTGTAGACCGAATTGATAGTTTTCATTCTGGTCTGGTGGTCTGAAAGATATTTTGAAAGAGGAAAACCTTTCTTTTGATATTAAATTTTTGATCATTCATTTGGTCAAACTTAGTCACGACAGAACAATATCTTAAGACCTTAAGATATTTGTCTTCTTACAAATTCAATATAATGTTATTGCTACTTCACTAGTGTAAACAAAGCTGATAAAACAACATTATAGTGCCTTTTAGATTCAATTTTCTTTTAAAGCAATGCTTCCACTATTAAATTTGGTTTCAAAATATGTCTGCCACAGCTCTTAATCAAAATATTATAGTATACATATAAAAAATATTTTTTACAGAGAACTGCTTGAAACGCCAGATGGTGGTTTGATTAGCCTTGACTGGGTTGACAATGATCAAGGCAATTTACATTATCCAGATCCAGCCACGCGACCAACCCTCTTCATAATGCCGGGATTAACTGGTATTGAATTCTAATTCTCACTTACTTTTTACTGTCAAAGCTTAAAGTAATCCTTGAAATTAAGAATTCTGGCTCTTACATTTATCAGAAAAGGAGCATAAGCACAATCCTTACCTAGAGACATGGTAGATCACACATCCCTCTCCCCACATACATGTAAATGAAATGATTACTAGCACAATTTGCATGTCTGTGTCAAGGGGGTGTGTAATACAAAGACTATAGCTCAATCTTATTGCTTATCAGTAATTTCTTGTCCATAGTTCTTCAAACTTGACTGATAATGTAAATTCAATTTTTTGTTCTTCAATCTCAGGTTGCAGCGAAACCAGTTATTGCCGTCACCTTGTTTTGGCAGCAAAAGAAATGGGAATGAGGTATATATACTTTCTTATTTGCATCAACTGTTTGAGAAGAAAAAACACCATCATCTCTTAAATCAGTTGAGATTAGAAAGGAGTGATAATCTATCTTCTATAACTTCTTTACGCTGGAAAATGGAGTACTAACCTTACTTGTGCTTTATGAACTTGATTCAAAATGTTTCCATTCTTTTCTTTATTATTTTTGCCATACCTTGATTAAAATTAATTTCATTTTTTTGTAGAGCACTAGTGATGAATAACCGGGGTTTTGGAAGAGATATTCTTCTTCAGGTGAGTTTTGCACAATACATAGTTGAAATCTTTCATTAAGATAGATAAGAAAGTGAAACATAAATCAAACCATAGAAAATGTTACAAGACTTAGCGTAATACAATATATAGTTAAAGGCATTGATTCATGGTAAATAGACCTTCTCTATAGGAGGTCGTTTGGTTTCTGATTGATCACTGCAGTTTCATATGATATTGACATCTGTTGTTGACAACTTTCTATTGATGGAAACTGTTTTTTTTAATTAGTACGAGATGAGTTCATGTGATCAGTTCCAGGTCAACCAATAGCATTATAGCACAAAATCTTGACTCCAGCAGATCTGGGCATTTTGGGTATACCCTATCCATTGCCTTTAAGGCTTTATTGCTTATTCAACTTTTCAAATATTCAACTGGAAGGGCTGACCTAGCTGCAATTCTGACAAAGGTGTGTCCTTCTTAGACATGACTTATAAAGGTTGTAGAAAAAGCAGTTTTCATCTAAAAAGGGTCTCACAATATGTTGCCTATCTGACAAAAACTCTATAATTTCAATTTGTACTTCGACCGCTCTTTGATAAAATAGTTTATGGCTCATTAAAATATTGTAAACATTTCTGACTAGATGCTTCCATGCACATTTTCTTGGCCTACCCTATTCAACAATACCCCTATAGCTTGTGTTTAAATCTTAAATGTGATGCTTTTTTCATTTCAGACACCCAGAACATTTGCTGGTAATAATACTGATGATTTGCAGCATGTTCTAGATCATTTGAGAGCACTGTTACCTGATTCAAAAGTCTTTGGTGTTGGAATTTCTCTTGGGGGGTAATTGCTTTAGTGCTATCTATCTGTTCAGCCTGCAGTTGGCACCTGGGGGAGAGGGTGGCAAAGGGAAATAAAAATTTAGGAAGACGATGGTCTATTGTTCCAAAACAATTGGAAATATGACATCATCTTATCAAAACAATAGGCTTCCCCCTATATTTGTCCAAGTGTCTGTCCCAGTTTTCAGCCAAGTGATTTCTTTAAAAGTCAACAATTCAGAATGAAATATTTCTATCATTATTAATAGATCAGCAAGACTCTTGACTTGCAAATAGTTAGCTTCTATCCCACATTTAATGTGTTGTTTAAAAAAGGGCAGCAGTTATGGGTGCCTTTATGTAATAAATTTCCTTTATGTAATCAATATGACACCTCTTCACCACTTTCAAATCAATCAGAGATTAGAAGCTTTTCTGTATCATCAAGAATGAAATGCCAATCACAAAGAAGCTCATAATCTCTTGAAGAAATGGTCAAGTTGTCAGGGAAAATTCAGAAGCCCTAGATAATGAAAGGTGCAAAGAACGCATTTATATTGCACTGTCTGACCTTTTTATATTGCATTATCCTTATTGGGTTTCATCACATTTAAGTTAGATGGGAACTAAAGCAAAGCAAAATGCCCCAGTTTTGAGAGCTCATAAATAGCACATAACTTTTCAAAAAGCAAAATAATATTGACATCTTACTATATTAGCATTATTATTTTCCTTAATGGACTGACCTCTTTCTGCAGATGCATAATGTCCCACTGGTTAGCAGAGGTTGGTGATACTCAGTCGCAAATGGTTGGGGCATTTATTGTTTCAGTGCCATGGAATTGCTTCCATTCAACTACATCTCTTGAAAGACCATTAAACTGGTTCTTGTTTAACAGACATTTAACTCAAAAACTGCTAACAATGTTGAAAAGGTAATTCCATTTTAAGGTTAGTTTAAATCATTTTGATTTGGATAAATGGCGATTTTGATTAAAAAGTGGTCTGCAAATCTTTCTGTTCCTTAAATAGATCTTTCATCCTAGGCCAACATTTGGAAGCTCTTGATAATTCGAACAAATTTTAAGTTCTCTCTAAAGTTTTAATTATTAGGTGTTGAGTGTCGCAACATTGTATTACCTAGAAGCAAATAGGCAAATAATGCCTCAGAGCTAAATTTAATATCGGTGTTATTGTATGAAAGTTTTAGTTCTTAGAACCAAATGGGAGAATAAGGCTGGAGAATCATGATTTATTATCATAATCCCAAATTCATGTAAAACGATTTTGTCTACTTGTTAATGGACATTACTTGAAATAATAGTGATCTTAAGTGAAATTATATATAAGAGAATGTATTATAGATTTGACTCAGTTTTTTACATAAGCCTAGCTTAAATAACAGTGAGATCTATAAACCAAGCTTAATTACTGCAAGGTTTGTTTGACAAAGGTAGTTTCAAATACAAGATATGCAAACAACATCTAAGCATTTAATTTACGCACTAGCCTTGTTATTTTGTGCCTAAATCCATAAAGAATGCTCTTACTATGAGCTTCATCTTTCTTTTTAGAAACCTCCATGTTTTCGAACAGCATCTCAGTAGCTTACCATATGAACTAGACCATGTGTTTCAGGTGAGAAATTCAGCTTTGCGTATAAATTTTGACTTGTCAAGAGATTGATCAGCGACATTTTTGTTTTAGAATGATAACAACTATATTAAACAGTAAGTGAAAAACATAATATTTTAGTAAAAGTTATTCAAAGAATAACTATAAACTCAGCTATGCTCACCTTAAAATGAACTGTTCTTACAAACTGTACTTAAAGTCGTAAAAGTTAAAAAATTTGCATCTACATTCAATAACTATCGGATCATCTTCATCTTGACACTATTCGGTAAATTAATGATTATGAATGGTTACCAAATAGAAACACATATATTTTTACAGTTAGAACATTCAAAAGTACAACAGTAGCTTTTTTTTTGCTTATTTTTCTACAAGCTACAACAGTAGCTTTTTTCTTTGCTTGACTCTTCCACATTCAAGTTTTCTATTGTTTCCAAACTGGCAAGGAGGATCCGAGCCGGAAGGAGAAATTTAACCGTTGAGGAGAAATTCACCCTCGCTGTATAAATGTTTGTTACTGCAGTGAGTTAAAAGCAAGGCATAACATTAGACAATAACATAACATTAGACATAAGGGGAGTCAATTTCATGCCTCTTTTGCTAGTAAGCTTATCCAATACGAATTGATTGTTGCAGGCGAAGTCGATCCGGGAGTTTGATGATCGTTTTACAAGTAAAACCTTTGGTTACAAGGATTACGTTGATTACTACAACGCAGCCAGCCTCGATTCTGCCCCTCTTGGCAACATTGCAATACCTACGTTGTTCCTAAACTCAGAGGATGACCCATTTTCACCAGGCGACAGTAAGTGAAAATCATTTGGTATAAGGCTAAAATTTTCTATATTCTTTGGGTTTCTTCAGAGAGAGAAGGGTTGGTGAGTTATCACAGAAAGTGGTAGAAAAGATCGTCAGTAAAATGCTGAATATGCGATGTGTCTAGAGAAAGTATTTGGGACCTCGTCGCTCGTGGAGACATAGAATCCTCATTCTTTTTATATTTTCTATTCACCTGCAAAATCCTCCTCCTCAGACCGTTTGGCCCCTACAATTTAGCTTTAGCAATCAATATCTTAGTACATCTTATGTATTTAAAATCATGTTTTTGTTTAACTGAAGGAATTACGTTTTCGTACAAAGTTCTTTTCAAACATTAACAAGAAGGATATGTTTTCCTTATATGCTTTTCAAATATTGTGGTTCGTCTTGGTTCCTTTGCGCCCATTTCTTTCCCTCCCTGCCTCCGCGCCTTACCCTATCATCCCCTTGTCCCTCTTCCCCTACCTTGTAGCTTTTCATCTCTCTGTTCTCTATCCTATCCCTTCAGTAGCGATGCACGTCGCCCCCCCCCCCAATTATCGGCGGGATCGATTTTGTATTTCGTCAACATTCGATGAGAAAAGGTTAGGGGAGGGCTAATATTTTTGCCAATGTATTTTTTGTGATTTAATCCTATAATATTGATACTGCCTTTACGTAACCTAAAGTTAGTTATGGACTTTCTTTATTTGCAAAATTAGCGTTTCTTGTTGGTAAACGAGCTTTTTCTGACAGTAAAAAGGGCGTGGCCTAAGATTTTGTGTTTTGTACCCCCCTCCAGAGCCTAGTTGCTGGCGCTGCCCCTGTTCCCATTCTACTCTGGGTTATCCTTCCCTTGCTACCAGCCTTTCCCCTCTCTGTCCCCACATTTTCCCTTCTCTTCCCCCTGACCCCCTTACATATCCCTAGCGTTTTATCTCCTTGTCCCCAGTCATATCCCATCCTATTCCGAGTTCTCCACCCCTCAGCCCCACCACTTCTCCTTTCTCCTTGTCCCATATCCTTTCCTTTTCTAAACCATGCTCTTCCTTCCTGTCTCTAGTCCTTCCCATCCTTGACATGACCTTTTCCCTATCTTAGTTTCGTCAATCCCTATCCCACCCAGGCCGTCTCTACCTCCTCATTTTATAAATGTTTCGTAGACGACTCTCACCGTCGACGCATTTTTTTCTCTTCTGGGGTACTTTCATTTAAAAGGCTATCCTATGACAGAATTATGATGACTGTGTTTGTACCTCGAGGTATCCCGGTAGATGTCATCAGAGAGAATCCTTCACTAGCTTTGATCCTTACCAAATATGGCGGACACATCGGTTTCACAGATGGCCTGCTCATTCGCTCAATGTCAATCGTTGAGAATTCCTTCATGCAATTCGCTAAAGCTATGCTCGATACACAAGTTACACAAGCGACGTAGGCGCTGATCGTCTGAAGGACCATGGCGAACAACTTTCTTAAATTCAGCCAAATGCTGGCCAATGTAGTTTATTTTAATATTGTTTGCTCTGTTGATTTGAAAAGTTTAATGTCACCAAGTAATAGAAATGTATTTTTTTCGATTGCGCTTTGAAAGTATAGCAAGTAAAGAGTGAACTAGTGTTTGATTTCGAAAAAGAAAGACGGAGAAAGAAGCAGACAGGAGAAATAATGATTCTCACTGAAATTGTTCTGTGGTTGGATCGTGGTAGTGAAACATTTTGATACCAAGTTGATGGGTTAAAAGTGCCACTCACTGCGTAGCAGTAGCTCCTCAAGCAATCATTTTATAGTTAGAAGGTTTCTATAAATGGTTTTGGTTGTTTACTAGCTGAGCGGTCTACAACCATGGGCAGACAGTGTTGGGATTTAATGAATAACATGCCCCAACTTCAAATGGGCGGATGTAAGAGGTTGTTTATTTTTGTATGCTGCCCATCTATTGTTAAGTCATAATTTTGATGATTCTGACCTTTTCGGTTGCCTAGAGCTAGCTTATTAGAGGCCCGACGCCTTTCCCTCACCAATAATGTTTTAGATAGTATAACAGAGAAGACCCTGTTCTGATCCCTGATAAAGGTAGAACTTTCTTATTGGTTCAGAAATTACGGTCCATACTCATCGAAAGTTAGTCCTACATCATTACACCCCCACCCCCCACCCCCCCAGATATATTTTATTGGCGACCCTGGAGTTGACAACACATTTAAGCTGCTCGACGACTAACATGAAATAAACCTTATGATAAAAGGCAGTTTTTTCTTTAAAGTTTAAGTTTCATAATTTCGCTGATTTACTCCGTTAATTAATCTATTTTTACTAACGACGTTGCAGTTTGTATTAAATATCACATTTCCTCCACTGTACACAAACGCTTGATTAAGACTTTTTTACAATTAGTAGGTGATTGCTGGTTGTTTTACTTAAACAAATTCCAATGATATTTTAGTCTTTATCCTGTCCACGATACAGCCTTTTCATAAATATTTAGCTATGCCGCTGTAACTAAATATGCCCTACAATTTACCTACAAACAAAGAACCCAGTGTGTGAAAGGTATGTGGATTTTTACCCTGACATGATGCTCGAACGCAAGTATAAGTTGTAAGAGACTTGTTTTTCAGTAAACTTTTCTAAAACTGAAAAGGGATGCAAGTGCCGGTGATACTTTTTGGCTAGGACAATACAGTATTTTCTATACACATCTTATGGAACACAATTTTCGCAACAAACCTTGACCTAAATCTGACATACAGATTAGGAATCCACAGAGCAAGCTGATAGCTAAACATTACATTCTTGAACAACACTTTGTGCCAAAATTCCCGGAAACTTGATACCAACTTCCAGATCGATGAGTTTCATAGAAAACAGGAAAAATTTTTGAATAACGATTTTCTTAGAAGGTGACCAGATTTCTCAAGAACAAAATTTGGCCCCTTTGTTTACGATTCAGGTCAGATATTTCTAAATTAAGCGAATGTTACGGCAACTATAGTTTAAAGTCGACTCCGTTTATAGTCACTCCACTTTTAGTCGGCATAACGTTCACAGTCACATAACAATTAGACCCGAATACGAAAACTTTTCAATTAAACTCCATTATGAACTAACAATTAAAGATAGTATACCAATCCTGTTTTAATTGGCTTTCAGCTCATCAAATGTGCTTTTAGTTTTTTTTTAATTGGGTAGGAAGCTCCCTGGTATGTCCTTCTAAGAAAAAATGAATATCGTCTTCCGCAGCAGTTTTATTAAAAGGCTGGCAATACGGACATTTTCTATCAATCCTAGGAATAGGATTCTTCCCGTATCTACCTGTTTAGGAACAGGGTTAGTTTAGATTAATTTTACCTGTTACACACACATATTTATTAATGTGTTTTAGCAAAATTTAAAACCTTGGAAGGAGCCTTTAAAACTTTTAGTAATATTTTAGGGTTGCATACACAAATTTGCATTCACATTGTTTTTAAACTGCATGTACAAAGATTAATCATTTTTTTGCCGCAATGGCATGCATATCAGCTTGTTCTAAATTTGTTTTTAACTTTTGATCAATTTTATGGCTCGTTTTCTTATAAAATTGTTTTTAGCATAAAGAGTGTACAGTGTCTGCAACCTGAATATATTATATGTCTAGTCAATGACTATGGTGTGTTGTTGCGCCGCCCTGTTCCTTCTGTCTAAACAGACAGCGATGGGTATTTACCGGAGAACGGAGATTCCTAGTAATTCCAAGAGTTGGTAAAATAAACTGTCTACGTCATTCTTACCTGAAAGGGGAAGTCCGGGGAGATTATACTTAAAAGTCGCTGGAAAGTACGGTCTGCAGACAGAAGACGCGGTACTGAGTGGACGGCAAGAACTGCATCAGTGGCACATGATCTTCGTTGACATTTGGTCGAGACTACTTCAAAGTCAAGGTAGGTCCATAAAAGTCGCACTACCTATCTTTTTTCTTGATTCAATTTGTCATTGATTGCCTCAAGTGCACGGTCACACTATTGGTTAAATTCGCTTGAAATTTAGACCCAAATATGCAAAACTGTTCAATTAAGCTATAGCTATGTTAATGTCACTCTTCGTTTACAGTCACAAGTTTTCTGGCATCATTTAGTGCAGGGAAGCCGGAGAGGGGGGCGCGGGGGGTCAGCCGCTCCTGTTGCCCTTTGATAGAAGGGGCGGCAAAGGTAGCCTGTGCTCCAGACCCTTAACCTGAAGGGTCTGGAGCACAGGCTACGGCAAAGGGGGCCAAAGTGCCCTTTTCATAGGAGCGCTCTAAACACCGGCCGTTTGTAATTATCAAAAGACTGATATGAAACTCTGAGTGTACTGCCTTATTCGCGACAACATTTCTCAAAACTTGTAAAGAAATTTCATATGCCAAAAGTTCGTCGATTTTTAAGATATCTACAGAAGATCGAAAGAAAATGACAGTTAGAAAAGAATTGTTGGTAGTTGGGATTGGGAATTATTATTCAAATGCCCTTTTACTCAAGCCTGTCCCCCTTGCCCCTTAGACGTTCCGGTGTCCCTGATTTAGTGTACCGTGATCCGAGTAGGCGCACTCTAAAACTCTCTTATGGTGTGAATGTGCTTGAAGGTGAACTGTCTCCGTCCCCATTTCCTGCCAACAGCTCCTGTAGTATTTCATTTACAGCAAAAGAGTTCAATACGTAAAGAAGGTACTGATGTCCTTTGTTTGCTATCGCTATGTCTAAGAGGTACGAGGGCCTGGTGCTAATTATGAACCCCAGGGCAAATCCTCTGATCCCCCTCGTATAAGCCTGGCCCTCGCATAATTCCACCCCTCAAATAATTTCACCCCTCGAATAAATCTCCACCCTGTTAAGTTAAATTGTATTCAAAAGCCCACGCCATAACATGCCAATTTCTTGCGTTATAAAACAGAAAATACAATATTTTGGTCCATGATTACTTAACACAGTCCATGGCGAATGAAGAAACTAAAACAAACGAGACATTTACGAAAAGACCGCCAAAGACAATGGAGGTATCAATATTTTGGGCTAAAATATTTTTATGCTTTGATTCATACTTTGGTTTGAAATTTTAGAAAGAGTTATATAGTAAAATTGCAAATGTAATAAACTTGAATATATTAAAAAAGCTACAAAATGTGCTATTTGTATGGCAGGAGATGATTTTTATAAGCGCCTTTTTGAAAAGCCCCCATCTAAAAACTGCCTTAATTGACAAGCTCTCGTGGGGATAGTTCGATATTTCATAGGCCAGAATATTATCAGATTTATTGAGTATCGGTTTTGTACGCGAATTTGTACTTATTCAACCTAGCACCCGAAAGTAGTTTTTTAGGACACTGAGAAGCTATGTCTATCGAGCAAGGCCCTGGTCCTTCCTATCAATTTGACCCCACCTCGTGATTCCTACGCCTGGAGACTGGAGTTACAGATAAGGGGCAACTCTCCTCACTCTAAGTGAAAGTTTCTTCACATAATAAGGGACTCGAACAACAGATTCTTGAATTTGCGACGCTACCACGGAAGCATCATCGCATATAACGGAAATTTGGTAGAAAATTTGATATGTAAGATCAAACTAAGTGGCTTTCCATTGTTTCAAACAATAGGCTGTTGTCCTCCTCTTTATGTAAACAAAGGTTTGCCCCCGCAGCTTTCTCTTGGAAAGGCTATGTACCACAGCAATCTTTGCAGAAACCGAGGACAATAGATATGATGGTCAAAGTTCAACCCGTCTGGGGATCCCCGTTTGAGAACAATACAAAAGGCAGACAGCAAACGAGAGAGTTGGGTCACTGAAAAAACGAGCCCGACATTTCTACTGGTCAGGAATTGGACGCCAGAATATCGTTGCTTGGTGAAGCAGTTGATAATAGCATTGATAAATTGAAGGAGGCATAAATAGGGCAGTCTTCCTTTCTTTTAACTAAAAAAGAGCAGGAACAAGAAAAATATATCCTTCAATCATTAACTTTGCAAGTACCGTAAATCCTCGAATAAGCCCCCGGGGGCTTTTTTTGCAAAAATGAATTTTTGAGTGGGGGCTTATTCGAGAGGAGGGGGGCTTATTTCAAAGTTTAGTATTTTCCTCAAAGGTCAACATAAAAACGACGTAATTTTTCTAACAAATCTAACAAAGAACTAGAAATAAAAACGACGTAATTTTTCTAACAAATCTAACAAAGAACTAGCAAATATTATAAAGTTTTCATCGTAAGAGTAAAGGCTACTGATCATTTCAATCTTTTGGAACATCCTGGCAAATGACCAAAAGTTGCGTTTCCGGAAGCATGAAAAATGCAAGGTCAGCAAAATTTCGAATTTCGAATTTTTCAAATTTGACGATACTATCGGAAAGAGCTTGCAAAGCTGGGCAAAAGATATAAAAGAACAATGTAATCTGACCTATAACCAAAAAGTTATGGCTGTTGAAACTTTATGTCAAACAACTTGCTTTCTGACATTTCATTATATAGACAGGGAATTTTGTAGAAAAAACTAGCAAACTGCCTAACCTCAAATTTTATTTCACATTCTTACTAAATCGACCATGGAGATTCCAAATCCAAGATGGGCCAAAAAAAATTATCACCGGAAGTTATTGTTTTTGATGACGTCATCAAAAAAATGATCAAAAATCTTTAAAAATCGGCAAAGGACTCGAACTCAACTTTTTTTGTATTTTTGCACTAAATTAACTATGCAGATTTCAAATCTGAGATGAAATGAAAAAATCTTGAACGGAAGTCAAATTTTGTGATGACGTCATCAACTTGGAGAAAATTCACTTTGTACCTTTTTAATTGTTTTCTCGCAACTATCATTGTCAAATATGTTCCATATTCGAATTGCACACATTCAGTGCTTTTAAAGATGTATTGAATTTCTATTATACTTACTTTGAAACGTTCTTTCATGACGCCATCATCATTTTATGACGTCATCGCCTTTTAAGGGTAATTGAATAACGCGTGAAAGGATGCCTAAAAATCTTTAGCTAGTTAAAAAAGCCATTCAAAATTAAAATTTCGTTGTATAGAAAGTGATATGGATCCATTCATCCTTCATCACTGTCTCCTTTGCTGGAACTCCAGAAGAAAATGTAGTTCCACTAATCATCGTCTGCTTTAAGCTGATCACCTCACCATAATTTTTCCCATGGCCTAGTCCTAATTGGTAACGGAATTTTCTTCGATTTCATCACTAGAGCGCTGCAGATCTTGCAGTTTTTTAGCGGAGGGTGTGCGGGGCCCTGCACAAGATGAACATAATTTGTGTGAAAAGAATTTTGGAATTATTATGCTGACTCCAGTATTTTCTGCAGATATTCACAGCTTTTTTAACGTTGAAGATCGGATTTTTTTGTCATCAAGCCGTTAAGAAACGTTTTTCTCTGTATATCCTCTTCGTGCCATTTCTTATTTATTTATCAAATGTATGTTCAAAATTAGAATATGTAAAGAAATTTTTTCCTATAAACCACACTAATACCACCTGTCGGCCAGATCATTCTTTCCATCGTATGTCTAACCAAAGCTTAAAGGCAATTTCTCTTACAATCTTCTTTTGATAATGTAACCAATAGTAAATGCTTGTGTCAACCAGTATGGATCTGGTTGTAGAGCTTCTGATTATCTGTTTTTCATTGCCTTGCGAATTCTTACTCTTATCTGCACAAGTGTTTCATCACATTTCCCTTTGTATGATTATTTTTGCAAAAATTTTATCGCTTTCGTGAGAATGTCTTTGCAGATTTCCTGTCTCCTCGTAACTCTCTCAAGCAATTTTCCCTTTCCAGAACACTCCTAAAGCTTTTTAAAATGTTAGCTTCCCTTACAACAACATTACTGGTGTTGTTTCGCAGCCAATAACTGCGTGAACAGCCGGTAGATTTTTGGAACTATCTAAACCCAGGTAAGATATGACGTTCCAAAATTAACCTACTTCTCGTTGTCAATCTTTAAGGAATATTTCCTTGAAGGCTTTTCACACAATAAGCAGAAAACTACATTAGTGTCCTTTCGACAACTAATAAATTTTATCGATGAGGAAAGAATGGAATATCAAGTAGATGTCAGCCTCTTCATAACTGCAATTAAGCAAGTATGTCGTGGAATCTTTGATTATCTTTGAGGTTTGTTCTTTATTGGTAAACACGAGTGCTTTCAAAATTAACTGCTTTAATTCTTAGCCCTTAAAGATAATCAAAGATTCCACGACATACTTGCTTAATTGCAGCTATGAAGAGGCTGACATCTACTTGATATTCCATTCTTTCCTCATCGATAAAATTTATTAGTTGTCGAAAGGACACTAATGTAGTTTTCTGCTTATTGTGTGAAAAGCCTTCAAGGAAATATTCCTTAAAGATTGACAACGAGAAGTAGGTTAATTTTGGAACGTCATATCTTACCTGGGTTTAGATAGTTCCAAAAATCTACCGGCTGTGCATGCAGTTATTGGCTGCGAAACAACACCTGTAATGTTGTTGTAAGGAAAGCTAACATTTTAAAAAGCTTTAGGAGTGTTCTGGAAAGGGAAAATTGCTCGAGAGAGTTACGATGAGACAGGAAATCTGCAAAGACATTCTCACGAAAGCGATAAAATTTGTGCAAAACTAATCATACAAAGGGAAATGTGATGAAACACTTGTGCAGATAAGAGTAAGAATTCGCAAGGCAATGAAAAACAGATAATCAGAAGCTCTACAACCAGATCCATACTGGTTGACACAAGCATTTACTATTGGTTACATTATCAAAAGAAGATTGTAAGAGAAATTGCCTTTAAGCTTTGGTTAGACATACGATGGAAAGAATGATCTGGCCGACAGGTGGTATTAGTGTGGTTTATAGGAAAAAATTTCTTTACATATTCTAATTTTGAACATACATTTGATAAATAAATAAGAAATGGCACGAAGAGGATATACAGAGAAAAACGTTTCTTAACGGCTTGATGACAAAAAAATCCGATCTTCAACGTTAAAAAAGCTGTGAATATCTGCAGAAAATACTGGAGTCAGCATAATAATTCCAAAATTCTTTTCACACAAATTATGTTCATCTTGTGCAGGGCCCCGCACACCCTCCGCTAAAAAACTGCAAGATCTGCAGCGCTCTAGTGATGAAATCGAAGAAAATTCCGTTACCAATTAGGACTAGGCCATGGGAAAAATTATGGTGAGGTGATCAGCTTAAAGCAGACGATGATGAGTGGAACTACATTTTCTTCTGGAGTTCCAGCAAAGGAGACAGTGATGAAGGATGAATGGATCCATATCAATTTCTGTACAACGAAATTTTAATTTTGAATGACTTTTTTAACTAGCTAAAGATTTTTAGGCATCCTTTCACGCGTTATTCAATTACCCTTAAAAGGCGATGACGTCATAAAATGATGATGGCGTCATGAAAGAACGTTTCAAAGTAAGTATAATAGAAATTCAATACATCTTTGAAAGCACTGAATGTGTGCAATTCGAATATGGAACATATTTGACAATGATAGTTGCGAGAAAACAATTAAAAAGGTTCAAAGTGAATTTTCTCCAAGTTGATGACGTCATCACAAAATTTGACTTACGTTGAAGATATTTTTCATTTCATCTCAGATTTGAAATCTGCATAGTTAATTTAGTGGAAAAATGCAAAAAAAGTTGAGTTCGAGTCCTTGGCCGATTTTTAAAGATTTTTGATCATTTTTTTGATGACGTCATCAAAAACAGTAACTTCCGGTGATAATTTTTTTTGGCCCATCTTGGATTTGGAATCTCCATGGTCGATTTAGTAAGAATGTGAAATAAAATTTGAGGTTAGGCAGTTTGCTAGTTTTTTCTACAAAATTCCCTGTCTAATAGTACAGACGCAGGGCAGTAAAATTGTGCATGTTACGATAATGGCATGAAGTTTGATAAAAGTAAACAATCCGATATGCTGAGTAAGATGAAATACATATCAAGCTTCAAAATGCCCCCAAAAGCTATTTTTAGACTGGGGTACTGGTACCCAGTCCTCTTTTAGGTATAGAACTACAACATTCTAACTTTGCAAGTTATAAAACTGAAACATTTTTTTCTGGCGTTACTTGACGTGCTGAATAGAATGAGATGCAAAACAGCTATAAAGATTCCACAAAATCTTTAGACAACTTTACTTGTACCCAGTCCTCGACAAAACGAAAACGAAATATCAAAACGTTTTAAACGAATACAATAAATGCTTCTGAAATGTGTTTTAAGCTAATTTTCTGCTCACTTCACTCGCCTTATATTTCCGTTTAACCCAGGGCCGCGGAGAGGATTTATGAGCCCCGGGTCAAAACGAAAGATAAAAAGCAATGCACGCCGAAAGCGACTGTTCTAAGGGGTCTGGGGGAAATTTTTGAGAAGATGGTTGCTGAAATTGGGGCTTGTTTGATTGCTGAAATTGCGATGGTGGCTATAACTTCTTTGATCATTTCAATATGGTTTAATCATTACTAGTATACTATCGTCACAATGCAGGCACATTTCTTATCTATTAAATATGCATTTCTTTACATTTAAAAAATCTTTAAATTTGAAAAACATTTCAATTTTAAATTTGATTAAACAGACATGCTGCACCAAATGGATTTTCGCCATTCAAATAATTTGAAACATTTAACACAAAGCCATCACAATGCAACCTTTCAATGTAAAAAGAAAAACTAGTTGATTTGATCTTAGGGAAGCTCGTGTAGATTAAGGGCTAGATGTCTCAAAAATTAAGACCAAGGGAAGCCAGCCAAGTTTATTTTTATCTTGAAGTGAAATCGAGGAAAATGCCTTAGGAGAATTCAAGATTAATTTCGGCATTGTTATTTTTGAGAGTGTTACAGCAAAGATAATTAGGCGATTCATGTCAATTGGCGAGATATTGGAGGGGTTCAGTATTCTTTGATTCTACACAAGGTTCAACCTAGCAAAAAGGTGCCAAATTCTGCACAGCATAAAGAATGACATATCTCCTAACGTCACTGAGGAGTCACTTTTTCTACGGAGCATCAACCATTGCAGCTGTTGAACTACCCTGGGTACCAGACTCTCTATTTTCTTTTATATATAGTGAGTCTGGTACCCAGGGTACTGTTGAACAAGCTTCAGCATTTGAATTTAAAACGCTTATTTTCCAATGTTTTCTTTGCATTAAAGTTGTTTCTGACTTTGCCCGCTACTGTTGCAACAGCTGAAATATCGTTCAAATTGTCTATAAAAAACAAACTTTCGAAAAACTTGACTATAGCTCCATAACTGACCCTTTTATAGGTGCAAAGACTTGGGAATTGTTTGTTAACTAACTAAAAAATCACCTAAACCTATTAGCTCTGTTTCACAAACATAACGGGGTTAATACTGTTGATGCTTCTACCTTATTTCTTTGAAAGGCTTTTCCCATTATTGTTACTATTTTTGTGAAAGGTTTTGATAATGGAGAGGCTGAATTGCTAATGCTTAATGGTGTAGTTAAGTTATTATCTATGGACACTTAAAGTCATGGGCCTCCGGGTCAGTGACTCCCCTGACCCCCCTCTCCCCAGCATTGGTTTTACCCCTTTTTCTCCACCATATAACGCGTGCCGATTTCCGCTATACTAATCCTTTGCTATGTTACCGCTTAACGGACCAGCCCGCTTCCATATAATCAGTCCCTTAGTTGAAGATCAGAGGCAAATAGACAAGACGTCTTTTTCTCTGTGTTGCCATCTTCGGACACCGAACACGCCACATTTCATTGTAACAAAAGTAGAAAAGTATATAAGACGAGTCACAATTAATACTGGATGAAAATGAGATAAATGAGATGAAAATGTGATTGGTATATACGGAAGTTTTTTTTATTTAAAAGAAGAAGGAAACGTTAAATTTCAGCGCTGTTTATATACCGATAGGCTGCCGGTTTACAAAATGAAAAGAACAAAGAAAGTACTAAAACATAATGTTTTTAATTAGCGATGCTAGACATGTTTCTAGTATCAAGGTCACCCATTTCACCAATAGGGACAACATGTTGACGAGACCTAGAACCTCTAATACAAATTACTGCAGTTCTGAGTAAAAAAACTAAGCTTTCTTTTGATCCAGGCAGAAGTTTGACTAAAATTTTGGTGATGTTTTTCAGCAATTAGTTCCGACACACGTTGGAAAAATTTCCTTGTTTCAATGCTCATACCACCATTGCATGAGAAAATCAATGGGGTAAAAGTTCCGTTTTATTGATTCATTCTGCTAATTTGTATGATATTCAGTCCTGTTTACTTGATGGATAGTATGACTTGATGGATAGTCAGTCCTGTTTAAACACTGTCGTTTCTAAAAGACCGAAAAATCCAAGAGCAGGCTGAACTCCATAAGAACAAGCCATATGGCCCCCATTAGGGAAAGGCCAGAGAAGTCTGATGGCGTTGGTGCTGTTACAGCCAACAGGTGTTTTGCGAGCAAAAAGTGTGAATTGATGGCTCCATGAATACCAAAACCAACCCCCTTTCTTATCCCTGCATCTGATATGGGGACATCATTATTGTCCTTTCAATTGTCATGTAATCGTTATTGTCATTGTCATTTCGATTGTCTTTTTAATTGCCATCCTCGTTGTAATTGTCATCGTTGTCCCCATTGTCATCTTCCTTGTCCTTTTCGTTATCAAAGCACAAAGCACACACTAAATTTTTTAAAAAGCTTGAGATGGGCACAACCTGACCCTGGGTTTCTTATGATTTGATTTGTCATTTCTTCCTGCAAAAACTCACGACTTCATGTTTATCGTTATGTTTTAGAATTTTGACTTGACTGATTTTTGCGACAATGGAAAGTTCAAAAATCACTAGAGCAGCTCTAGGACGTTTCGCCAAACTTGGTGATCTATATGACGCAAGGAGAGATGAATTTCTTAGCATCAGTGGGTTCAGAGACTCTCTGACAGATGATGACATATATGAAGAGGAAGCCAACAGCGTGGACGTTGATTTTATTGTCACCGATTCACTGAAAGAGAAGTTTGATAAACTTGACATCAATGCAGACCTTAGTTTGAGTATCCTTGCCGGGCTGGTGAAGTTGAAGGGATCAGCCTCGTACCTTCATGATCAGAAGAGCAGTTCAAGGTCTGCAAGGATGACGCTGACTTACTCGGTGCGTACAAAACATCAAGAAGTCGATGGAATAAAAGCTAAGATAGACAAGGACGCACTGGATTCAGATGATGCTACACACATCGTCGTTGGCATAGACTGGGGAGCGAAATGCAATGTTACCTGTGAATATGAAAAGTCAGATAACGAGGACGAAACAAAAGTTCAGGGGCAGCTCCGTGCTGAGATCGAGAAATTGAAGAATGGGCTTTCTGTTGAAGGTGGAGCAAGTGTTGATTTTTCACAGCAAGGTAGAGAAGAAGGTACCAAATTCTCCTACCATTGTAAATGTGATGTCAGTGATTTGAGTAAAGACATTCCTTCTACATTTGAAGGAGCGATGACAGTTGCAACAAAACTACCATCGGCGGTGAAGATGACTAACGATGGCAAGGGAATTCCCATCTCCTACACCATGCTATCACTTGCAACTGTGCGTAAAATGTGTAAAATGGAGCAAAGGGTTGATGTCTTATGCAAGCAAATACAGGAAGATGCCATCAAGCGATGTTTCCAAACAATGGAGAAAGTCGATGAAACACGTCAAAAATTGTATGACTTGGTTAAGGACCTGGGTGACAATCAAGCGTCAATCAGTAGCACAGACCTCAACAGGGCACAGGATTTGCAGAACAACTTCGAGGTTTCCAAATCTCAGTTCAAATGCAAGCTGCTGGAAGCACTTGTAGAGGTGCGTTCTGGTAAGAAGGATGTTTCAGCACTCACTGAAGCTCAGGCGAGCTTTCTTAATGGAGAATTCTCCCCAGGAAAAGTCAGCCAGGAGATTAGCAAGTTTGATGAAGTGATTGGCAAGCTGAAGCTAATCCGCAATCTCCAGGGCAACCATGTCTTGTGCCTTGGCAGGAATAGATCATATGAACTAGCCCTTCATCAAAATTCTGACAAGAAATTATATATTCTCTACATGGTATATTCATACAAGTCTCAAAAACCTGATTCATGGCGGAAGCAAATCGATCTCTTTTTTCGACTGTTTACAGCACACAAAGAAGAAAGAGAGTACAGATTCATTGTTGTTGACTGCGAAGCTCAGTCGGGTTTGAATATTAAGGGCACAATGTACATTGAGTATTTTGAAAAAGGAATACTTTTCTGCGAGGATGTCTACGCTTTAGAGGCACAAGACCTACAGAACTGTAGCGTGAAAAGGGATATCAGCGAACCACTTCGAAGAAAGCCAAACAACAGAGTTCCCTTGGAGATAAGATGTCCAAAATCATTTGGTGGTAGATGCTCTTTAGAGCCTGTCCATTGGGTCTGCTGGAATTGTAAGGATATTATTGAATATGGACTTTTAGACAGGTACATGTATTGCAAATGCGGTGGTGGCATCTACTCTGGAGCATCTTTCCGATGTACTGATGTCAAGCATGGCCTGTCATTTGTGCCATTCGAGAAAGGTCTTCTGGAGCAAGTCTTGAATGAGCTACGGATGGTAAAAGAAACCAACATTGTTATTCTCGGAGAGACTGGTGTTGGGAAATCAACTTGGATCAATGCTTTAGCAAACTATTTGGCATTCCCCACGCTTAACGATGCGAAGGAGGCTGATGATATCAAAGTTCTGATACCATCACAGTTTTCATACACATCTGAGACAGGAGCAATGCAGATGATAGCTGTTGGTGAAAAAAGCGGCAACGAAGTGTTGAAGGCAGGGCAGTCAGCCACTCAGGGCCCAAAAGCGTACAAGTTCATCGTTGGAAAGCACGTGATCAGATTGATTGATACCCCCGGTATTGGTGATGTTCGTGGTCTCGAACAGGATGAGAAGAACTTCGAGAATATCCTCGCCCATTTATCATACTATGAGGAAATTCATGGGATCTGCATACTTTTGAAACCTAATGATTCTAGGCTGACTGTAACTTTCAGGTTTTGCATAACGGAACTCTTGACACATCTGCACAAGTCAGCTTCGTCTAATATCATTTTTTGTTTTACAAATGCAAGAAGCACTTTCTACAGGCCTGGAGATACGTTGCCGATTCTGCAGAAACTAATAGCCGAATACAAAGATGCAGTAGTCAGTGTAACACCTAGGAACCAATTCTGTTTTGATAACGAAGCCTTCAGGTTTCTTGCTTGTATGAAAAATGGTGTACAATTCACCCAACAAGACATTGATACCTACTCTTCAAGTTGGGACAGAGCTGTATCTGAAACCGAACGACTGTTTCAGCACATTTCAGAATTAAAGCCACATTCAGTGCAACATACTGTCAGTTTGAACAATGCAAGGCGAATAATTCTAGAGTTGAGTAAGCCATTGGCGGAAACTGCAGCGAACATACAGAGAAATATTGAGGCTGCGGACAGGAAAACCAAAGAACTTCAGGCATCTAATAAAACAGCTAGTGAACTACAAGGCCAACTTTACTTGGACGGGATCGATCTTGAGCCTGTTGCGCTGGATTTCCCAAGAACCGTTTGCACTGACTCGTCATGCGTCGACTACGTCCAGGTATTTTTACTCACTCCAAATTTATAAAATTTGATCTTATGCTATCTAAAGCTTTTTTCGCTCCATAACAATTGGATTTTTTAATGTGCTAGCCAGTTTGTGACCAACCTTTCTACAAATTAATGTTGTTCAGTGCGCAAGATACTCTTACCCGAGGCTCGGCATATGCTATAATTTATTTTGTTATATTTCTATGAAATTATTAGGAAGCCCATCAAAAAAGCTTTTACTCCTTTTTCTACTATTCTTCAAATCAATAGATCTTAAAATGTTTTGAAAAATATCTAATATTCCAGTTGAATCTTGTTTTTCTTACTGTGATCGTCATCCAACATTTTCCAGGTTGCCGGTAACATACAGAAAACGGTATATCGCCAGCAATGCCATGCGCACTGTTACTTATCTGGTGTGCCAGTAGAAAGCGTAAACAACACAAGGCTTCAGGACTGTGCAGCGATGGGTGGTGCACCGAATTACACATGTCGACAGTGTAATCATTCGTGGAGAGTTCATATGCACATGACATACGATTTAGAGAAGAAGACAGTGAGAGTAATCGACAAGAACAAAAATGCTCTACTTACCAAAGAACAAGATCATGCAACGAAGCTGCAGAATTTCATCGACGAGGTGAAGGCCTATAGCAACGAGCTAAGAGAGGAACAAAAAACAATCACAAACATCTGTGCTCAGTTTGGTTGTTATTTGAAGAAGAATGCAATAACCCCTTTCAACGATGAAATTGATGCTCACTTAGATATGCTGATCAAACAGGAGCAAAACAAGCCTGATGGAAGCCAGGAGACAATCAACAACCTACAACAAATGAAGCAAAAGTACGAACAACAGAAAATGATTATTTACAATGCTATGGAACATCCTGGTACAGAAAATGTCGACTTCATATCTGATCCCGGCAACGTCGAAGAGCTGAAGCAGAAATTGTTTAAGCTGAAGCACAATGGGGCAACCCTGAAAGCTATTTTTGAAAAGATCCAGAAAGTCCGGTCAGACTACCATTACAACGAGATGCAGGTCGCACCAATTAGAGTCAAAAGGGGCAGAGAAGGGAGAGGCTTGAAGGCAGGGTTGCTAAGCGGCCTGCAATCAGTTTTCAAGAAGTTCAGGTCTTTGAGTTCGACAGCTTCCAAGAGCCACAGTGCAAACGACTGGACCATGATTTGAAGAATCATTATCTCAATTACACTTTTGTTATGCTTGATTAAAGGACATGTTGTCATGTAGTTCGAACTTGAAGAGGTACTATAGCGTTATGCTATGATTTATAGTACTCCATAGTTAATATAGATGCAAAATAATTACATCGATAAGTTTGCAAATGTTTCGCACTACAGTCAATGGCAAAATTTGTAGAAGGACGGTAGAGTCTCAAAATTCTGAAGGCAGAGTAGCCTGGTAACGACAAAATTTTCAGGAGAGCCACAAGTTCTAGACGTTTCCTTATAAGAACCATAAGGTTGTATAAAGTGGCGGATCTCTTTGAAAAATATTACACTTGAACAAAACTGTTACTTTTGTGTTGATTATTTAACTTCTTTTGAGCTTGTTTGTAACCTTACTAAACAAAATTTTACGTCATAATAGCGGCGTTTTACTATGGTTCTAGGACTCCAAAGAGGATTGCCTTATGGGGTAATTTGCCCTTAGCCCCTAATAAACCCACAGGTTGCCTAAGATGTATTTAATCTCGTATGTATTTAGTTGATGTAGTAGTTTTAACAGTTGGCTTGGATTAGCTCATTTCTTTGTAAATAGCTATGTAGCGCCAACTTTAAATAAATTGATTATTATTATTATTATTATTATTATATATTATAGATGAATTTACATAATGTTACAGTCACTGTACCCCTCTCATACAGTATAAGTAGCCCAATTTTATTCTGTTGGATTTAAGAAGCTGAATTGTTATCCAAGAAGCATTATATGTGCTCTGCTGATTATTATTAAAACTTTTTATTGATTATCATTTAATTTCTAGCTTGCTGTTGCTATTCGTAGAAAAATGAAGCCCTTTTCTTGTGTTTGTTCTTAAAATGCACTTGAATAGTCCTGTAACCTGATTATTTAAAACAGGAGGAGGTGCTTGGTCTGCGATTATGTAGAAGCAAAATCAGAAGGAAATGGTTTGCTTCCTGGACAAACAGTAAACCTTTCATGATATTCAAAGTAGACGGAGTTCTAAACGCTCTGGATGATAAACCGCGGAAAAGAAGAAGCTTCAAAGCTAAAAATGGGCAGGATTTCAAACACTTCTAATGTAAATTGCCATGTTGCTCAGGTCTTTAGGTATTAAATTCTGTTTCACTACTTCTTAGCTTAGGAGTTTTAAGAGAAATGAATGCAAAGTTAATAAAAAGCATAAGATTAAGATGTTATCGACAGCCATATTTCTTGATGCGTTTGCGTCACTTACAAAAGTTGATGGTCTCTTGATGACAGCCGTAAAGTAATGATTATATGTGCTGCGAGTGGATCAAAAATTCCTTGGGTTCCGGACCCGGGGGGAGGGGGTAACTTTAATAGGCTGAGGATGGGGTTGTGCCATTTTGAAATATGACAACATACCCTGAAATTTAAAAATTTCCAAAAATCCTACCCCAAATTTCTGATACAATATGAAAACTATACCTTTAATTCAAATTCAAATTTGCAAAAAAAAACAACAACTCAGCCAAGTAAACGAGACCATGTTATCTTTCTTTTGAAAATGATATCCCAAAATTAAGGGTCATGCTAAAAATTAATCCCAAAATTTATAAATGTGTTTGATTTCCCAAAACCGATATCGAAAAATTTATTTTTTATTTGAAAAAAAGTTATCCCTAACATACGGCACATCCCGTACCAGTGTTGGTGGAAGTAAGCCCCTCCCCCGGTTCTGCATACATATGCTTCGCTCTTTTCATTTTTCACAAATAGCTAAAGAAAAGTGTTTGCGGAGAGAGATGAAGTTCCCCATATTTAGGGACATTTGCAAGTTGCCAGAGTGGTAAAAGCTTCGATTCATCGATTCTTTGATTTTCGATGAAGATGGGAGGGAGCTAGCCCTTGGTGATAAGCCCTAAAATGTAGTATGGCTATGATGCACACAGTTGAGGTGTAAATGGAAGCCGTAAATAGGTGATAAATTTTATAAATGAAATGTTTGGTAGGTGCATAGTTTTTGTAGTTTTTCTGTGGAAGCCCAGAGACATCGATTTCTATCGATCAAATAATCGCATCAACCTTGTCTGACGATAACACTACACAAGAAATCCAAAAGATGCAAAGAGGAAAAATGTGATAGACAGTGCTAGAGATCTACGTGTTACCTATTGTATCTTAAGATTAATTTGACAAAACAAGCTTTTCTCGGCACAAGGACAAATGAATACTTTGATTAAGGAATACATTCACTTTCCTAAAGAAGTCTTATGGCTATGTTTTTCTCTGCCATTTTTCCTACCCTCATTAAACGTTAGCAACCTGGCAACATTTCTAAATCTGCACACAAAGTGTTCCAAAGCACTTATTTATTGTATTTTATACTTCAACCCCAATCATTTAGCACCGGTTTTTGTCCCCCGAAAACGGAAGCGACTAGTGACTTTCTTGATTTTCAACTCTCGGCCCCATAAATGGAAGGCTGTTGCAGCCTCTCTCGTAACAGTCTATTGGCAGACGACCACGCCCAAAATTTCAAAAGCGCAGCGACGTAAAACTTTCTGGTTTTATGCACTATGGAGGAGGCTATTGTGTTGCAGCTGTTTAGGGAGGGGTTTTCTGTCTAAAACAGTTTTTTTGGAACACAGTAATTTTCCTTCATCTGATCAATGTACGAGAAGCGATAAACACGGAGTAATTTACTTGAAAATATTTCGCTGCTTTTTTGCCTTAAACAATCACTGCTTTATTGTGATTTGTTGTAATGTTGTGATTTATGCAGATATTGAAATAGCATTGCATAAATTAGAATAATTAGTTAACTTGATAAGTCATGGAGAACCAAGGCTGGAGATTCTTTTTTACCTTTCTTACTCAAGACTTTTTTAGCTTCGATTCAGAACATAATAGGTTTTACATTGGAATTGAGACTTAGGGCAGGCAGAGAAAATGTCCTCTGAAAAGTTGGGGGAATAATTTAAGAAGGTTGGGAGGAATTGAGAACACGGTCATAAAGCAACGAACAGCTGACAAAAAGAAGATGTTATAAAATAAATATCCTTAAAAATCTTTACTGTTAGAAGATGTTACTTTGATTCTACTTCTATATTTGTGAAATGCAAACTTGAATGATGATGACTAGCTGATAGATCCTTTTTTCAGAATGACGTGAGCAAATTGCTGGAAGGTTTTCTCCATTAACGACTTAGAAGTGATCAACGAGCTATCCATGAATCCAATATGGCCGCCATATTCTGTCAGCAACAAAGATATAGACGGATTTTTGCATATAAGCTCTTTAGGAATGGCTAAAATTCAAATGGCAGTTTTAAGAAGAAATGGCGGAAGAAAAATAAAAAAAGGAAAGTTTCAACTGACATTTACCCCCACCCCCCTCCCATCCAATCAAAACATCCATGCTACACAGCCCAATCAAATGATTATTTTATTTATCACAAAATGTAAGAAGGGGGAGTTTTTACAAATAACACACAACCACGCTCTTTATAGATCGCTCAGGAAAAAAGCGACCATATTTGTCTTGGGTGGCAGTTGAAACCCTTAACAGATCTTGTCAGATGTTTTGATTTTTTGAGACATTTTATTGCTTATTGATTAAGAATTTCAAAAATTTGCTGGTACATTTCATTTGTGCGAATTTGTTTCCTTCTCTGCTTGAAAACTTTTGGAAAACTGCCCTTTTTAAAAACGAAGGATTTTTGAAACAGTGCACCTTTTTGTGACAAGGCGCCCCTTCCCTCCTGACATCCCTACACGACTACCAATGAAAACAATGAAAACGAATTTTAATATGTACTTACTTTCCTCCGGAGCAAATGGGTCATCTGCAGAGTTCAAGAACATTGTCGGAATTCTGATTTTTGCTAAAAGATGCTCCGAGTCAAGCGTCGCTTCATCGTAGTATTCTTTGTGATTTTCATAGCCAAACATTTTACTCGTCAGCCTATCGTCGAATTCTCTTATAGTCTTCGACTAAGAAAATATATACTAAGATTAGACCCCTGTGTATCAAGCCCGACGCAGACCATCCAGACGCGAAATTTTCTGACAAGGGAGTCTTCTTTAGAAAAAGCGAAGGACCCGGGCAAATTTCTATTTCCCTTTGAAGACTTTGTCCCCGGATCAGTCGTAAGCTCCCTTTTTGGCTCGGCATAACAATACGGGAATTCTCTAGACTGGTAAACAAATTTACCTATATGATAACAGCATGCAACATGATTACAAGTTGAAACACGACGGTGTCAGTCTAAGAAATACTTTGTCTGTCCCCTAAAAAAGGTGTTTCACAGGTGTGTTAAATTTGCAAGACATGGGCCTGTAATCTACGTTACAAATTGCAAATATAACGCGATTCATTAGTACACTTTGGAGGAGCCCCAGATCTCTGTCACTAGACAATATACAATGAGCATAATCAGCGATATGATCTACAGCTTATATTTTACACAGATATCTTAATGTGCTGGAAGGGCAAGACATGTTTTGTGGATTGCGTGATAGAAACTGCGAAAATCTTCTGTGGCAGGCTGATTAACAAGTCTCAGAACTTTAACATCTTCAAAACCCACTTGACTGGCTTATCATTCGAACGAAAAATATAGTTGCTAACTTTTTTAACATGCATACCCTTACAATGAGTATAAGCATATACTCTCCAGTTCAGAATAAACGTCTCTCGCCGCTTATTGATTTTGAGAAAAAATCCAATTCCACACCTATTACATACCTACCCCTTAAATTATTTTTTAGAAATGGCAAAATGTATACTACAATGTGGTACCCAATCTATTGCGGATTGTAGAGTAAGCTGTTAATAGGCATTAAAAAGGCCGAGACGAGTGTACCGCGATACACAGTGGGGCTTTGTTAAATACAGTATTCGAATTACCTTGAAAACGTGGTCAAGTGAAAAGGGTAGATCATTCATGTGCTGCTCATAAACGTGAAGGTTTCTGCAAAAAAATGACACGTTACAGACGGAAATCATCTCATTTTGATGAGATGGCAGGCAAGAAAGTGTAAAGGGTTACTTCTCTAGTAGAAAAGCAGGCTGTATTGACGCTACAACAATTACTGTAGTTGTTCCTTATTCAAAACTCTTATAAAAGTAACATTGTCTTAACAAAGCTCTTGTATAAGTAACATTGTTTTACAAAACTTTTGGTTCAAAGATTAGCAGTAGGCTGCTAAAATTGGTTTTAGCTGTTATCTTTTTTAACTTTTCATCAATTTTGAAAAGGCACTATTGATTTGAAAAGTTTAAGGAGCTCAAAAAAGCAAAATATATAATTGTCCATATCTAGGAAATTTAATCTGCCAAATTCTAAATAAAATCAAAATTCTAAAATCAACATATAGAAGCAAAGAAAAGCTACTCGCACCTCTGAATTATCGCTTTGAGATGTTTAGTTAGATATCGATTGTACAGCAACCAATTGAAAGGCTTCTCAAGAGAATCCAAAGATTTATAGCAGTTCCACTGAACAGATATGAGAAATGCTCCAATCATTTGCTTTTGATTCTTATTAAGTTCTGAAACATAGTGCGTCATTATGCACCTAAGAAAGAATACATACTTTAAAATATATAGTGAAATGTTTTTTTCCAGCTACTTAGTAATTTCCTTTACGGGACGGCGCGTTGCACTCTACATTGAGAAACGTAAAGTAATAATAAATGCTTGATTACCATTCCCAGAAAACATACCTTAATGAAATCCAAAAAAAAAATGTTTCTAAAAATTATGTACGCCGTTTGGAAAGACTGATACACCCCTCCAATCATCCACCTCTGTTCCACAAAGATAGCCTAGTTTCACAAATAGAATCCAGGCTTGCAAATGTCTATGCAGGGATTTTGCTGTTTGTCTTATTATCACTTAATTCTTTATTTTTTTGCTAAGTTTACACGAATAACGAAATATCGTAGAGATTTATCTAAATATCAAAGTTGTGAAGTAAAAATGTGCGCGCCATAAAAAGATAACCCGCGTGCTACTTGGTGTAAAACAGAGGGATTTAATTCAAAGTTTCAATATACTGGACAAACGAAAAATAGTCTACATTTCACTTAAATTTGTCATTTGAATATGAGCATTGCGATACGAAGTTTAGACTTTCGAGATTAGTGAGAGCAATATACTGAATATGGTAATGGTTGATGCCAAAAAAAAATTCAAGAGATAGGATAATACACTTCCCCTAGAATGGCTACATCTCTAGTGACATCTCTTACAAGTTTCTGATAATTGATAAATATGGAGGTTGGGGTGGGGTTGGGTAGAATATCAGGTTTTTTAAAATGTCCACAGTTTTGAAAAACATTCAATCCTTTTTTGAATATTTTTTCTGACCTAAAGAATGTACTCTTATATTTTCCAGTTTTCATGCTGGCATCATAACGTCAAACCATGGCACAAGAGATACATGGCTTGTCAACTTGGAGGCTGAATATTCCTCTGCATATTATTGAATTGTGGCTATAGCTCATCATTGCGTGTACGTTCACATTATAGTTTGAATTGACTACTAATTCTTCTTAAATGACGAAATTGGTTAAAGAAGCAAACATACCCTCCGAAAGATATTCCCATACCAATGACGGGTGACTTTGGAAACATTGACTCTAAATATTTCATCACCAGGCGTAGGTCGTCAGTATTATTGCCACTAAACATTCTAGGTGTCTGAAAACATTGATTGAATGAAAACATTACATGCAGCCTCAAAAATTGCTAAAGATTGGACGAGGGATTGATTTGAAAACTCAGCAATACTTCAAACCTGTCTGACAACCTGTAAAATGTATTGAAAACTGTTTGATATTAGAAGCTTTTGCACGTAACGAAGCAAACAGCAATTTATAATTAACATGGTTGCAGATTCATGGTAGAAAATAGGTATCCTTGTTGAATGTATAAAGATGATACAAGAGACTCAAACATGACTTTCAAGAATTTTCTACGAAAAAAAGGAATAGAGTACTTCAAAATTATGAAGAATAACAAGATTTTAGATACCTTGAGAGTCCAATTCTTTCCAGATCCACGATTTGTCATTACTAGCGATCTGAAGGAACAGAAGCTAAAAGTTTACAGCAATAGTAACAGAAACAAATATACATTCTAATGTATAGTTTTTGTCCATTTATATCATTGAACATCTTGCATAACACACTTGCATGTACTGACCCTTACACATGCCTTTACCCATGTATCTGATGTATTTTCATATGAGATAAAACAAGAAAATATTTTTATCAACTTTGAAATTCAAACACTGGAAAACTAGATTACTAGATGTCAGACACAAAGTACTTGAGTATGCTATGTTTTCGCTATTTCGCACCATCTTCAAACTTTGTGGTACCAAAACATTATTTGCTTATATAATTTTGATATTTTAGATGAAAAAAAATATCTATTTGAAATTCATCTTTAAACCTAAAAAAGGAAACGGACTACTGAATTTTATTTATAATTTCATGAAAAATAAATATAAATATAAACATCTGGTTGTACGTGAGCAATGCTATAACATGCAAGTTACCGCCATTGAAGGTTTTCTAAAAGCATGTCTGAAAGTTTCCTTGTATAATATACCTCGAAAAAATCTATAATTAAAACATATCATCTACCTCATTCCCATTTCTTTGGCAGCTAAAACGAGGTTTCGGCAATAGCTTTCATCGCTGCAACCTAAACATAAAAAATTGACAGAGTAAGAAACAGACTAATAAATTTACATGTAATGCAGATGATATACTTTAATAAACTGGCTGCTTCCTTTTAGAAATTGAAGCGATTAAAAAATACATTTAAGATGCTTAACATTCTTTATAAGGTTTCAAGCTGATCGTTTCATTTTCTAACGGAGATCTTCACGTTTCGAAAGTAAAGAGAGTAAACAAAATCCATTGAAAGCATGAGACCTAGAGAGGAGCCTTGAAAAACTACAAAATTGAACTGCCTATTAAGGATCAAAGATACTGGAATAATGTAGGGGTCGATTCTGTGCAGAGATTTTAGCAAAGTTCTGATCGTTAACATCGCATTCCAAATGCTTTGAGTTATTATGATCGAAAATTGATCGGGTTGTTTGACAAGTTGTTTTTGTTGCTGTTGTTGTTGTCATGAATACTGCTGTAACTAATGAACGCCGCAAATACTGGAACTTCCGGAGACAAACAAACCGAAACGTGATCGATCTCCTTATTACATTGCTTTCCACAGAAAATCCAAGTGAGAGAACAGTAGTTGAAATGAGAGGACAGTAGTTGACTGTGGAGAGCAAGGGCTCATTCTTGCAACACTGCCCACTCAACCCATGTCTAATTATTTTCAGATTTTAAAAATGCATGTAAACTTTCTACTTTCTTCTAGTGGCTTGCAACTTTTCGTGAACAAGGTGATGCTACTCGCAGAAGAAGGCCATTGATTCTTCTTCTGAACCCCCTTAAAAACGGTAAGGGTTTTATTTATGCCCAAAAATAAATGGTCCAAATGACAAGAGAACGCCACCTTAAGTCTTGTGATTAATAATGGTCAAATACTCTGAGAACAATCGTACCCTTATTTGCTAACAGGTTTTGTTTGGTAACCTGGAACAAATATTCATTCTATATAATTAATGGAAAGAAAGTTCTCAGTTACAATATTATCTGATAAAATCTTCCACACAACAACGCTGCTGCCCGCTGCTACAATACCACGAGATTTACTTATGATATCTCAAGCTCACGCCATATCTTCAAGTTTATCATAGAAAAAGTCGTGAAAGAAGCAATTAAAATGGCAGAGTTTTGTGTTTGTAGCGTTGCAGAACAGTTACAGCCAGGAAAAACATCTTGCAATTAATGCACCCGCAATGAGCAGCCTGTAAGGTAAATCTTTGTCCATCATGCTGTGATGAAATTTTTTACTTTATTTTTGAAAATTAGACAAATGTTGAGATTGTTCGTGATAGACTTCAATTTTCCCCTAAAGCCATGTCTAAATATTGCAATGTATCCCTTGGCTTCAATTTTGAATTACTTTTGCAAATATAAACTTCTTATTACCTGTCATTCCTGGTACAATGACAAGAGTTGGCCTCGTTGTGATGTCAGGATGTATGCTATTGGAATCATCATTGTCCACCCAATCCAGGCACAATTTTTCCCCATCTGGAGTTTCGATATATTCCCTGTTAAGTAGCAAAACTTTGAATGACGAAAAGGGAAGAAAAGTCACAGCTATAGATGCAAAGTAATGTCTGTAATGGTGCTATTTCAAAATACGGCTAACAATGTGAACAGCCATGGGGAACCTTTCAACGTATGCTTTTCTAAATTGAACAAATATTTTCCATTAACCTTCGACTGCAAGAAGAAAGGGATAAGACAAAAAGCAAAATTTTTGTGTAAAGAGAATTAACCCTTTTCTGTTAGTTCTCCCTCTTCCCTGGTATTTAGTCAGACGTCTTTATTTATCCTGATGATTCCGTGATAGTTGATAAAGACTTCATGGAAACATGATTTGACATTGTTATTAAATGCTTGATATATAATATGCATTGTTATTGAATGCTCCAAAAATAATTGAAGATTGTGAAAAAGGTGATGACTATGCAAATGTTCCAAATTTTATTTAAGTGCAAGAGGATTCTATTTGTTCTCTAAGTTATTGCATTGTCCATTTGCAATTTGAAACTATACTTTGTTGAACTTAACGTTCCGTTTTGCATAAAATACTAATTTCAAGCTAGGTGAGTTTTGCCATTTTTTCATCATCAAATTTTTTGTTTTCTAAATATAGGATTCCGGATTGCGTATTCCGGATTCCGTATTCTGTGTTTCGAAGGTAGCCAAATTTCAAGAAGCACGATTGATTAGCTGATTCAATCCGTTCTGTTTTGTTAACGGGAGAGCAAATTTTTAAAAACGCATCTTATCATATGTCTAGAGGAAATTGACGGAGAACAGTACATTACTACACATTCTCTCGAATTATTGTTATTTTGACACATCTCATGCTGTTTTTAGACCCATATTGTACAAAACGCGCACGAATCTGGGGATATACCTATCTGGGGATGAAAAATATTAGCAGTGGTATCCCTGTGGTCGTTTGGTATCCCCATGGCCGTGAAATCTAGGGATGAAAAGTACTGCCTAGGCCAACTAGCAACATTGGAGACAAAGTGGTAGAAAAGTGACATTTATCTAGTAGAAATTGATGGAGAATTGCATATTACTACACATTTTATCGAGCTATTGTCATTTTGACACATTTCAAGCTGTTTTTAGGCCCATATTATACAAAACGCGAATCTGGGGATGAATCTGGGGATGGAAAATATGCATGCCTAGGCCCGCTAAAAACATCAAAAAATAAATTGGCAAGGAAAAGATTTTATCGAGTGGAAATTGAAAGGAAACGCTGGAAATAACATATTTTCTTACTAATCATTGTCATTTCGACACATTTCGAGCAGTACAAGCAAGTTTTCGAATCTGGAGATGAATCTGGAGATGAATCTGGAGATGAATCTGGAGATGAATCTGGAGATGAATCTGGAGATGAATCTGGAGATGAATCTGGAGATGAATCTGGAGATGAATCTGGAGATGAATCTGGAGAAGAATCTGGAAATGAATCTGGTGCTGAATGGTACGCGGTTTCGGTACCATGCATGATCAGACACCGGCATAACATCTTTTATTATTTGGCTGCCTTGGCCAATTCAGAGACTGTGTTACATGGGTTTTTTCAAATATCCAATTAAGAAACTTTTAAGAAAATTTCACTGGTAAATGTATTCAAAAATGCCCTAAAATTAAGAAACGTTCACCGGTGAAGCTTTAGCTAGGTTTCTTATAAAAAAACGTGTATGGTTCTTATTAAGTATACAATTAAGCACAGTGATTGGCTGACAATTACCTTCTGTAAGGGACTGGTAGCTTTGCTCTAAACACTGCACAACAAACCGTCATCATGTGTGATGAAAAACACCAAAACGTTGGCCAGTAGTATTCATTCATAATCAGCATGTGTTGTTTTAGCTTGCGCCTGAATTTGCCATCGCGACAGATAAGTCTAGGCCGTCTCACAACAAACAGTAGATAATAAAACATATAAACAAAACTGAGGCCGAGACAGAAGATTTGCCAGTCAAATGAAAGTATCGCAGATGTTGCAAAGAAATGTTGAGCTTCATCCATGGTATATGCAGGATGCGATAATATCACAAAATATGCAAGCATGCATCCAACCAAATAATCAATCATCGGGGAGGTTTCTCCAAGTGCCAGTTTCTATGGTTGCAACACAGCGTGTAAACAATAGCCGATAAGTGATTGTTTGTTATCATTCAATGAGATGCTGAAACATCACGCAAATTCTTTTCGGTTTGGGTTGATTGTAAAACAAGGAACGGGGGACCTTTAGAAGGGGAACCAAATATGACACGTGCACGACTTGGAAGATATACTAGGCAGGGTAGCTTTGATATGTGATTTCAGCCTAGAACAGGCCATTTCTAAGCCTAGAACAGGCCAATAGGAAAGGCTGTAATCCAGTTGCTCTACTGCCCTAAATGGCCTTATTATAATTTATCATATACAGTACCGCGGCTTGGTTGCCCGAAAAGTCTAGCCTGTGTCTAGCGATCTCTACTTTGAAGCAAAGACCGGTTACAACTTTTTGTTTGGGGGGCCAGCCCTAATAAAAATAGTGTAACAACAGCCATATTTGATAAAATAAAAGTAGTTTATCTATGCTACTTACGATCCCCGCCCCACCCCCCGGTATCTCGATCCTTGCTTTCAAGTTAGGGGTCAGGAGCACAGGCTAAAGGAAAACAAGTAAATATTTAATTAAGCTATTTTGAATTACTATCCTACAAACTTGGAATGAGGAACGGGGAAATAGAACGAGGGAAATTCAGGGAATTAAGGGGAATATGGGGGAATGGGGGAATAAGGGGAATATGGGGGAATGGGAGAATATAGGAAAGTGTTGATGTTTTAAGTGTGATTCGAAGTGTCTAATTTTTTTCAAATCGAAGCCCATAAGAGTTGCAGCAACAAAATTTCGTAGCAATGATAAACTAGAAATTGGTGTCTATTTTATCTATCGATAATCTACGAAACAAGGCACAAACTAGGTTAACTTGAAAACTAGCCTCAAGAAAAGTTTTAAAGCAACGTCGATAATATAATACTTCACAAACTCAACAGTTATAACTACCCACCAGCAAATTTTGAATATTTTTAAAAAGCTGCAAAAGTTTGTTTTATTGGGATGAAGACCATTTCATAAAGATAAAGTTTTATTGGTTCTGATTCTTTTGGGTTTGGGTCTGGATTTTATATTATGATATGCCAGTGTTTGTATACTGAGTGCAGCCACTGTGGTGCAGCCCCTACTGCTTTGATCACATCATCAAATGGAATAACTGAATGACTTATTGTTCAAACAATGCAATTCATTGATAATATAAACAGTGGGGGCAGCTCGTACGCTAGACTTGCTCCAAGTCCATTTCCTGTTTGAGAGTGGAGTATTTGTTTTTTCAAATTCACATTTTAAATTCATTTCCTCGTTTGTTTCATTTACTCTGATAAAGCCCTGATTATGCTAGGGCGAAATATTAGTATGCGTTTTATTTAATTTATTTTGAAAATTTATCTTATTACATTGGATTCTCGTCACCGTTTTGCTTTGCTCCTGAATTTTATCTTCGAATTTATACGCATTGCAAGATTCACAGAATCCGGCGGACAGGACAGCCTATCTTGTTCTTCCTTCTTACACAGAATATCTGTTCTCCTCCTGTGGACTTCTGCGAAGGAGACGGACGGAGAGGGGAGAAGCGAAATTTCGCATAATGATTGTGCATAATGAAGGAATGGTTGTTAAAACTATAAGATATTTCTTCATGAAAAAACATGACTTTAATAGAATGCTCTCACAATTACTAGAAAGCTCTCACAGTGTTCTTACTGACAATATATTTGGTAACAATGTTTAGACAGTTATCATTAAACTACGTTTTACCATACTATGGTTTTATAGTACCTCAGCCCCATTTTAAGCTTTGAACAATTTTGAGGCTCCTGTTTTTTAACATTGCGCACATAAACATGTTTAACGAGCTTTTGCGGAGAGGTTATACCAGTACTCTTTTTGTATCGATTTAACATTTAAATGAGGCAACTAGAAAAATGTCAAGTTTATCCATGTTTTTTAGTCAACCTCAGCCAAGATTTTGAGCTCTGAATGGCTGGAAAGCCTGATGTGATGCGGCTTGTGATGACCTTCTACGAGGTACATTTGCTGACCCGCGTCTCGTGGAGAAGGAATATCCTTTATTTATTATCATATAGTGAAGTCATAGAGAGAAGATATTAGCAAAGAAGGTCACATCTTATTTTCAGTGTCTTTAGGAAGTTCCTTAACTCGAGGGCAACGCAGGGAGCCTTGGCAATGCTGGAGCAGGTGACATCTAAGCTTTGGAGCAGGGCAGGGGTGTCCAACAAACGGCCCGCGCGGGCAAATTCTGTGGGCGGCGCGTAGTCAATAAATTTTTAACAATTAGATTCTTGTGTTATGTTAATGGAGTGCCATCTCTGCTAAAAATTTTATAATTCATTGTTTGGCATTCTTTTCCATTAAAAGGCATACAGCATCACTATCAGGCATACTTTGGCAGTTTGGGGGGAGGGGCAAAAAGGGGATTACCTATTTAATACCTAAAAGAGGGATTTTATACCTATAGTTAACCAGAAAAGTAGGAGCCATGGCCCCCTGTTGCGTGGGCCCTGTACTGTAACTGTAAATATTAATCTATTTGCAGGTAAATAGAATATTTGTCGATGATTATAACCATTCATTTTCCCCGCATGTACAGTAAGATTTTTGTCTATGGCTTAACCAAAAATCAAGTAGGGCACCCCTGCCTTGGAGCAAGGGTATAACACAAGAGCTTGAGGGCCACATGCAACTACTTTGATTGGGTAGGGCCAAGAGAATCATAGCATCACTACCCTGGGCCGTTGAGATTCAGCTCAGGCCCAGGAGTGTTTCACAAAACTGGACCCCCGTAAGAAAATTTCCTGTAGCAGCCCCCTTCAGTCTCCCGGAGAACTAGGAAAATATCCTTTTTAGAAACAATTTTTGAAAAGGTTTTTAAGGATTTTTCAAATGTGCAAAAACATTTTACATGGATCAAGGGCATGTGTCCCTTTGCGATAAACATGCAGGCGTCCATACAATTAGCTGAAATAGTAGCTTTTTTGCATTGTAAATCGATCTTATTACATTTTTACGGGCCCCCGACCTTTTGCTCCTCCTAGCCCCCCTCCTTTCTCGACGCTCCCGTCACTAAATAACAAATGGTTCACGTTTTCGTTTTTTATTTCAATGCAAAGCGGTATAATTAAAATAGGAAAATATTTCTAAAGAATTCATTTTCATTACAATAGCATTTTATTTGAGTTTATCTTTTGTATGTGTTTAGGACACACAAGTGATCATTGTGAATGTACCGCCGTTTCACACACATCACAATGCATAGAAATAAGAAGCATACTACAGATAATTTGATTGTTTAAGTAATCCCTGAAGAGTTCGGGTATTCATATGGTGATTGTCTAGTCCCGAAGCATTTCGCTGGCCATTTAAATTTCCAATTGGTTGGACTACACAATAGACCTATTTCTCATCAACACGATGCAATGCCTATTGTTATTTCTGAATGGTTGGCTGACAGGAGACAGTGCCTTTAAAAGCTGTTGTTAGCTTGCCTTTAAGACCCCCTTGGTAGCTAGCCATTCTCAAAAACCCTCGTGTATTGCCAGGGGTGAACATGTTGCAGTCAAACAGCTTGTCGTGAAACTGTGCGCCGCGAAAATCGCGCTTGTAAACAAGGCTGGATCACTGAACGTGACCTAAAGCTGTTTGCAGCCCTGTCAAGCAAGTTTAAAACCCGTCAAAACGAATAAAGAGAATGACATGGTCTGAATCGAAAGTTGTCGAGATTTGTTTATTAAAAGGCATTATAAAAGAGCCTTGATGTAGTCTGACTGGAGCATCGAATGTAGTCAAAGCTCCACAAGGCAATCTTCTTGCAGATAGTGCAATCATCGATACACATTGAGAGTAATCACAGTGATCGATCATATGTTCACAGACAAGCAGATTTTCAAGCTGGCTTACTAGCAGACATCTTGAAGTCTTCTGCCAGGTATAGATAAAGATGTTGTTTACTGTTGTCGATATAAACACTTTGAATTTGTTTTCTGTTGAAGCTGTTTGTTGTATCTTTGCCATAATGATCAGGGGGTCGTCGGCATTTTTTGTACAAGCCTCCCTTCTGAATAGAAGCTGTAGATTAGCTCAACAAGTAGAAATATTTAAGAACTTGTATGGTCTTAATTATTAGCAAAACACTTACTGAAATGCGCAGGAGCCATACACACTCTCATTCGAATCTTTGTGCGAATACACGCATTTTTATAAGGAACCACTTTATAAGGAACCGACATGTAGAAGGCCGAAATATTTAAAGAACTTGTACTACTAAAAACAAAATCCCTAAGGAACTTTTCGATTTGAAAAGTTTTTATAATTGCAAGCATCAAGAACTAAAAAGCCGGTTCCATTCATTTGCAGCCAATACTCGCATAGATTGTTTGCTATTCGTGTGTCAAGTGCTTCATTGAGTAGTTCCAGGATATGCTGTCTCGCCCCACTCTCTATCAATTGTTAAGGCTTATTGTAGTCAAAACACCGAAAGTGAGATTTTCACTATACGTAGCCTTCTTTGTGTTTTTGCTCCCGAGTTCTAGCCACAAGTAAAAGCAAAATTCAAATTTTATATATTTTTCCTGTTTCTGTACTATTTCTATGGCACTTGATGTGTAGTGAAATTTAAGGAACTATTAAGGAACTTTTGGTACTAAAATTTGATGATTTGAGGCTTACGTATAAGGAACTTTTGGAACTAGGTCTTGAGGTAGGTTCCTTATAAAAAAAGCGTGCATGGAAGGAACGCGATGCGTGCTTAAAGATGGTAACGAGATGTATCTCTGGAAAGAATCTAGCAGCAATACTATTGAGCCTAAAATATACACAATTGAAGCTAAATTGAGCGTTCTAGAAGAAGTAAGAGGGGTATTGCGCCTGCGGTGTTACGTATTATATTTGAAAATTCCTTACCCTAGATTCATAGAGAAATGTCCTCGTAGAAAAGATTCATAGAGAGTGAATGAACTTGTAATCATTAAACATTTTTTAAGAATAAATGTATAAGAATATTGCGACTTAAATTAATTGATGGAATCTAAGAATAAATTAAAAATAAATGCTAGACAATTAATCTATTTGGTTTTTGAGTAGACAAGACGAGCGTGACTTGCGCACAAAAAGTTTGAAGTACATTCATCGAGCTTGTAATTTGCTAGGATTTTTCATTTCCTATAATGTTTTCATATCATGAAAAATTTTCACGATGAATGTTTTCAAGGCAGTAGCAAAGATTCGACCTTTCTATCTCGATTCTTACCAAATTTGCAAGTTGAGTCGCTTAAGAATGATTTAGGAATAATTTTAGGCTCGGAATATCACAACTTTATCAGTATTAAGGTACAAAGTAAACATTATGGTATTCCTATGAAAAAGGGATTCTAATTCTTCATGCTTCAGAAATCTTTAATATAATGCCAAAGAAAAAAATCACCAACTCTATTGACCCTGGCATAAACTTAGTATTGATAATGTACCGATTTTCTAGTTCTTGTTTTTCGAAATAAAGATGTTTGATTTTAAACAGGCGAGCTAGTTCCGTTTCAAAACCTGGCATAGAGAGGAGATGAAGATGAGTTTGCCAGGGAAGATAAGGAAGACTTACGCCATAGGCTCGGTCGTCCTGACCCTTTTCCTCTCAGGGTGCGCAGTTGCTTTGATTGGCTTTGTCCTACGTTGGAATTCATTCACTACAGAAGACGGCACGGTCATACGGTTCCCTGTCGAAGGACTGGAAAACCTAAAAGTCAAAAGAACATACTCACTACTTTGGTCATGTGTTTTGGTACGTCTTTACACTTAAGAGCGATTGATTGTGTTCGTACATTTTTACACTTAGGATGAAGTTTAACCATCGTTATTTTCAAAGTATGAAGACCAGTGCCCGAGCTACTACTGTTCTTTGAGGATTGGGCCCAAAAACCTATGAAATTTCTGTTTCCAATAAACAATCCCTTTTGTTCCTATAGTTTTTCACACAGAAGTGTCCCCTCTAATTCTATCCTTCCTACGGCACTAATAGAGACCCATTTATCGCTTGTTCTTGCTTTGAAAAGAAGTTAGGCCTAATTCTACGCTGTATCACTTTTGTTTTACCCCACTCTTATTACTCGTAGTATTGGTCATCTTGCCGATGAATTGAAAAACGTGACTTGAAATTACAACCATGAATGATATAACAACAGTAACGCCGGATCACTTTTTTGATTGGGGGCGGAGGGGGTTGCGGGTGCTTTAGAAAACTTGGCAAACCCTAATATTTGATGCCACAACCTTTTATGAATCTTCAGCAAACAAGTGGGGGAGAGGGAGGGGGTACAGCCTCCCGGCTCCGGCGTGCCTGTAACAGTTGTACCTTTTGCTGAAATTCATACAGTTATAGGTATGTTACTCTCTACCTCTTTTAGGTCATGCCACTGTGCTTCACTGCTGCATTTTTGCTCTGCTTCAACAGGAGATTTATGGTAATTCCTTTTCACATTAACGCAAATTTCATGTGCTATTTCATGTATTGAGATCTAAATTGAGATTTTGGCAGGGTATGCCCCCTGTCAATCCCTGAAACATCATATAGACTCGCAAGTCTTTATCCAAAAGAATAAGGAGACTCGCGAGTCTTTATCCAAATATCTTCATAAATCTATCATAAATAAGGAATTCACCAGCAAAAAAGGAATTACAAGTCACAGTTCCCAAAATGGCAACAATTCAACCGGTGCAAGGGAAAATTTTGTCTTTTTAGCTGTGTATCATCGACAGGATTTGCAAGTGAGTAGTAGTATTAACACCTGCATACAAGAGCCTGGTATTTGGAATGAGAGCCTTCCAACTAAGAACGCAATTTCAGTTATTTTCAATAAAACTCTGTAGGAACACGAGTTAAACCTTGGAATAAAACTCCTAAAAGGCCTCATTGTGTGTTCAACTCTAATTCAGAAAGAACCAATTAAGACTGAAATGTCAAATTATTATAATAATAACAGAGGCACAATGCTTAATTTTTTGTTCGAGTTACAAATGATCCGATCTTGTTTGACATTCAAGGCGACCAGAAATAAGGGCCAAAAACTTCCTGTAACATCGTGTCGGCAAAGGTAAAGGGAAGGAAAGGGAAAACAAGGGAAAGGGAAGCGAGTTTTGAAGATTTCAAAGGATATTTTCAGTACCCCGTTTTTAACATCTTTGTATATGTGTATCTAAATCTTTGTATATGTGTATCTAGTGAGTGCTTAGCACTCCAAGGTACCCAAAAGCATTATTCAGTAAAAATAACCATGATAGGCAATGTGCAGTGGAGGGTTTCATGCATCGCCAAAGCAAAAATTTCAAGAATTCTGCAAACTATAAGAAAAATTCTTAAGCCAGAGAAAAAACTGTTAACTTTTATCAAACATTTTGAAAAACACCCTAAAGGTTTCTTACTAGGTAGAAAACCCATTTTAACCTGTGCAAGGCACAGGTATGAGATACATTTGTTTTGTCTTCATGTTTTTTTCTTTCAATGGACATGAAAGAAACAAAGGTGCCTCTTGCAGAAGAGTACATTTCAAAAAATTTCCTGCAGAACTTTTGTTCATGAAGATTTCCTGCGACCGCCCGGTCACAGGGTCGGGTGGGTCTTCATGTCCTGGCGTGTGTTAACTGTAGCATTTAGATGGTATTGTAATCTTTTTCGACTTTCTTTCAGCTTGTCCTGATGATTTTGACGGGACTTATTGCATTCGCCAGTAGCCTTTACGCATCTTTGAACTTCAGAGAAATTTATTACAAGATTCACATCATATTTGAAGAAGACGATGCTTTCGATGAGCGATGTGACAGTAAGTCGTACAACGATGTGAATTTTTGCGTTTGCAACATCGGACCAGCGAGAAACAAGACCGAAAAAGTCCTTAAATTTAGAGGTAATCACAAGTAATTTATTATCACTTTCAGAATTTTTGAAAAGCAGCAATTTTCAAGCAGACCAGCTTGAGGATGACAATGACGCTGGGGCTCACAGCACTTCTAGCTTGCTGCATTTTATGTTTCACAATCCTAAAACGTGAACAAAATCGTGATTCACATGTAATCCTATTTTATAAATTTTTATTTTCTTAGAATTAAGTGAATCCCTGGACCTGTTCCTGGAATCGCCTTTAGCGGTCCCTCTCTTTGCTTAACCACCGCTGCCCTTGAATATACGCCAGCTTTGGAAAGTTTTGTTTGATTTTGTTAAGAATGTAGTAAAAACTTATTAAATTTTCTATTACAGTGGATGAGTGCGATGAGCTAGAGGATGTCACTGGCAAGTTCTATTTATTCTTTGTACTAAGCCTGGTGACGTCACTTCTCAGCGGGGTGTTGCTTTGTCTGTCGTGCATGGAATACTGCAAGCCCATCCAGGTACATTTTTCAGAATTATTAAGACTATAGCTCTCCTAATGAATGGTTAAAAATTAGAGCATGCCATGATGGTAAAGGTTATTTCCAACTTTCTTCCTTTACTTTCTCACAAACCAACAGTCGCCTCAAGGACTTATTCCACTGGCATAGTCTAACTGCGATTATTGGGGCAAAGTGTACGAATAAAAAAAGGCCACGATCGCAGGCAACTCGACGGACTCTGATGGTTTTTTGCGGCGAAAAATCGATAAAACCTTGTAAATAAGTAACACCGCAACGCGACAAGAGTGAACAACAACAAGCACTTAGAACACCAAAATATGTCTCTGCTTAAACATATCGTTCACAAATCTGCCGTTGATTAAGTGCGTGCATTAATTTTTTGCAGAACATGTCAGCTGTTTTGCTTCAAGACGAGATATCTAATTACGAGAGTACGAAGGACGGACAGCAAGGGAAACCAGATAATCACACACAGACAGCTGGCTTTAACAACCCTGTCTTCATTCAGTGCGACACGTCAGGGCAAAAGAAAACAGTATTTTGTTACCCCTATACAGCTGCTCCAACTATCAGCATAAATGGCCAACAAGGACAACATACCCTGGTATCAGAGGCACCATCTACAAACGTGACGCTGAGCAACTTTACGAAAAAAAAAGCAAGAGGATACTTGTATCCTACTTTTGGGTAAAGGTGGTCAGTGAAACAGATAATATAAAACAGAAAATCTAATTCAATTCTATACAACATGGAGGCAATGTTGCATCAGCTGATCAGGTTTTGCAGAACAATGGAATAGAAGCTAAAGATTTAATAAATTATCCGCATTTAACTCATTTTTCATTAAGTTATATCTGAGGAGAAATAGTAGTTTTATGTATTTGTCCCTTATTTCTAAAATGCTGGAAATAAAAATTTTGCATTTTATATGTATAGAACAGTGTCTTTATATCAAAATCCTTTGGCAACAGAACAAAATGACACTCAAGATTCGACTTTAAGTTCTATTTGCTTGAAAATGTTTGCTCAAAGTAAGTACATTATAAACATGCTACTGAACTACCAAATTTTAACTTAACAACACCTTTTAAAACAGTATATTTACAATAAAATATTAAATTTTAAAAGTAACGCATGATTACGAATTCATTTTGCACTAGCCTGTCTAACAAGAAACCTGCAGAGCAAAGGGGCTAAATGGAGCCAGCTCTTTTAATGATGACAAAATGGTACCGTCAACGTTCGAATAAGCGTCCCTCTCAAATAAGCGCCCCTGTTTTAAGAAAATGATTTTATAAGCGCCCCTCTCGAATAAGCGCCACGCTTGTTTTAGGGTGGGCGCTTATTCGAATTTTCGAAATTCACGTAAAAAGTCGATTGAAAAATTCTATATCTCGCATGGAGGGAAGGGAAGACCTTGGAAAAGAAAGAATAACACTTTTTCTTTGATATTCGTTATTCTTTTTTGTTTTTCTTATCAGGAAACTTCTTAATTTCACCGTGCACTATATCAATATTAAGTATCTTCTTCTTCTCCTCTAACTTCTCTCGCAAAATGTTAGCAAATCGTTTGTTTTTGGTTGTTGCTTTGTATTTGGCTGGTACGACCAAGCCGATTTCTCTTTTTCTTTTTCCGAGAACTTTTGCCTCCAAGTAGTTTTCATCATCTCCAGTTGTTAGAAAATAATTTAAAAGTTGTGAAATTTCAATCGGTACAAGTCCAACTAAAGCATCACTACCATTTGTCCTTTTGTAAACACCTACTTGTCAAAAGTTAACGCCTCATCTCTCGGGTCTGGTTTACAATTAAGTTTCTCTCCATTCAATGGCGTCCAGCAATCTTGAAATTTTGTAGGGTACTAACAATTAATTGTTTATCGGTTTTGTTTGTTTATTTATTTGTTTATCGGTTTGACTTGTTCTCCTGAGAGATGTATAATTGAAAAAGAGAGCTGAGATTTGAATTTTCAATCCTCATTTTTTAAATAAGCGCTCGGGTGCTTATTCAAACGATTACGGTAGTTGTTGTAGAGGTTCGAGTGAAATGATTTGAGTAAAGCTTGGTGGGAGTGAAATGGAAGGTGTAACATGGTGGCTTAGATTTAGTTTCAGGCCCTACCTTTTTTGTTGAGTGAATCTTTAGAGCATACTGGTAAATTAGATATGAATTACAGACTGATTTATTGTTCGTAGCCAGTGTGCTGTAACAATTCATCAATTCTTTCTGTTAAAATCTCCTTTCGCTAAAGATTTTTATTTAAGTAGTCATATACAAGAAAACAGTACACACATTTTCCCGCGATTTTGTCAAGTTCGTTTATGGATTGGTCATTTTTTTTCATTTCAGAGGTTACCATTTCATCTTTTGAAAATTATGCGCATTAATGTATCTAGGACTATCTTGAGGAGAGATCGAAGAATGTAATAGGTACTACCTTTGCAGGTTATTACTGTTCTACAAGGGCGGCCCAAGGCTGAAATATCGTATAAGCTCTATTAAGCCCCTCTCTATTAAGCCCCTCTTTATTAAGGTCCCCTCTAAGACTGAAAAGAAAAATTAAGTCCCCGCGACTTAACAGAGCTTTTACTAAGAAAGGGGAGGGGGG